GATTAATGCAAGCTACAGCAGTAGTATTATCAATTAATACTTTAATATGTTGACCTTTTAGTTCTGAAGAAAACGACTCAAGGGCAAACAATACTGCAAGAATTTCCCAATAATTTATATGATTGGAAGCCTCCAAGGGCGTCTAGCTTCCCCCAGCACATACACCATTTAGGAGCAGCCCACCTTGTCAACGACGCAAAAGTAGTTAGGCATATCCTAGGTTCATTGTGAGTAATTTGCCTGTATGTCGTGAATATTAATGACTGCCACCATCGTAAATCATGTATGGCCGCTGAAGACAGGGTCATTGTCTTGTCAAAATTACGCCGGTTTAACTTAAGGGCATCGCTTTTATCCATTTCCAGCCAGCGATAATGCAACTGACCGTACATTACGCCCGAGAGACTCGAAGTGAGAGTGCCCAAAACCCGAGAAACATCCCTCATTTTGGGGTGAGAAGCTTATAGCAGCTCATGACACATGCGTTTATCTTCTCAGCTCGTTCTGTCGTAACAGATATTCGCATAAGAATTTATTTGAGTCGGAAACCCAAAAAAGTAATTACTTGTGAGGGAACTAAAACTGACTTATCCGGATGTACGTAAAACCCTACTTTACTAAATAAGAAGATGGTATCTTGAATATTCCGAACACATGAAGCATATGTGTCAGCCAAGTATCACCAAGTATCAGCCAAGTATCATCAATAAATCCAACCGAAATATGTCCTTTTTGACGTAAATTTAAAAAAACAGTTTTGAGGAGTTTTGTAAATTTTCTTGGGTAGATGGCTAGGCCGTTAGGAAAACAGACAAAATTATATAGTTGCCCTCTCCACCAAAATTTGAAGAGTTTTTGATATGCTGGGTGAATAGGTACGGAATAGTAAGCATCTTTGAGATTGATGTATGCCATGAAACAATTTGGTTTCATAAGCCTAATAGCTGACCAAACACACTCCCTTTTAAAATGGTGATATCTGACATGCCTGTTTAAGGATTATGGATTAAGAATCATGCGAAAAGAACCGTCTTTTTTGGGGCAAGTGAAAATTGGAGATACAAACTCCCCTGATTCAGGGTGAGAAATCTGCAAAACGTCTTTTTTGCGTAATTTGCTAATTTCTAAATCAATATTGTTCATTTCAAGCTCGGGTAGCTGTTTTGCTTGGGTAAGGCTCTTTATATCGGAATTGTGTGAAATTTTTTTCCTTATCAGAGGTGAGTGTTTCCCATGCACTTAAAAAAATTGATATGCTGCCAGCCTGATAGTTCTCCAAGCTTTTATTTAAATACGCTATTAGCGTGGGTACAAAAGAAGAATACTGATTTACCTGTAAAGTCTTAAAATTTCTTAAAAATTCAAATTTGATTTTAGTATTTTATTGAAATGTATTTACAACAGAAATACCAGCAGCTAGGGCCAGAATATGACACTGTATCTACTTCATTTACCAGACACAATCTCAAGTTCATAACGGTTTTGGGTAAAACAAACATGATAGAGAGCTTGAAACTAGTGTCAAATCCTAAATCTGGGAGAAAAGCTCTTAAATTTAGATCTCACGATATAGCATTTGGGTTGAATAAAATTTTTAATATTTACAATGAAAATGATTAAAATGAGTTTTAATGGTGATGCACCAGCACTTATGAAAACCAATTTTGAAAAATGAACAAATGTGGCAATGTCATTTCATTGACAGATAAGGAAACCACATGGGATGAAAAAATAAAAATTTGAGCCTCATCATCCCTAATTTCAGAACGATTAACAGTATTAAGTTTACATTAGGTGGAGTATATATACTTCACATACCTCTCTCCCGAACACACTGTTGTTATATTTCGCTGTACTTGAGAGTTGAGACCTTTTCTCTCTCCATAACAGCCAAGTCTTGAAATTCTTCGTCAATATTTGTACATTTACAACTTTACCAGGAACCAAATAAGACTTAAACTATATTGTGTCAAGTTTTGAGGCAATGAAGTGTCTTTTATTTTAGACATTTTGTACTCGTGCTTTCTGCCATATTTGCTTTTAGTGTCGTTCGCTTTTCTCGTTCACTCTGTTCAATAAATTTCGCTGTTTGAATTTATTCCCCTTCTACCATGATGGCAGTAATACTTTGTAAACTCCTAATCGTAAACTGAACACATTCAAAGCTGCTTAAAAAGGAGAACTTCCAAGTGAGTGTGCCTTTAAGATCGACGCCTAAGGACAAAATGCTAATTAATGATTATGAAATAACGCGCGAATTTCGAAGATGTCAGATTAGTCACGTGAGGCCGTGAGATTACATGAAGGGGGTATTTTGGTATTAATTTTCACGAAGCGTTTTTCTCTTTGCTCCAATGAAATGTAAAATACAGTCAAACCTGTATTAAGCGGTCCTGCATTAAGTTGACACCCTGTGTCAAACGGACACTTTAGGCCGAAGACCATTGTGCTCAAAAACATAACTTTCCCTGCACACCTCTCCAAACTAAAAGCTTCTTTCATAGTGTTAAAGAGAATAATGAAGTAATCAATGGTGCCCAAACCATTAACACACCAGTGTGGATACCACTAACCACAATTATGAAAATGGATGAAATGCTTTTCTTGATAGCATATAAAACATCCCAAAATAAAAATGCTGGACGGCGTCTCATTCCCCATACTTCGCCAGTTGATACCACAACCCACCTTTCGAGGGAAATTTTAGTATTCATATTGTACTGGGCCACAAATTCTTTCATTCAATGAAAAAGCATCATTTATATTACCTTACATGAAGTAAATTTTCGATGAAATCTTAAAATCTTTCATCAATTCACTTTGTCAAAAGCACGCTATACAAAATGATGTTTGCGATAATGCACAATAATTGTTTTCGTGTCCAGAATTTAATAACTTTTTTCAGCCCCGTATATTTTGGTTTAGTTCGGGCTGCACTCTCAGCAATATTTACCACTTTAGGTAGTATATTGTAGAATAGCTCTCCCAGCATACAAATAAAATTTTTTTACAGAGTTTTAAGCGAATTATAGAGTGCAGCATTTACAAAATCTAAGCTATAAAATGATATCTGACAAAACTGTTTACTGTTTCTTTCAATCTTTTCCACGTAAAATTTACCAAAAGAATAAAAAAATGTGTATCAATATAAATATAACACACATAATAATGATCATAAACTTAAAATTTGTATTGTCATTTTATTAAATATTACTGCGTCAAGATTTTCTTTAATGTTTGTCGACATATTCATTTCACTACACACATATTCAAAGCTTGCTTTTCATCTCCAACAAAATTGCAAAACGAAAGTTTTTCTTTTATTTTACGTATAATTTTACACATTAATGAATGCCAGTTCCAATGTTTAAAAGTACACACGCGCGGTGACGTTAGAGTGTCGTGTCCAAAAGGTGCAGTGATGACATCAAATAATATCTATATGCCATATGTTTTTAAAGATAAACTTTAAGTGGAATTCAAAATGCATTATTTCAAAGTGGGATATTAATTATCATTGTTTGGTTGCATATAGAAGGCATACAGCACGAAAAAATATAGGAAGTGTCGAAAAAAGCTGTAAGTTTTTGGATTGCTGTTGCGGTAGATCAGGTAGAATTAAGTTCGACATGAAAGTAACTTGACATGTTGTTTAAACTTCGTATAACACATGATTAAAGAGGAGCTATAAGCTATCGGACTGTTTTATTTTATTTTTACTCATAAAAGATCAGTTGATTTTTATGCTTTAGCAAATTTTTTGTAGTTGTACCTAAAAAGGGTTTTACCAAATGAATACAAGATAAAACTTGGAAACAGAACAATATTGACCATATTTTTCAATACCTGTCCTTGTCCATGAGAAAACTGTATTGAATGAGTCAATACATTTAGACAGGGCTAGGTATAGTAAAGTAGAGTTGACACATGAACTTTTTCTTTTACGGTTGTTGCTGTGAATTTTTTTTCATAAATTGTTTTAATATCAAATTTAACATGACTTTCTCCTTGATTTTTCGATTTAGATTGTTTCTCTTTCATCGGTCTTGTTATTTTATTGTACGAGCATTTTCTCGACTAAGAAATATTTAATGTAATTTATAAACATATCACAGCTTGTCTACATAACGCATGATTTTTTGTTTGTGAGCATAATCCACCTGAAGTGTGTTTGACAACTCATTATTTTAAATGTTCTTTTTAAAAAATCTAATTCCTTTTCCTCCAATACTTTACGCAATAAAAGCTTTTGTTTTCATTTTGAACTCAATGTTGAGTTGAAATATTTTGGAACTGGCTTAAAACTTAATATTCGCATCAGTAAGCGCCAGATATAATTGATTAACTGTGCATAATTTTAAAGTCGTTCATATTTTAGTATTGCTCCAAAGTACTTTACGTTTATACAGCTGTGCATAGTGTAAACATCCATTTCAAAGTCTTCGAAAATAATGAAAGTATACGTCACACTGTGGCCACTTAAAAATACCCAAAATGTTAAATATAATGGAAAACATATTCAGTTGAAAGACGTCAGAATACAAAGTTTAGTGACTACATCAATTAAGTTTAATTTTGTCATGACGGTTTGAATAGCCATACTGTGTCACATACAACGAGGCTCGTTCAAAGAAAAACATAAATCTAAAGCAGTTGAAAAAGTCGAACTACTGTGTAGTGTAGTTTAGTAGCTTTAATTGCTTTCTTGGACAAGTTAACGAAAAGTTAGACATAGCGCAATGTTTTCTGTCACCTTATAATAATAGCTTCGTCTTCGGTGATGTAGGTAAAACATTAATTGGAGGGGCGGGAGGAGGGGGTATATTCAAATATTCAAATATTCATTTGCACACGATTGAGTTTTCTTGAAAGTGACTCTGCTTTCAAAACACAACTCAATTTTTGAAGCTTTTCAGCTCCATTAATTTCATGACAGTATGATTCACATTACCAAAATGATTGAAGAATTTTGCATAAGCACGTTAATTTTTTTGAAATATGGTGTTTTAATCTGTTAAATGAAACACATTATCATTACATAAGCAAATCCATTGATCAATGAGAAAACAGGATAGTGCACATTGGTTTTTCGAAAAGTCTTGCATACTGTAATTCTTAGATTTGCTATTAGTCTAATATATTTTTATAGGAATTTTCTGTGAATAAAACAGGTTAAGAACATCGATAAAGGCATACAGGAGGAAAATGTTTTTGGTGATCATGTCTGGTAGCGTTGCCAAACAGGGTTGCGTAACTTTTTACCCCTTTGAGAATTATATAATGCATTGTTCTAGAGAATTTCAAAAGTTATATAACTTTTTCCAAAGTAATTTCAAGGAGATAATTATTATTTTTGCATGAATTTTCCCAAAATTGATAAATAAAGATTTTCGCCTAAAAGACTTATCTTAGTGAGACGATTTATTTGTGAATAATTATTTGCTCTCACACTTTAGTGAAACATGTTTTTAATCAGTGGCTTATGGTTAAATTTTTTTTCATTTTTTATTTTTTTCAATGTTGGTGGGTACCATATTTCTAAAGAACCTGAAAGATGACGCTCATGTGTAATAAAGTTGGAGTGTTGATGTTGTATTTTGTGTTTGTTGACAGTCGTGTGAGTACATCCAATATTTCAAGTTGTCTTAAAAAAGGTAAGGGTGAGTAATAATCCAGAATTCTTTGAGGGTTTTTGATCATTTGCCAAAAAACAATGAATGAAATAACATTTCTAAAGAAAATTAATGATGAAGTTAAATCTTAGTCTTTGTTGTAACTTATTGAGGATTTCTTTTTACTATTATGCAGTATAACAGCAGAATATTTTCATCATAAAGATGCTTGATGTCCTTTTGAGTTCCTCCAACTAACATGCACTTTGCAAATACTGAGATTTTCATTTAAGTTAGCTGCTAAAGTGGTTAACTTTAAAAAAATCAAATCACACCAAAACATAATTAAAAAAAACGATTCAGTGGCATCGTCAGGTCTTCAGACAGAAAGGGGGACTATGTAAAGGCTAAACGTGTAAAAGCACGAGCGTTGTTAGGGAGAATACACGTTTAAAATTTCTTATCCTTAAAATGCTATTTTGTAGATAAAGTTTCAAGCAAGTTTTCTGAAAATTTAAAGCCCAACATGAATGATTTCTGTTAAGAAAAAAAAAGTTTTCATAGGGAAAAATTCTACTCTAGGCTAATCTAAATGTGTCGACAAGGTTATTAAAAAGTTTTATCCGCAATACATCTGTTTTTTAGTATTTCCTTTGATATGTTCCCATTTCTTGGAAACAACTGCGTGCTTAGCTGTTTAGAATTTGCATAATTGTACAACCACCCACCCCCACTCCTCAAAAAATTTTGCTTTTAATTGAAAATTCCGAAATTTGTTATAAGAATGACTGCGCAAACACATTCTCCCAGTTTCCTTCACGGCAATAACATACACTGAAGCAATTAATTCAACAGACAATAATTAGCCAAAAAGATCTTAGCATGTATATTATGATGTATGATATGGAAACAGACCTCATGACTTTCGAAGTTTTTACACCACTAATCAATAAGCCCGTGACCCAAGCAATAACCATAAATGTACTATTTCTACACATATCACTACAAATATATTTATCAATTGTTCAAACTGTCCTTATATATATATACTATATCTTTCATTGAAAGTGACTCAGTACTATTTTTGTGAATGTTTTCTCTCAATTTCAATTTACCGTTATCTGCAATGAAACTTTACGAAAATTGCATCTTTGAACAAATAATTTACGCTAAATTTGTGTTTTTTTCTCATGTTTATCAGGTAGACCGATACGAATAATCATACTTCCTGGTGAATGGGTTATGTTTAATTGCAGTGTAAATCACAACGATTTAAATGTTCAAATTCTGAACAGCAAACGAGAAATTTTACATGTTGACAACAGCCAAATAAAAATTTTGAGCAAAAATGTTTTCAATGTTACAAACTTGACAAAATCAGATAAATACACCTGCAACCGTTGCCAAGTGCAATACAATATCATGGTTCTATCAGGTAAGACGACTCAATATGATAAATGATATCCCAAATTACTCTTAGCCCAGTTAATAGTTTTTGCTTTAACAAGAAAATTTTGAAGAAATTTCATTCGACTTCTCAATTTATTTTTTTTTATTTGATCGTTGTTTTTTGAAATTACTCAGGCCTGAAATTGAATCACTGTTTTGTATATTCCAGAAATTCCATCCTATCAAGTACCTTTAATCACGAAAGAACCAGACAAAACCATATATGATTACAAGGAACGTGTTACATTGAATTGCAAGCTTATTGGCCCTTCATATTTAATAGCAATTTATTATAGAATATCATGGAAAAGAAATGGTAAGACAGAAAAGAAATGCAAAAGAGACTGCAAGTTGCCAATTAACATAACACCTGAAAGCGTAGGAAGCTACGAGTGCTCAATTGAAAGAAAACTCGTTCACTACAAATCTTCTCAGAAAGTTACGATAAAACTCAAAGGTAAATTAATTAGTTATTTTATCTAAATTAATTTCCCAGCGTTTGTAATTTTTGGAAATTTAAATCACTGTTCAAATACACTACATGTCACATTATGTATATACCATGCAAATGAAAGCAAATTGGTATATACAAACTGTATGCAATTTCATATTTCTGTCATGTTTGCAACACTGTGTTTCCTCACAAGAAAGCATCTTCAAGAGATGAATCAATCATCTCTTATATCAGGTTGGTCTTTTTGAGGTATGTAATGACGTAGCTAAATTTTACAATTGGTCGTCTTTATTTTACACTTGTGTGGTCTGAATTTGTATTTATTAGTAGGCATTTGAGGGAAAAAACTGATCTCTTACTGAATGTTTTCATTTGAAATAAAAAGGCGTTGTTTTTCTTGAGCGTGCAAGATACAGAAACATGAGTCAGCAGAGTTGGGTGGGATGCACGTAAGAACTCTTCATTTCATCCCGTATAAGGTCAAACATTCTCTTTTAATTTCCGGAAATAATTTAACAACTCTGTTTCAAAATAACACCTGGCCGACTTGGTTGGATATTAGCTGATTCGCCTGATGATGCCTTGTGAGTGAAAGACAGTGCTCATATAATATCATATAATGATAACGACGTTGAAAACAATAGAAAGTGTGTGACATATATATCATATACAACCATTTGCATTGTAATATTTACTAAATTGGGTAGTTATCATTTATATTTTGAAAATATAGAATTCATCAAACCAAATATTTATATTGAAAATGACGCCGACGTGTTTTCCCTTGGTGAAGGAAAGAATTTAACGTTTACCTACAACGTAACGTCTTATCCTGCTGCCGATATCTTTTGGTGGCGTTTAAAAGATCATGAACTCATAACAAGTTGTTTTTCTGCTAATAACCTGTGCAAAAACCACACTGGACCAGAATATATAACAAGAAGCAAGTTTGAAGTTAAATCTGTCACATTTCCTAATTACAATCGATCCTACAAGATAAATGCCACCAATATCAAAGGATATGAGATGAAGACCATTTCAATACAAGTCCTCGGTTAGTCCTTTTAAGAAACTGGTCGAATTACTGTAAACTCCCAGCATTTCTTCAATATAAAATAAAAGAATATAAATACAAATGAGTGTGTAAATGCTACTAAAAACAGTAAGTCTTTGCTAATCCAAAAAGATCAAAGCTTTGCAAATGAAACGGCATTAGCTGTAAAGAAACTTTATAGTGTTAAATGAGAGTTTTAATATACTTAGACTTGCCCTAGATCCAGCAATGATGGGGAAAATTTGTTTTTCCTCGGTGTTTTTTTTTTTGTAGTTGCACCTAAAATTGAAATCAACAAGCAAGTAATACTTTTGAAGAAAGGATTTTCGGTTCTAAACTGTAGGCTAAACAAGATATATAACCAACGACCAGTAACCTTCAAATGGTTCATCTGCAAATTTGATTTCTGTAAAGAACACAATAACGAAGATTGGAAATATATTTCATCCAACTATTCGTTAACAGTACAGAATGAGGGCAGGTATCGCTGTACTGCCAACAATACAGGTGGAACAGATACATCACCCATAATAACAATAATCAAGGAATCCAAACCAACAGGCAGGTCATTCTCATCGATCTTACTTTCTTTTTGAAAATTTTCAGAGTTTTGTCTTCGAACATACCCATGCAGAGCTTTAGTAAGATTGATAATTTGAGGGGGCTCATATACATACATGCATTACTTACCGTAGTAAGTTCCTTTGAAATCCATTGTTTTCTATAGATTATAACTTGAGTATATGAAAACGACTCCCTTAAAATTATCGATCTCACTACAACCCTGAACTTTATATTCACAACTGTTTAATTTTTATGTGTGAAACAATTAAGACATATACGTCGTATCAATGCAAAATCACAAGGCATTAATGAAGACTGGAGTAAAATGAAACAATAAAAACATGGAAAATATCTTTCACTCTGCAGCACAATAAAAAAAGAAATTTTAGTTTCACATAATGTTCATAAACGTTTTCTGGCAATAGCTGTGTGTTATTGGAATGTTTTTGGCATGAGCAAATTGTAAAGTATTGTTTCCGTTTGTAAAAGCTTCATCTTCATAAATGTTTTGTGTCAAGAGCTGTCTGTTATCTGCTGTTGCTAGCATAATCACGTTGTAAAGTATTGTTTCCATTTATAAAGTTAACATTGTCAATGGACAACAATCGACGAAAACCATGATAATAATTGTTATACCTACTGGCCTTCTTTCTTTCGTCATTTTGTTCATCACATCTTATGTATTGTACAAAAGGAAGAAAATTTACGGTGGTTTTTATCTCCTTTCCTATCCTCCTATGCCTGACTACATTGAAAAGATTGATATGAATGGAAATATACAAGAGCAAATACAGAAGCTTCCATTTATACCTGAGTGGGAATTTCCCAGAGAAAGAATAACTTTCAGTAAGTTAGTTATCAATTGCAATCAGTGATGTAGTCTGCCTGCAAGTTTTAAGGTGCTATATAGATTGAAGAGCGCTTTTGGTAAGTTGTTGTTACAATGAGTGAAGGTAAAATATTGCCAAACATGTAGTGACTATAAATAAGCAGGGGGCATACTCTACTGAAGTTTAAATTCTTCTTTTACCATTTCCGTTAACTCGCCCAAAATTTCAATTTTTATTGAAAGGATAAATTTCACATTTACATTTAGTTCTTGTTGGAAATCGTTCACCTTTCTTTTGCTTTGCTTTCCTTGGTTGATTTTATTATTTTATTACAAAGTTGTCATTGACCTTACCATTTGAATGGTTTTGCTTCAGTATTCTGTTTAATAGGCTTAATTGAATTTGAAAAATATGATAGCAACATTGTGGATGTAGACTGCCAGGGTTAATAGAGTTCTGAAAAGGACAGTTGATGTTGATGTTGACTGACATTTCCACAACCTTAGCAGTAGTCATTTTACTCTTGACTCTGAAGATGACTACCGCTGGGTTGTCGAATCGTTAGTTAAGCTCAACATTAACTGTCCTTTTCAGGACTTTACTAACTTGGACGATCTACATCCACAGTGTAACGATACTCCCTAGTCCAAACCATTCACAATATAGTAGTAAAACTGAAATTATGTTTTATGTAGTAAATGAGCTGGGATCTGGTGAATTTGGGGTAGTTTGGCTTGCAGAGGCAGTTGGTATTTCAGCATTTCATCCAAGAGACATCCTGAGAGAGAAAGGAAGTCGAAGAAGGTTTCCTTTCATTAACAGAATGGTCAAAAGAAACAGCTACGTGTACAGCAGAGAAGTTACTAAAGTTGCTGTGAAGAAAACCAAAGGTATTTTGCAATATTGTCTTTCAGGCTTTAAAAATTTTCTAGTTCTTTATTTCTCAATTCTTGCATTCATTTACGCTTTGATAGCATACTTTAAAATAAATGATCATTGATTTGACATTTTATAATTAGTCCCTCCTTTCAATTAATGTTTACTGATTCATGCAAAAACTTGTTTTGTTTTTCTTTAAATGCTTTTGATTTCATTTTGGGTTTTTGATGATTCTAATATATCTAAAAAAGTTAGTTAAAGGGGTTATATCACGAATTTTAGCCCCCCTTTTTTATTAGCTTAATTGAAAATTTGGATTATTTGAAGAACTATGACATGTCGCTGGACTTAAACAGATAAATATAAGTTCCTTAATTTTGCCTCCAAAGTCGGGTACTTTTTGCGAATTTTTTACGACGCCATATTGATACTTGTGACGTAGATAGTTGAACACGTCTGTTTCCGTCAATATAATATTATATTATAGGAGGTGATTTTGTTGTCGTTTTTCTTGTGTTAAAACAAATAATGACAGTATTTTCAATAAAATATTAAAAAACAAGTTGTCCGGAAAGTATGGCTTCAAATCAGTGCTCAGATAATTCGAATTCGATGTCTGAATGCGTATCTGATTCGAGCTCGGAATCCGTGGGTTATGTCGAGCATTTAAACGACTTCGCATATGACGATGAACCGCTCGCAGGAGATGGTGATGAAGTGCATACTCCAGATGATCCCGATGGAATTCTCCTGCGACCTTAGAACAACGAAGTGATGGCGTAATTCCACTCGGTGAATGGTAAGTTGTTGTTTTCTCCTGTTTGTAATATACATAAAGTTACTTTATAAACCACAATGCTCCCACGTTTCAGGTGTAATTGTCAATGCTGTCATACCGATTTGTTAGAAGGCGCATTAGAGTACAGATGCTGTAAGGAAATAGGACCAGCTTTGCAGAAAATGACATTCGATGGCAGCATTGAGAAAATATCATGCATAACACAGCATGCCAAATTTGGGCCTTTAGTTCATGAGGCTGTCCTTGAAAACGTCGGGCCACTATTGAGAGATAGGAATGGACGTGCTTATCGCCGCCAAGCATCACAATCATTAAATATGTAAGATTGTAAATTGTATGAGAAAGAATGTTATCATCAACATTGTTTCATCAACAATAATTAGTCCAACCTTTTTATTTACTTCAGGTACTTGAGAGCTGTGGCATACAGATGGTTGATGCGATGGTTTTGTGGGTCTATGGGATGGGAGAATACTCGACCTTTACCTGCTTGTGTTTACCACTTTATTCGGAAAGCATATCCAAGTGGTAACACAAAGGTTACATACCATCAGAGGGGCGATGATGGAAAGGTCTTTAACTTGTGCACTGTAGAGACTGTTGGCCTTCTTTGCTGAGTTTAGAATGGTCAGGAAATATGCCTAGATGAAAACCAAATAGGAGATACATGGATGCACTATACGGTAAAGAAAATCTTTTCTTCAATGTCAGTCTGGGAAAAAAAAAAAGAAAAATTATATGGAATTAAATCATAGCATAAATGTAAAAATGGAAAATAGCAAGCCACATGAACTTATCTTATAAGGTCTTCACACATGAGTGCACTGCATCCACAAAGGGCATGTTGAGCATTAAACTACAATAAAAAAAAAATTATTCATGAAAATTAATTAGTTGCACAATCGAGTGAGATAGTCATCTTCAATCTGACAAGTATACATACCATTCAATGTTATATTAATACTGTAATCATCAGGAAAGGTGTGTATATCAGTGCCCAGATAGGGAGGCTAGAGGGTACTATCACTTGCCTAAGGTGAACCCTCAGGCTGGTGGTGGGAAGGAGGTGCCTTACTTCTCCATTCCAGACAGGCTCCAAGCAATGTCTGACCACTGCCTCAGCCTTGGATCGTTTGTTGGGAAACTGGCTGCACAAAGGTTCGGGGTGCTTTTCCTCTATATCTTTCCATTATAGTTGAAAGTTCTTGTTTATTAGACATGAAAAGAACATTCTTTACTTGTTCAACATATTCTAGAAATTGATATGTAAAATAATTTGTTACTGATGCTTCAATTCTCATATTCTACTTCTGGGCCTTTTTCTTCAAAGATGCTTTTGTCTTTTTATACCAGCTTAAAGTCTTTTGTAAAGATGTAAGTTTTTTCTTAAGACGATGGCACGATTTACATGGAGACTGGGATTCACAAATATCTTCACCAACTGCATGTAGTTCTTCTTCAAATGGCGAATCGTTTGCTTCCCAGTGCATACTTCAACATGCTCAGCTCCATCACTAGTAGATGGTACTTCCTCATCGAGAGAACATGTTTCCTTCGGCGATGGCTTATGGAGAGTATGTCGAATAATCTACAAAACATATATCGAATTTACATATGACAAAAGAAAATTAACATAAACAAGCGTAAACTTACTTGTCTGCGCTTTCGATCGGTTATTTCGTCCTGTAATGGTTCAGGAATCCCAGCAACGTCAATGGTTGGGATAGCATCTTTCTTCAACCTTCTTTTGAGCTTGACTTGCACCCTCAAATTAAGGTCAAAACAAGAATCTTCAAAATGCGCAGAACACAGACACGAGGTAGAGGAAGCCTCAAAACCCGGTCTATGTTTACGCACAAAATTTACCCATTTTCTATGTCTTTGCGGCTCTGTTTCTTTATTAGAAAACAGATGCATCGACATTCCTTCTGTTTTTGAATCATTGGCGCAACTAATTTGATTAGGTCCGCCAGCAACACAGCGTTTTCCTCCGCGTTTCTTATTAAGATTACTAGTAGAATACGCCATGTTGATATATGTGTTCAACTATCTACGTCACAACTCATTAGCATACCGATCAAAAAGTTCGCAAAAAAAATGCTGAAAATCGTGACTTTGAACGTCCGTAAAATCACTTTCACCAATCCAATTTCAATTATAATTGCAGATTTAAAATCACTGAAATAAGGTCTTTCAATTTAGCTAATAAAAAGGGGCTAAAATTCGTGATATAACCCTTTAAGAATTTCTTCATTCGCTTTCGAATAAAAACATTCTTTTTTAGTATTTATGTATCAACTAAAGTACAGAATTCGAAAAAAGTTTGCGCACACCCAAATCCTGGATGGTACATCATATATTGCTTATATTAAATATACTATCCTATACAATATACTATTTTATATATCGATATTAATATAGATGTTGGGGACCAAAACAATGTCATTGATTTGCAGTCAGAGTTAAAAATATTGATTCATGTTGGCGAAAATGAAAATATTGTGAATATTCTGGGAGCTTGTACAAAAGGTTGGCATTTATGGTGGCAAATGTTCATTTTTAGGGAGCTTTTATTTTTCTTTAAAGTTTAGTGGATGGAAAATTCTGATAAAGTGTCAATTTGATGATGTAAAGTTTTAAAATTTTCATACCATAGAATGTAGAGGTTTAGAGCTTTCCTTGCACCAGGCACTGTTATTTGTTTCTAAAAGTAAATCTTGGTTTGTATAATCATAAAATTTTAGTGTCCTGAATAATAGTTTAAGACATGAACAATATTCTGACATGAATGCTGACATAAAACTTAAAACTTCACAAAACATAAAAATAATGCTTTCTTGAGTGAATTGGAAATACCTATAGTACCAGCTAGTCACATCTAGTCTCATGCTCACTGAAAGAATTGTACAAATAGAAGGTATTACTTCATAAAATATTTAGGCAAATATGATTCACATTATAGCCTTCTATATGCTCAATTAATTACACCAAAGATATTATATTCATTGTATCATTATTTAAAAGTTATCACGAAGTTGTTGGAATTATTAACAGGTAAAACAACAAGTTTATGGATTATAATGGAATTCTGTGAACACGGAAATCTTCGTCAGTTTCTTCGTGACAGTCGAGACAGATACAATAAAGATGAAGAATTCCTGATGAATGATTTATCATTAGATTTTGGACCTAAGAATCTAATTCAGTTGGCCTATCAAATCACAAAAGGAATGGAATTCTTAGTTTCAAGAAAGGTAACAAGAGCTTCTCTCCACCAAATTATGTGTCATATCGTTACACAGCACACAGCAAAAAGCGTTATGAACAATATCATGAAAAAATCCCTTGTTGACACAATTACCCAAAAAAACAATCAACAATAAAATGCAATTTCTGTGCCATTAACTATTTTAAAAAGCATTTAACAGAAAGTATCTTCCTGGCTTTAACTTTTTTGTGTGTTCATTGATCCTCTTTTGGAAATTTTGATAGCAGGATGTTAGGATTTAACGTTTTTAATTTTACAATTTAACATTAACATTCGTATCACCGCGGAGTTTTGTTTAGCCATTGCATATTATGCTAATTAAGTGCAACAATTAAATTGGATTTTTCTCTTTCAGTTTGATTTAATTCAGAATATTGTCACATTAAAGCATTCAAGCCTTCCAATTTAAACAACAGTCCGACTACATGAGCTGTTGTTTTAAGAAACAAGTAACTTCCATTCACTTCCCATTCACATATTTTGTTCCCAGTCAAAAGAACATTGGAGAACAACTTGATATGAGTTATTTTGCTCTAACAACAGATCGTTCATCGAGACCTGGCTGCACGCAATGTACTACTTGGTAAAGATTTCACAGCCAAAGTTGCAGACTTTGGTTTGGCAAGAGATATTTACAAGTATCAAGCTTACAAGAAAAACACACCAGTTAGTGTTTCCTTTAAACATTATGCCTTCAATGGTTACTTTTTGGGACCATTCTTATCGTACATCATAATAGACATATTCTTTCATGGTAGGGATTACTTCCTATAAAATGGATGGCAATCGAGTCAATCAGAGATTCTATTTATACGGAAAAGACAGATATGTAAGTCGGGCCAGATAAAATGCTACTTATTTCTTAGAAACTCATTTGCCATTGCGTTTACTTGGTTTAGATGGTCATTTGGAGTAGTTCTGTGGGAGCTTTTTACTTTGGGTAAGCTGATAAAATTTGATTGAAATCATTATTATAATTATTATATTTTCTTACTTCTTCACTCTTACAATATTCCAAGCTTTGGAATAAAGAAAATAAAACCACAAATCTAGAACGAATAAAATAAAACATTTATATTGCAAGAAAATATTTCTCTTTGATTTGAAGTAATTGACGAAATTGTCCGTTGTGAAGTATTTTGTATTTTGCTCGTTGTGAAACCAAACTTTAAAGATTTGAAGATAATATTGTATATGCTGTTGAAACATGATCAAAATTATTTGCTGCATAGATTTCTTTTTCCGTTTTTAATGCAAAACAAAACAAGAATCCATTTGGACAAAGCAAACTTTCAAATTTGTGCCAACGTTAAACATTTTTTATGCAATTGCATGTGATTGATTTAATTGATATGTTTAAAATGTACTCTTCCTCTTTGCTTCTATTGTGCTGGAGAAAAGAATTCATTTATTGCATGAAAAAGCTATATGCGTGAGTTTTAATAATACAATACCAAGTGTCATGAAACGCTTGCACTCCTTTTTATTTCCTGCAGGTGGGACTCCGTATCCAGGAATACATGTCAGTAACGTGTATCCGGATTTGCTGAGTGGAAAAAGAATGGAACCACCAATTTATTGTCCAGAGAACATGTATGAATATTTTTCTATGTGTCTTTACAGTTTTATTACTATGTGACAGCTGGTATATTGTTGTGTTCCTATATTGCCTAGAAAGTATGAATCATGAAAATCTCTTCTCTCCTTGATCCCTTTTTCTCATTGATCCTCTATTCCCACGAATTCTTAGCGATTCTATTACTTACGTAGTGATTCCATTGTTCTCAGTTATCTCTTTGTTTTCAGTTATCCTGTATTCTCATTAATTCCCAGCTTTATCTTAATTTGTGCTTGCTTGTATATAAATATAAACTTTAATTTAATATTTTATTATATTATCATATTTGCATCATATTTTCTTTCTGTGCCTGAAAATTTTTGTTATATGTGTATGTTATAAAATTCATAATTTCTTTAATGAAAAGCACGCCCAAATTACATTAATTCATATTTACAGAGTTGATTTGATGATGACAAGCTGGAATGAAAATCCACAACTTCGTCCAACATTTGAAGAGATGAAGAGAGTGTTGGAAGAAATTGTTTCCGTAGTTTCGCCGAATGAAGCTTTTGAGGTACATTTGAGGTTTAATAATAAGTTAATAATAAATATTTTATTGAATATATACTCAAAGGTTTATTGTGTAGCGTCCATTTACATGAATATAATACAGGTAAAATATTAGCCCCACATTTATCTTCTTGCTTAATAACATAAATGAACGGCATTTTAACTCAGGGTCTTTAAGACGAGTGATATTTATGGGACATACTAATAATAAAATGAATGGTTTGAGCCTAGGATCGTTAAATGACTACTGCTAAGTTTTTCGAAACGTCAGGAACATCAACACCAACTGTCTTTTTCCAGGACTTTACTAACTTGGATGATTACATTATACAAACATGTAGCATAGTAATAATGTTAAAACTATTCTAATTCATAATCAGTAATGATTTCAATACAAACTATTTATGTAGGGCTTGAATAAATAAATATAGGACACCTCAATTGTCAATCTTCAGTGATCTCTGTGGCTACAATAACATAAAAGAAACTCGTGTTTCTTTTTACTCTAAAATCAGGGGAAGAATCCAAAAGAACCAATTTATTACAGAGAGCAAATTAAAGAAGGAGATTTGATCTTTGTTATTCATTCCCATATTTTGAAGACATAAAGTGAATAGCACAGATAGCATGCAATGCATTGATTGCAAAACTTTATTATTCTTAGAATTGGAAAAATGAAGAAAAAGATCAAGATACGACTATGAAAACTGTAGAGTTTGGGGAAGAAATCAATGGAATAAAAATAGAGACAATTCCAATGATATGACCTTCATATTTGGTAGTGCATTTGTTAAAGTTTGACAACACTACTATTGTATAATTTGCCTTAATTTTGTCATATAGACCTTCATCGTAAAAAATGTCTACTTAGTATAATGAATTCTGTGCATGAAATATCTAAATTTTTTTCAATGATAAAATGCCTATTTCTTGAACGTAAATTTAATTTTTTAGTTATCTTAAATAACATAGCTACTTTGTTGTTTGTGACTTTATCTTCACAGTATGATTTAAATCATTATTTACAGTAAAAATCACCATTTTTTCTTTCTATTTGAGTGAAATAATTCTAATATCAATACGTTTAATTAAAAAAAATTAAGTCATGGACAATACCTTTACTGCTTTTCGTTTTTATTAATGTTTTCATTGACATAGATTTTTTCATCAAGGTTTAGTTTCTAAAATTGAAAAATATGAAATTCTTGTGATTGCATTTGCGTCACCTACTGATGACGTCTAACTAAATATTTTTTGTTCTTATAACTTGGTAATTCTTGTATGAAAAAGCATGCCAGCTATGACAATAGTGTATTAAATTATTCCAAAACTTTTCGTTACTGAATCAGCGATAGAAATAATATGATATGTACCTTGTTGCTCGAAATGAGAACATCAAACCTATCTTTCACCTCCAAAAATGTAGGTCTCAACTCTGGGTTTTCGTTCCAACATTTCATCATCAGATAAGATCTGTGGATTCATGAAATTAAAAGAAAATACATGTCCGCTATAATGACCATTTTCCAATCATCCTATGTTCAGTTTTCATCCACACATAAGTAAAGGTTAGTATTAAAGGGAGGTTCGCTTCTTGAATCAAGAACATGAGCAATTCGCAAATGCTGCTGAAAATGTTATGTTACATTGATATATTCTATACAATCTATTCACACCGGCAGAAGTTTTGTTTCTCTACACTCTGCGTTTGAATAATTTTTCCAGAAATAGTTGTTCTATGATTACTTTTTTATAACCCTAAAGTGCATTAATGAATAGAATTGAACGTTGCCTGGAATTCCTGCTTAAGTAATCCACTCTGACATAAAAAAGACAAACCAAGTAAGCTACACTTTCACATTTTGTTATTTCTTCCAGCATGTTTTGCTACGAAGTAAAATGAACAAGATTTGGTGACTAATAAGCTATATATGCTCTTACATTTCTTCAGGGCAATGAATAGGTGGCTCCATACGTTTACCACTTAGCAAAATTTTGTACACTTCGGAAACAGGTATTCCTGGATATGGAGTCCCTCCTATATAAACATGTTTAAATATCTTGTAATTTCTAAGAGTAATTTAGGTCAGGAGAATTTTGTGTATTTGCGTTCATTATAAAAGACATTTTCTCTTTCCATTCTTAAATAGCTTACCCAACGTAAACAGCTCCCAAAGTACTATCCCAAAGGACCATCTATAGGAAATCATGATCATTACAGCATAGCAAAACAAATAACTAACAATATCGCATCTTACGATGTACAAAACTTACATGTCACTTTTTTGTGTATAAAGATTCTTTTATTGACTCTATTGCCATCCATTTCAAAGGAACTAATCCCTGCGTTTGTTGTATGTATGAATTAATACACTAGTCTTCACATTATACATTAAAGACTTCACATATTGCATTGCATCGGATAGATCTTCAAGTTTATGTAAGATCAGGGACAACTGTTAATTGGGTTGAATAATTTCGCACAGTTCTGAATTGAATCTTGAAATAGGGCACTGCAACTTACGCACAATGTTTTCCACAAAGATCAAACAAAATTCACCTATTTGAGACTATGTAGGCAATTGTAATTGTCATCAAAGTGAATTTAAATTCGTAATTTTTTAATCAAAAGGACGCAACTAACTCTTAAACTGAGCTGCGTTGGGTTAAAAAAAATGAGCACCAATGAAATGGAATGCTTTTTTTTTAAATTTAGCAACTTACTGGTGTGTTCTTTGTATAAGCTTGATGTTTGTAAACATCTCTTGCCAAACCAAAGTCTCCAACCTTGGCTATGTAACCTGCACCAAGTAGAATGTTACGAGCAGCAAGATCTCGGTGAATTATCTGTAAACAAACATATACGAGCCTAAAAAAAGGTCCTTTCTGTTGTCGACAAATAAAAGAAATTTAAAAAGTTGAACGTTATAGTTATTGTATAATACGAAGAAATACGAGCTCGTGGGAATTTTAATCACTACTATTGTTTTTCAGATACTCTGTCTTTTCTAGCCAGCATTTTCATATTCTGAACTTTGAGTAAGGACGCCCAAAGACAATTAAGGGACTTATTTAAGTGTTTAAGATTAAATCGAATTTTTTAATTCAGTATATGTATTATTTTGAATAGACTACCTTTCTTGAAATCAAGAATGCCATTCCTTTTGAAATATGATAAGCCAATTCCATCAGATTTTTTGGTCCATAGCTTTGTCTTAGATCGGCTTGCAGAAATTTTTGTCCACTTTGTATCTACCTCGACTGTTTCGCAAGAATTCACGAAGATTTCCATGTTCACAATACTCCATGATGACCCATAGAGCTAAAGCATCACCTATATGAAAAGGATCACAGAGGAATTTTTCAAATGAAAATTGAAAAATTGACAAAATTATTGCAAAGCATAACACGCAGTAAATGTTCATCTGTCTTTGGTCGGATTACATCAAAGTTGTCCAATACAGGATATAATATAGGCACAAGACAGACTCTTGAATACTGTCCCTTTGACTATCGTAAGCAGGCTTAGATAAGCTTAAATGAAAAGTTATAAATGTAGAACATGCTATGAAAGCCAGACAAAATTTATATCCACGCACGGGAAACCGATTACTCTTGTCGATTCATACTCACCTTTTGTACAAGCTCCAAGAATATTCACAATGTTTTCATTTTCGCCAACATGAATCAATATTTTCAACTCCGACAGCAAGTCAGTTTGCTTGCTTCGGTCCCCATTATCTGCAGTATTAGCAAAGGTTTTAGAAAGCAGAAACTCCTTTCATAAATCAGATGTATACAGTGAATAAGCTTTTAATTAAATTTGACGAGAGCTGTATTATGTATTTCAAGCAATTTTAGTGTTCATAACTTTGCTATTTCTTAAGATCCATCTATATGTCAAATTAAGTAGAAGAACAACAGATTATCTAATCCACATTATAGCTACACAGGCAGTCCAAACGAGCTGCTTGAACTTTGTATACTCAAGCTAGGCAGTGATGATATATTTGAAAGGAGATTATTAATGGTAAATACGAAAAAGTCACAAGCAAACCATTTGAAAAGAATACAAAAAGATTTTTTATATGTTTTTCTCAAGTGAGACAAAAGAATAAGCTCCTTCATTAATTGAAAACTTTTGCATTTTTAATTGTTGCAAACATTAACGAAAAATACACCAGGAGAAAAGAGCATGCAGTATCACCTTTCACTTTTTTGACAGCAACTTTTGTTACTTCTTTGCAATACACGTAATTATTTCTTTTAGTCATTCGATTGAAGAATAAGAATCTTCTCTGATGCTCCCTCTCCTTCAACTTACATCTTGGCTTAAATGCTGAAATGCCAATTGCTTCGGCCAGCCAAACAACTCCAAATTCGCCTGAGCCAAGTTCATTAACTTAATAATCGAAATTCATAAAATTAATCAGTTCTGGAAACCTGCTCAATTTAAAGCCCACTAAATCCCCCCGTCTCCCACCAGAATTACACATATGATTATGAGCAGTAGTTTGAGTTATACATTAGTCGTTAAAATGCACAAACAAACAATAAATTACAATACAGAATCATGAAATTCACTTACTGAAAGTTATTCTTTCTCTAGGAAATTCCCACTCGGGTATATATGGAAGCTTTTGCATTTGTTCGTGCATATTTCTATTAATATCTATCTTTTCAATGTAGTCAGGCATTGGAGGATAAGAAAGAAGATAAAAACCTCCGTAAAGTTTTTTCCTTTTGAACAATACATACGACGTAATGAGCAAAATGACTACAGTAATAACGCCAGTTGGTATGACAAACAACATTATAGTTTTCGGAGTGTGTTTTCCATTCAAAGTGTCCACTAGATAAATGGAAAAATGCATAATGAAAAATATCAAAGCCATGCTCTAGATGTAGGTATCAATCTGTCAAGTGATTTGGAAAGCTACATTGAAAATTAAGGATATATTCTCTTATGACAAGCACACACAACAAGCATGTTTTTAAAACACATGTTGAAGCATTCTATCATCTGTCATAAATACACAAGCAAAAACAATGTAGCCTCTATGTTGCAAGCATTTTTGTGGTATTAGAGGAATGTATACCATACTCCGTCAATATTTCCAAGTGTACGAAACTTATTTTCGTGCGTTTAAGATTACAATTTGAAATAAAAATGGAAATTGTCTAATCGAATGAAAAAACCTTGCCTTTGTAATCAACATTTATAACGGGAGATGTATCTTTTCCAGCTGTATTTCTGGCAGTGCAACGATATTTTGTTTTACCCATTCCTTCTTTATTTATAAACAAAGAATACTTGTATGAAACTGGCGCCCAGCTATCTCTTCCATTTTCACAGTTGTGAAATTTGCATTTATACCAAGTGAAGTTTACATGCCATGGGTAAAATTTTGGCTTCAGTGTGCAGTTGATGATCAATACTTCATCATTGTGCAAGGTATATTGAGTGTTTTTTATGTCTGTACGAGGCTTCACTGCAAGAAAAATTAGTGTCAAAATTAGCTTTATGATACATTCCTGGATTTCATTTTTAGCACAAATACGCGAGCTCATTTATTAAATGAATATGTTTTTATGTTAATACAAGCCTTTCTTTAAAATAGCTGTAGTGGTCTAAGATCCTTTGCAGGTTCTGCATGCGTTCATAATCATAACAGATGTGATATCCTATGGTCGTATATCATAAAGTTCTATATACGTTCAAAATGTCGTATAGAGGGGAAAAAAAATCTTGAAAGACTATGTAAATTTGGTAAAGCAGTCAAAACGTTAGGCTGCATTTAAGATCTTTACAAAACATTTAAAAGTATGATTCAACATGACAAATTCATTTTACAAATAATACCTAGAATTTGCAAAGAAAACTTCTTAGTTTCATATCCTTTTATATTGCTAGCATTCAACATGTAAAGTAGGTTGTTTTCAGGAAATGCAGCAGATTCAACTCTAAAAGATTTTCTTGTTATCTTTTCTGACCCTTCGTGTACTTGACAGTGATTTTCTGAGGAGAGACAACGCGTTATGAGGTGGAAGGTTTGGCCATCATCTGACAAATGCGACCAATAGATGTCGGAAGCAGGATTTGACGTCACGTGATAGATTATTGAAAAAGGATTTCCTTCGTAAACAGAAAATTCTTTTGCGTCGTTTTCAATTTTCACTGTGGGTTTCGTCAATTCTAAAGAGAATTAGCCAAGTACAGCATGTGTGTAAAGACCTTTGCACAAGCATTAAAACCCTCACAAAGGACTACAGAAAGAAGCCAATAGCACTTTAGATGCTTATGCAACATTGTTACACCAGTTCAAAGCAAGTTCCAGACAACAAGCTTGCAACGCATTAACTCAAATTCGCAGGCAACAACAAAGAAGAAAGTTAAAACAAAAGTGATGCATTAGACAGGAGAAACGACAAAAACTTCCTTATGATTTTTAAATGACTAAAAATTAGTTTACTTTTTTGCGTATCTAAAATTTGTTAATAATTATTTAAGTGAAAGTAAAGTTGACAAAAATCATACACATATGTTCAAAAAGATGGAGGTCTTTAAGCAAATATATAAATCAATATAATAGACATCATGCAAAAAGATTATACCTTTAAGTTTTATTTTAATCATTGGAGATGATTTAGAGTAAATGTCTTTTCGTTGGATTACACACTTGTAGATTCCCTCCTTTTCAGACGTCATTGGACCAAGCACAAGCTTTTGTTTTGTCTCCAAACGTTTTATTTTTCTGCCATCTTTTTCCCAAAACAGGAAGTAGTAGTGTTTCAGAATTTTAAAGTTACTATAAATGTTGCTTTGCATGTCAAAAAATTCGCAGAGCAAGACCAAATTTTCATTCATATTGTAGGATGTTTTGTTTGGCAGTTTTATAATCCGGGGTTTCAAGTAGGACTTTACTTCTACAAAAGTAGAAAATGATTTGTTTGAGAAAGCAGGACGTCCTTGAGATATTCTTTACCAAAAGGACTATACTAGAGAGCTAGCTATGGTTCTCGTAGACGTCATATGTTTGTATTTTGTTGGTCATTTAGTCAAGGATAAAAGTACTTCATGAAACAGAATGAAATTAAGATATAAAACATATTATGAAACTAGCCATTAGCCTATTAAATAAAAATCTTATAACATAAGATGAAAAACATTTCGCATATTATTGTGCATTTAACTGCTGTAGTTAAAAACAGCAACCGTGTGTTTGAATTTTTGACTAAGTGCAGCAATTTATGAGTCCACTAACAATTTTTTCATGTGTCTCAGCTTACGAGTTTTCCAAATAGTGTGTGCACAACAAAAACACAACCAATACAAGTTAAATTAAACATGTTTCCAATTGTCCATTTTATAATTTCATCAATGAAATTTTTGAATATCCAATATTCACATACTGACATATAATAGATTTGCTAACATTGAGAAATCACCAATTATAACCACTATTAACAGTTAAATTTATGTCGAAAACAATGAAACTGTAATTGAAATTAAATATCACTTTGTTAAAATAACAAAAAGCTTTTCTTTTAGTGTCTTTATTTTTGTAAATGCTTTTAGAGTGAAAAATATTTCAGCAGACATTTACTCTTAAAATTAAAAAGACTTATGCTATTGCAAGAAAGCATGCTTGATCTGGAGATTTTGGCAGACAGCAAATAACAAATGCATGACAGACTTGTAAGAGAGCAAGAAAATTTTTTAAAATGCGGATTGAACATCGATGCTAAAAATACAGGATGCAAAAGTTACCATTATATTCATGGATATGGAGACGAATTGAGGCAGGCAAAAATACTTTTAAGTATTTGGGTTTGCTATCGTTCCTGATGAAAGAGGATATGAAAAGGAAGTGAAAAAGAAGTGAATGCATGCTGATTGAAAAAGAAGCATGGTAAAGCCGAGAACAACAGTCAAAATAAAAACAATGAGTATGAAAGAAGTAGTTTATGGCTGCAACATTACTCAGGCCAGTATGGCTATACATATATAGGAATTAGAGCGTTTGGGCTTAAGAGAGATGATAGAAAATTACTGAAAACAGAGATGAATATGCTACAAAAAATTTTGGAAGTGTCAATACATACTAAGATAAGAATAAGGGAAATGATAAATAAATGAGCAGTATGATCAAGTTTAGTGACAGTTATGGAAGAAAATAAACTACCTTGGTATGGTCTTGTTTTGAAGAAAAAGAAGGCAGACGTTGTCAAGCTGGCATCTCAACCAGTGAAAGAAAAGAGATGCAGAGGGTGGCACTTCAAAAGGTGGAAGTACGGATTAAGTGATATACTTAAAAAACTGATCTTGACGGAACAAAACGCGTACAATAAAATGATGTGAATGAGGGAGATCATGTTCACTAACTCCCAACAAAGGAAATAATTGTGTTGGCAAATATACAAAGAAGAAGAATGTTGTTCTCAAAAAACGAATCTCAGGCCGGATAGTACAATTCAGCAGAAAAAAAGTACATCAATAATTTAAAGTTAGATATATTTACCTGTATTCACCTCAACAAAATAACGTTTTGGATTCGTGTTGGGGGCTTTACATATATATATCTTGGACGAGGTCACTTTTGTGACATTGAAGATATTCTTTTCTACCATTTTTATTGTTTCGTTGTCAATTTTTAAAGGATTTTGAGAGTCATCCTCATCCCAGAGTTCGGCGAGTGTATTTATATCGTTGACAGTACAATCAATTGTGATCCATTCGCCAACAAGACGGCGTGATGTGGTTTTTTCGTGCATCCAAGAAAACGCTGAAAGGTATAAATACATCCTAACGCTGAATAGTTCATAAATTTTGTTTCTTGTGAATTGCCACGCGAAGCAGATGAAGTAGAAAAAAAAAGGCAGTGAAACAAGATGGACGGAACTTTCAATTTCTAACCTTGTAATCGTCACAAAGTGCTCTGCGTTTTATGAAAGAATTAAAATGCATTGGAAAAATTCCATGTACAATCGTATGTGGATGCACTAATTGTGACAACGACTTGTTCATGCTGTTTCAACTGTACTTAGTTAGAAAAAGCTAATTGCCTGCATTTTATCAGAAATAACTTAAGTTTTTAAAAATATGAAATAGGTATATTATAGCACTTATGCAAGATGGACAATATGTTTCTGACTTACGTCTTTTGCTATTCACTATAGACATAATAGTACAATTTTTGATTAACTCAAAACATAGCAACACCACTAGAGCATCATTATAAAGTGTCTTCATCATGTAGTCTCTAAATTAATGAAGGAATAAAATGCATTATTCTAGATGATACTATGCAATTCTTTCATCCTATTCAAACGAGATAAGTTCCAGCAACTATAATTACGTAACAAAGGCTGTAAAGATCTTACTTACTTTCCAGATTAAATGATGGTTTTCTCAAATAGACACTGGTGAAACAGTCTAAATGGCTAACCCGGTCTTCCTTTATATAGCCTCTTGTTTAACCATACTCAAGTGATCACATTAAAGGAAAACAATATTTCATAATTTATGCGATGACACAAAAAAACATAGCTACTAATTATAATTCAATAAAGACATGAGTGAGTAGAGTATAAATGTGAGAGATACTGTTTGTTATGAAAGTAAAGGGAAGAGATATTACATGCAGAGGCAGCTGCCGCGAAAGCGTTACGTGAAAGATTTCGTGAAATATTTCCTACATCAACCTTCTGGTAAGCAAATAACATATACATATAGAAATTTGAGTTTTGTGTTGATGAGGCAATTGATAAGCATTCTTAACGCTAAAAAATACTGTAATGAATACCAACTAATGTTTTTTTAGCGAAATATTGAGACAACAGAAAACATAAATCTATAAGCATGTTGTTATATCTAAAAGATAGTTTATACACACTACTATAGACATATTTACCTTGACTTATAATGTTTTCTAAAGCATTTTATGTATCCTCATTGACGTCATTGCAACAATGTGTTTAAACTGTTATTTTATTCTCAAACTGACATACACGCCTACAATTCTTTGGCCAGAAATAATGAAACTGTGTCCAGTAGGAAAGGAAGAGCAGGCAAAAATGTGTATAGAAGAAATGCACATATGTCAGTTTAATTATTATTGCAAACATATGGCACTAGATGATCTGATACAATCATCGATCATCGATTCTTCCCTGCCTTTATGCTGCGTAGGCTCTGCCATATGTATTGAAATTAAGTAAGCCCTATATTAAATTTTCATTTAAATGTATTGCCATTGAATCATTACTACTAAATGGAATCTCTGCTAAACATTTTCTTTGCTTTAACTATGAATTGCGAAATCCAATAAAAAACGAGTAAGCAAAAGTTAAACCGCGCGCTAATCAGAGACAAAATTACTTAATAATCTAAAATCTATCACATTCGTGCCATTCTTTATCAGGTGTTACACATTATCATGATACACGACTCACTCAGGGCCTATTTTAGCATATAAGCTAGGGGTTTGCTCCCCCCCCCTGTGACATCAATCAATCTATTAGTTAAATGTGGCATGTGATGGATTCAGATCAAGCTGTCAAGTCTGATGCAGGCGAAACAAAAGCGACCTTTTATCGAAGATTCTGTCTTGATGCTAATGAAATTGCAAAATCTACGGGAAAAATGTGCCTAGTAATAACAAGTAATAACTTGTTTAGTGAAAGGACTCAAATTGTAAAGGCTAAAAATGCAGAAAATTACTGTCCATAATATATCTTAGTTATTTTTCAAATAAGAAAAAAGCGAAGAAATTGCAATTGCGACGTCCAGTTGATTTGATGACGTTAGATCAACCGTCCTAAGTACAAATTATTTTGATATTATTCAATGAAAGATGCATTGGAAGAAGACATTGATATTATTTGTTGTGATATTATATCGATCAACAAAATTAGTAGAAGCGTCATTGGCCGTGCATTTTTGTTTTGATATTGAACAATCAACTGAATCAAGGCAAAAAATACAGGTTACTTTTAATGGAGGCAATGAAACGTCTCTCCCTATAAGAATAACTTAAAACATGCATTGCTACAATTCTAATTGTTTAAGCTCTATGAAAAAGTTTGTTACTCGATTTCGGCCTACAGAAAGCAATAGGTGACTGGTATATTGAATTACTAGTTTATGGTCCTTCAAATAATATTTTCGATTTTGATAAAACCGATGGATAGTGCCTTTTTCAAAATGCCTTGGAGTTTATACGCTCAAAATACACATATAGACCATTACATTATAGTTGTGTTTTAGACACATGCATTGATAGTGCATTTATTGACTTATTTCTGATCCAAACCAAACAAGAATAATATGCACTTTACATTAAGCCCGTTTTGTATGAACTAACACTTTGTTAGAAACAATTTAGGTACAGCTCAAAAGGGTAGCATATCACTTTGGTAGGTGTAGTTTGTCTGTTTACACGAACGTTGTGTAAATTTACACGGCTAAATGGTTTTTTCTGTAGTCTTTGAAATTTAGAGTATGTGAGGGAGAAGACGCCCATAAAAATTTCCATAAATCATGTGTCAAAGTTACATAGCAATTCGTCAATTGTATATTTGGAAATATATTTACAAACAAAGAAACACATCGTACTGGATAAACATATCGTTAAAGTCAGAATGTAGATAGCTGTATACAGGTTTTTTTGAGAGATATGTGTTGCATCATTTTATAACACTCTACTATTTCGCATTATGCATATACATGCAACTTTGTTTGTAAAACAATACATGGCTGACGTTCATAGGGCATAGGATAATGGTGTACCTTCTATACCATCAGAAGAAGTAGATTTACTGCAACCATCTCATTTGCTTAAATCACTAAGTGTATAGACAAATTGTATAAGATTGAACTATCTTTCCTTCACTATTCTCAACCAAATAAATGTATGCTATATTGACGTTGGCTGAGTGTTTTCTTTGGATCGATTCCAAACAAGTTTCTCTTTATCACTCCATCAAACATGTTTTCTTAGTTTGCAGTGCTCCAATGTTTTTCAGTAGCTACATATTTATTTATTGATGATGGTTGGAATTTTTGCCATCTTTCGGCATTGCTGCATACGATGAAGAGACTTTGTATGCAAATCATGTTTTTTTAACAATTTTCTACATGTCCTTGCGACTACGATGTTAGACTAAAGTATCCTTTCGTGTTTTGAATTGATCACATTCCAAACATCAATTTATAACCTAAAAACGGTGAATACAATGTGAGTGGTAGTTTAATAGATCATTAATAAACATGATTAAATTACTATCAAATTTGAAGTTGCCATAGATAGATAAAGATATCTAACCTTCATTTTTTTCTAATCGCACTGTTACGGTAGTGTTGGCTACATAATTGACGATCCTTCTCTTTATCTCACACACGTATGTTCCTTCATCGCTCTTTGTTACGCTGGGAATAGTAAACACTGCTTTGTTAACATCATTTGCGTATGTTAAGCTGCTCTTCAAGCTCTCATTTGACCCAGCTTTGTACCAACGTATACTGTATTGTCCATAAACTTTACAAACCAAGGTAACAGTGTCACCATAGGGATATGCTGTTTGGTTCGGCAATTTAGATGCGATTGGATTAGCATAGGCTAGACCACCTTTGAAGGAAACGAATCCAAAATTCATTCTTTAGTATATTTAAGCATGGAAGTACATTATTGCTAGATCATTGATTCATTATTGCGAATCTGTAATTCGTTTTCTAGTATCTTTTGCATGGAAGTACATTATTGCTAAATGCTAACACAGATTTCCTCAACTCAACATAAATAAATTAATATGCACACATACGGGTGATAAAAAGTTTTCCGAGATACTTGCTGGTGCCACAGGCCTTACAATAGTATCGACCTCGGTCTCGTCTTTTTAATCCATTTATTTGAAAAACATTGTTCTTTAACACTTTGATATATTGTCCATCTGGATGACGCTGAATTTCTCTGTTGTATATTTTCTGCCATAGGGTTACATTTACATTGTTGCTTTTGACTTGGCAATCAAATGTCCATTGTTCTCCCATAATGAAAACGTCATCTCCAGAGTTAGTGTTTCTTCCCGGAGTGATCCAACCGACTTTATCTTAAGATAATATTTGATATTCATAAACGAAGACTAATCATTGATTTCTCTTGCAAACTGATGACATTTGTTCACAAAAAATATTTATGTACGAAGTCCATAGTCAAGGGAATATCATAAATGTTGCTATTAAATTTTGCTCAAGACAAATTACTATTATTGTGAAGTTCAATTGTCATGATCATGTTATAATAACCATCGATTGTCTTCAACAACAGCAGAGACTATCATTTTATTGTCAATGATGTATATTCCATTTTGTGTCTTGTGGAAGTGACACAGTATAGGCCATTTTAAATACCACAATGTGATCATAAACAGCATTTTTGTGACGTACATTTTTATGGCTATCACACACACAGGCTTTACAGAGTAGACTTTTTCCTTAACTCTTTTCACATGGAAATGACATTTGCATAGATTCTATTGACTGTGGCGGTGAAGACAAATTTCACAGATATTTGGAAATGTAAACCAACCAATTAACACCTAATCATGCAAAATTTCTAAAGCTTGCTTACCTTTTCCTGTAGATGATAAACATCGATTATCGTCGAGAGTAGTAACCAGTGTTACGAAAACGACTTCGAACGAAATGAGGTAGAAGTTTATGTATCGTCCACTCATCGCCATTGGAAATGTTTAACTGAATATGAATATGAAAACAAGGTGAACATAATAAATATCAAGGGATTTATTAACATACGACCCATGTGACTGTCAGTTGTGGATGATTCGCTCGCTTTTTTATGTTTTACACACACTATATTGCAAAAATCACTGGTTTTTCAACTTTTCGTTTCTAATTTGCTTTGTATATATAGTCCAAATCAAGTTCATGGCGTTCTTGAAAAAGTAAAAAGAAAATTATATTTTGCTATTGCAGCTTAACAGCGTAGCCGAACAATTGTTCTTACAGCTTTTACAGACATTTATCATGAGTTATATGATTGAACATGTGGGTAGAGTTTGATTAATAAAAAAATAAAAAAAATAAATGAAATAGGCGTGATCTTCTCTTGAGCAATGGTCTATATATTCGAGTTCTTTCCTCTCACCTGACAATCACTAATATATCTGTCTCATAGCAGAAAAGTAAAATGATTCGTATATTCCAATAGTTGAAAGCCTTTGCATGATAAATTCAACTGCATTCTGTTCTCTGCTTAAATATATTTTCTTTTTCGCACCATATGTTGTTTTTATGACTGTCAAATGGTCAATATTTTTATATATAAGTGGCACTTCATATCATGGAGAGGCCATACTCACCGCGGTCGAAGTGTTGATTGAATTTACGGCTCCACAGGAACGTATAGAACCTTCCCGTCTTCAATCAGCACAAAATTTAAAACGGATTTTCATTGGAAACCGATCGCCAATTCCCAATTTTGTGGTCTACCATGCTGTTAGCACGATTAAAAGCTTTGATAAATAACTGACCCCAAACGTCTTTGACGCAAAAGAAACATGTTATTCTCAGTGTAAGTAGCTACAGACCTGCACGCTGATAGAGTTGTTACACTTTGTTCACCAGTTTATGTAACTATAATATTTAATAAGATTACAAGTTGTTCATAAGGTCAACGAAAGACGAATGTCAGCACATACTTTTCTTGTTATTAATCTGACAGTCATTATTAATATAGAATAACAAAAGGAAATTATAAGAAACAAAAGCGCATTAGTATAAGGAGCAATTTCTTTTGGCACGCAGTTATCCGTTTCAGTTTGTGGACATTTTTGAAGTTAAGATTTATTAGTAAAGAGCGGGGTAGATGATCACATCACTACATTACCTTCTATGATGTGATCATCATATATATATTCTTTCAATTATTTTGAATGACGAGGTAATAGGGACATGACTATTGCGAGTTTTTCCTATTTAACTAAAGAGCTGAGAGTTTTTCAAAATTGGCATTGCAAGCTATGACATTTCTTTGACTCGAGTACTCGACGTACGATGCAAGCAGGCACGTAAGAATGAAAAAAATTAGCTACAAAATATGAACAAAACAATTAACAGAGCATTCTTCGGAACATATTTCTCTGTTTTGTTTCGTTGAATGAAGTGATGAAAAAAAGCTAAATGTCGTCATCCTTTTGGCAGTAATTGTTCATTCTGCGCGCAGCTTGAAGTGAACATTCTCACATTATGATGTACAAATAATTGCACGATTTTTATACCACACAGTTCAAGGTAAGTCATCACGCTCAAAAAGCATGAAATATGTTTATTTCGGTATCATAAAGGATATAGTCTATACCTACGTTTTTATTCTTTGAACATAGTGCCCTAAGCAATCTCATGGAGAATTCATTTAGAAGCTTAGCTATTTTTAAATGAATAGATTCTTAAATGAAAACCTTGTAAATGCTGGCTGCTGTAGGAGAGAATAAAAACTAAACTAATCGTTTTTCTAATTTGCTACAATTCATTAATTGATGACGGCGTTAACGAGTTAGCATGCTGATTTTGACATACAAAGTTTTCCGGCGCTTTTCCATTCGCTTTCATTAGATGACCTTGGAAGTCATTAGCAGACTTCGATTCAATCTTATGAATTTTTGTTATATTATATGGACGCAGATGTGGTTTTCTCTCTTTAAACAGATTCATTGTCTTACGCAAACACTTTGTTAAGAAATACAACAGAAAACTCCCTATGAGATTTTGTTATTTTTGCTGATATTGAATACCATTAAGCAGAAAACTGTAAGATTTTGTTATCTTCCTCTTACGTAGCTACCTATATACATGAGAAATGTTATCTATAAATTTTGCTATGCGAGCTTCTCTACAAATGAGGTGTTTCCTGTCTCTAGAAAATATTCGACGTAATAAACCCACAACGTAGCTAAGACTTTCTGAGTTTTAAAACCGCATTTATATGAATATATATGTACGGTCAAAGTTTGTATTGATACATTCTCTATATGTTAATGGCGATAAAGCGAAACCGCTGATCAAAACTGTAAGGAGCATCTTGTTTTTGCTAGAAATTACGTTTGCGGTTCATCTCGTGTTTGCGACAAGCAACAATGTTTACTTTGTTTTGTGGTTAACATAACACCGAAGAAAAATATTACATGCATAAACGTATTTCCAACACAAATCAACCGTCACAACATAACAGTCCTTTTTGATGAATACAAGTTTATATGTTGACTTCTTATAAGAAGATTCAAACTTTCATTTACGTAGTATATTTGCCAGCCTTCACATTGAGAAAGATTTTAAATGCTCAACCTAAATTATATTACATCGACCATTCAAGTTACAGAATAAATTTTGCATAACATAGCCGAACGACGAGTTTGCTCAGCAAACAATCAGATTTGAGAATACGGGAAGACGTCAGCTACGAACATGCACAAACATTTGTCGTCATTTTTGTTCAGCATGAAGTTGCCAAATTATCTTCACGCTGAATGTAAACAACGAATGAATTGAGTAACAAAACTTAAAACTCGTCAAGACTGCATTAGGAGCAATTATTGTTATTTCCGTTGTCATGAGAAATGTGCTGGATAAACAAAAATAAAAGCTATGCATTTAACGAAAAGCAATTTTATGGCTCTCATTTCTGTTATTTCCTTTACATTTTGAAAATGCGATCACATGATTCATCGCTGCACGTGAATTTTAAACAGCATCTGGAACAATTTCGAAAAATATCCTATTGCACAAACATATATAATAGCAAGTGTTTGAGTTTATTTTATATAATAAACTAGTGGCAAAAAAGGACAGATCACTTATTTCACAGGCTACAAAGGCAGTGTTGAAAACCTAGCTTCTCTGCTCCTCATAATTTTTCGAAGCTTATACGCAGCTTTTATCAGTCAAAGTTTTTATAATTAGACTGTAAAGAAACTGTCAGCGCTATCCAATCGTTTGTATAGCTATAACTGTTTCATACGGTTGTCTGCCGTTTGGCAACTGTATTTATAATACGTTCATAAAGACAAGTGACACATCACAGATATTTCATGTGATTTTCTTTGCAATTCAATTCTGGATCAATAGGATTTTGTTCTTGTATTTTTAAGGTAAAAATGCACCAAAATGAACCCAGAGAAGTTTTAAATCCTTGCTTGTATTTATCTTTTAAATCCTATTACTGTGGATGGTCGTTCTAGCATGACTGGAAAATTTTGTAAATCGTCATCCCGTTATGAGCTACTAGCCACACAAAAAAGGTGTATGAAATATAGCTGTTGAGTAATGTTATTTAATCCACGTTGGAAAATTTGCGTCTTAATTTAGTCCAAAAAATTACATAAGAGGCAAGAGAATTGGCCGCATTCCCTTGTCGTTGCATTATTAACATTCCTTGCAATGTTATCTCTATGGAGATGTCAATAGACCTGCGGGAGTATGGAGCTGTACAAAGAGAAAATTTTTTTAGATTACTTATAATACGTCACAGAGCGTCATAAGCTTTTCCCTCGACATGACGTACTTCTGATAGTGACAAAAACAGGATAAAGTGTTTTGAAAACGTAATGAAAAGTACGTATGCCAAAAGTTTCTAAGTATGACGCTGTATTTGACGCAATACAACGTCTTGCAACATGCAAAATACTACTAATGCCATGCTTTGCCGCTACTCCCCTTATTATCATATTACAGCCTAAAATATTTTTGCATAAAGTCTTGGCTTTTATGTTTCCTTTCGCTAGTTTGATTACACTATGTTACCAAATAAAACTTTGGAGCTTAGTGAACATGAATGATAAAACACCAGTCTCAATTAAACAACAGCTGGACGAGTATTGAAACGACATTATACTTTATCCATGATGTCAAAGTAGTGTCGCCTTATAAGGAACTCGCCAGAATGCCTACTCCGCGCCCTCTCCAAATGTAAAGTCAGAGACATCGCTTTTTCAAGGTTAAAACATTGAATGTAGTCCACGTAAATAGAAGTGGCTAGAAACAAATAGGATCCTTCACGTCAACATCGAATGAGTAATGACGAAGATCATTCATCAAAAAGTCAAAGTGAGGTTATAGAGGAGATTGAATGTTTAGGGTCTCAACCTTATTGTAATAAAATTATGTTAAATTGTTGTAACATAAATCGACTTAATATGGAACATAATACTCAGCTATGTTTCAATGAAGAACTCGTGCAATTCAGGGCGATGGTGGTACAATCCAGCCCTCCTTTCCAAGAATGTTTAAAGAGGAAAATAAAAGTTGTGGGAATATAAACTCTTTATTATTTTTCTTATCGAAGCATCAACAGTTGACAAAACCTATTTAGCTCTACAATATGCTATTGTAATGCCAATTTCAACCTTGTTCAAGCCAAATTAAATTTTCTTCTCTTTTTTTAATTCAGCATGCAGTAGTAATACTAAATCGCAAATAGGCATCGAATACAGTGGGCTGCAAGAGAGATTCACCATTGGAAGTGGGAAAGAGCTCCTAAAAGGCAGTCTCGTAACTACTATAAGCTACGGGTTAGCAGAGCCACGGGCACCCAAGCAATCAGCTTGCAAGGGGGCAGCCTCAACGATTTTATTCATGAAAATAAAATAAAGAAGTATAGGTTTATGTTTGGGCAAGTTGAAGCACTGCATATTTCACATCAAAAGTCATTTGTGAATTCATGTTCCTGGTAGTAGAAAGCTCTATATTTGGTATTTTTCTGTACATAAATTAAAAATCAGCGAATATTGTATTCTATTAAAGACTATTAAAAAATGCTAATGTTTTCCGATTTTGAAGAGGGGCACCCCATCCTTGAAGGACCAGAGGCAGTCTGGTTCAACGTAATGGCACTGCCCCCAATAAATTGCAAAGTTATCTTTTATTAGTATTCCAACATTGGATATGTTAGTAATCTGTAACTGGTCAGGTCATAGAGTAAGTAGATGCGAAAAAAGTTGAGTGTTCTTTCTCTAAGACAAAAACATAACTCTGCACATATGGCCAAATTTTCGTTCGTAATCAGCGTTTATTTAGTTCAGATAAATATCTAAATATTGTTTTCTTGCTCACGTTCAACCAAAGTGTAGATTATATTTCAATGATTTGTCGCGATAGAATCGTTATCTTTCATGCATAGGGACCAATATTGCATGGCTTGCAAGCACATTTTGTTTTTTTCTTTTTTTATCTGTTCGATGAATGTAAATATAAAATTTATGAAAACAAACACTATATTTAATGGCATTTTTATATTAGACTGCCAGCTGGGAGATCATGATCTCTCAAAAAGATATCATTTAGATAGAATGACATTAATCTTTGAATCTTATTCACGATGTGAAATACATAAGAACAAGCATTATGTAATACACCATAGTATACCTAATATGTTTTACATGTGCATGCTTCAAATATGTTCTCCAGTTTAATGAGGCTGCATATTTTTTCCGTTTATTTACATATACAAAGTGTATAACAATGTGCCCTCCCGGCTATCACCTTAGTAAAATAGTGACTCCTGCACTTGGGACACAGGATGTACGGTTGTATGTATATATAGCTTGAATGAGAAATGAAATTGTCGAATATGTTTACCAGTATATAGATGTAATCAAAGCAGCTAGCGTAGGATGAAATCATTAATTTTCAAAGTGAAATTTTTTAATGCCATCTCTCTCTTATCATTAATTTAAGCACAGTATATGTGCTTTACTTAAGTGAAAACACACCAACCAACTGATCTAAGCACAAGTACCAAGATTCACTTTTTACATTTTAACTAGCATAAAATAATCATGATTCAAAAGCCTGTTACACCACCACAGGGAACAAAAAGTACTGCTCTCTTCATTCATATCGATTGCAATCACTCAAGGGCTTGTCTGAAATGAGGGCAATAGGTCTAGGCTCTCCGATCATGCAAAGTAAAAACCACTTACTGCTGTAAAACATATGGTATTGTGTGGAACATTTGTTTTTAAAGCGTACACTATAAATAGTATATTAAGCTTAAATAATACTCTTGTAAAGTGAGCCCAAGTTAAAGTCAACTGCGCTTAAAAATTGTAATTAGGTAAGGATTAGGTAAGGATAAATAAAAAGCAGCAATATAGACTTTATTAAAGACCTTTTATGCTTCCTATGAAAGCAATATTGATTCCCGATTTTAAAGCTACTTAACGCCAAATATAATGACTGTTTTTTTGTGCAGGTATGCATCTTCAAAGATGGTGAATTAACTAGAAAATGAAACTTTCCCGCGCGATACAAATAATCTTTTGGTTGCAAAATGTTTTCCAAACTCTGGTAAAAGCGTTTGATAGTAATGGGTGTTTGTCGTTAAAAGGGAAAGGTAATTTGATATTGCTATATATATATCTTACATAATTTGCTAATAATTATTGTCACTGTTACTGTTTTCCATTTAGTTGAACCGTTTTTACAATTCACCTAGATCAGTGAAAAAATGTCTTTTTTAAAAACAGATCAAGTAAATTGGACTACACCAGGAAGGCACGACAAATCAGGGATTGACAATTTAATTGAAGGAGAGCGATGGACGTTCGACTGCAGAACTACCAGCAATAAAGTTAACTCTACCCTGTGGCAGACGTTCCGCAATAGAGAGACCCAACGTCATCCAGATAATCAAATTGTTACAATTTTATCGAAAAATGTTTTTCGAATAAATAGTTGGAAAAAGAGAGATCGTGGTCGCTACTATTGCGAGACTTGTGGGACCAGAAAGTACCTCGGTGGATACTATTTCATAAGTATGCTTTCTTTCCATGCAGAGCCAACAGCAGTCTAATTCAATGCATTTGCTTCAGTTGTAAAAACATTTGACTTCTTATTTTCCATAACCTCACTACTGTTTTAGCATAGATTTCTATTAGCATAGATTTTCATAAGCATGTTTGTAAGTTTCTATAAATTTTTGCATTATTTCAAAAACGCGTTTCTTCAAGTTTTTCTTGGATTGCTATAGTCAAACCAACACGTTGCTCAACAAATAAAATATACTTAGTTAGGATTACAAACATGACAAAAAAGATTTGAAGTTTTAACTAAAGCTCAGAATGTTATACTATAGCCATTTTCAAAATTTATTTTTCAAAGAGGGTGACGCCTATGCAATTCCTAATGTGACAAAGGATCCCCCTCAAAACGTATCCCCTTATGGTGGCACAGTTACGTTGGTTTGTAAAGTTTATGGGCAGTACAGTATACGATGGTACAAAGCAGGATCGAATCAGAGTTTGAAGAGCTCCCTTACATACATTAACAATTGGAACAAAGAAATCCTCACAATTCCTAATGTTACAGGAAATGATGACGGTACATACGTGTGTGAAATAGAGAGGAGGATCGTTCAGTATTTGGCTAACGCGACAATTATGGTGCAGACTCAAAGTAAGCACTGTTTGAACTTCACACTTCTTTGCATTAACAATCTAGATCTATAGGGAAGTGGGCGATCAGTGTAGCCATACATGCAAATTTTCTTTAGATTTGGTGTGATGAGCCTTCTATACATAGTTGCAAAGTTCAGAGCAAGAGGGAGTGCTTGATCTCATCCGATCAAATCTAGTAAAACAAATTGCATTTATGCTCAAACTGGGGGAGGTATTTGAACTTTCAGTGTTCACGTTCCTTCTATTCAAAATTTGGAAATATGTTAGGAGTGTTGGAATATGTTCAAAGGATCTATCTAATTGACGCTCACTAGCTCAACATCATAAATACAAGGAATATAAACGTGAACATAAATAAAAGGAATACACGTCTGGTAAAACGAAGCTAAAACTTCATTAGACATTTTTTTGATGAAATACTATTATACTTCCAATCTTAAGATTGTGTGAAGCCTCGGACATTCTCCAGTGAAATGTCTTGTTAATTAAAAGTAGAAACAAATGGAAATCACTCTCACTATCTCAATTGATACATGTCCCTGCTTGTATCTTCAATGGGTCGTTATTTCCCTTGGTCGTACTGTTTATTGACATATCTTGTGGTCATGCAAAAATACTTTAATCAAAACATGTTTTGACGAAAAATTTTTGTAGTTGAAGAAAAAAAAAGATGAGCCATGAAAATCTCTTAAATTTCATTTTAGAGCCTCGCATACCATTTTTTACTGAATTCAATGCATCACTTATGATGATCCTGAAAGAAGGCAAAGACTTCCATCTTAAGTACACAGTATTCGGCATTCCAATACCAAACATAACCTGGTTTCGATCAAAGAATGGAATGACTCAAGAGTTAATAAAGGAATGCCCTGGAACAAATATTGAAAACTGCTTAGAAAACGATTTGGGCTCAACGATAACTAGAAACTCTTTTACGATCTTAGCAGTGAAATACCCGGATAACGACAACATAACATACTCGTGTTTAGCAGAGAATAGTGAAGGAAAAGCGATAAAATCTTTCAAAATTGGAGTACACAGTGAGTAGTGGAAGGAATTGTTTGTTAAAAGTAGTCAAATGACGTTGGACTAATTCACATCATGCACAATGATTTTGATATTGAAACATTATTTGACGAGTGAATTACTAATTTTTAGCTGTACCAATATTAGAAAAAGACAAACCACGTGATTACCACTATTTTGAACACGGACTCGAACTAAACTGCTCAGTAAAAACAGTGAACCCAAAGAAAGTGAATTTCACGTGGTACTATTGTGATATGAATGAGCAAGTATGTCAAGCAAAGAACCTTACATTTTGGCATAAAATTGCAAAAGAAAACTCTGCAAGAACGACGGGGAGAGACCTGACCTCAAAGATTACCCTCAAGAGTCTTCCTTACAAACGAACAAAGTACCTTTGCAAAGCTGAAAACAAGTTTGGAAGAGATCTTATTTCTTACAAAGTATATGGGTTGCTAGGTAACTTTATTTTGTTTTTGATAAATTCAAGGGGAATAGAGAACAAGTGACGATTTCGACAATTTTTAAGATTTCATTTGGTTGCATTAGCATTGCTTTCAAAATTAGGTATGCCTCGTGTGTTCAAGTATGCTGCAGTTAAAATATCATAATTCTAACGTAGCAAATCTTGGATTGACAGATTCGTCTGCTCACCTTGACAGCTCACTTCCCTTCATCCTGCAGACGGCTATTCCAGTGGGAGTAATATCTCTGATTACGTTAAGCATGATAGGCCTAGTTATGTTCAAAAGAATGAGGCTATATGGTGGGATGTACATATTTTCATATCCTCCAATGCCTGACTACTTAAAGCAGCTCGACTACAGCAAAGATATTCGTGAGCAAGTTCAAAAAATACCTTATGCTTCGGAATGGGAGTTTCCAAGACAAAAAATAAAATTGGGTAAGCATTAAAATTACGGTATATAAATGTAGTTTGGCTATAGTTTGATCTGAAAATGAAATTATATCTTTCAACAGATTCAGAGCTAGGTAGAGGAGAGTTCGGCAGCGTATGGTTGGCGCATGCTCATGGAATCGCTGAGTTTTGTCCACGCGACAGTTCAAATAAGAAGACTTTCCGTTTCTCAGGCTTTTTTAGTTCATCACACAGACGAAAAAGCACTTACGTTTGTTGTAAACATGTCAGTCCTGTTGCAGTGAAGAAACTTAAAGGTTTAACTGCATGAGCCTAATGCATTAATACCGTTGAAGCTAATCTATAGTGTTTGTAGCCTAAAGCCATTCTAGTTTTAGTAGCCTGATGCCAGTCTAGAGTTAGTAGCCTGAAGCCAATAAACATAGCAGTACACTTAATGCAGCTCAATCCAGCTATTTTCCACAAAAACCTCTCTATGTCCATTCAGATGAATTTGACAAAGAAAAACTGCTCGATCTTCAGGCGGAATTGAAAATATTGATTCACGTTGGTGAACATGAAAACATAGTGAATATATTAGGAGCGTGTACGAAAGGTATTTATTCTTAGAACAGCATGTGCGTTAGTTTCACTAGTCAACAAATCATACAGGTTGGAATTTTTTGAATTGTTTTTTGGTTAAAGAGATCCTGATGCTATCACTTGTGTGATAGTGTCACTTCATTCAGCTACTCCTTCAAGAAATTTAAAAGATTGATTGTTGAAAATTTGTGAAAATTGCAAAATATATGTTACACAGGAAATTGCTTTGATTTGTGGATCCTGTTGGAGTATTGTCCTTTTGGTGACCTCCGCTCTTTTCTGCTACACGGGCGAAGTCACTATGAAAGCAACCAAACTTCTCCTTCTTTGGATTTATCAAGCAAGTTTGGAGAGCAAGACTTGAGCATCATTGCTTTTCAAATTGCTAAGGGAATGGAATTTTTGATTTCAAGAAGGGTTAGTTTTGTTTTTTAATCGCCTACAGCTTCCATGTGAAACCAGAGTTTGGGTTACTGAAACACAGAGGCCGACTGGTTTATGACCTTCCCTGCTATTTCAGCAAACTGCAAAGGGGTGTGAGGATGTCACAGTTTCCAGTTGTTACTTTCCTACAAACTACAAGTGGGGGAGGGCGTTTTATCCCTTTTACATGTATACAAACCTTGATATGTAGGTGACATTTCTTTAAGGTGATACACAGAGATCTTGCTGCAAGGAATGTTTTGTTGGGAGACAGACATGTAGCTAAAATTTCGGATTTTGGCCTGGCAAGAGATGTGTATAGATATCAAAAATATGTGAAAAAAACGTCTGTAAGTTCATTAAAATCAAAATGTGCAAAAACAACGTTTGAAGATTAATGATCTGATTGGTGCTGCTGTTTTAATTTAGTTGACTTTTATCATAAAATATTTTTTAAGCCTCATAAACAATTTTTCGATAATAAACTAGCTTTGATGAAGAGAAAAGTAATTGGTATTGGCAATTTAACAATCAGCGTTATGTAAAGGCTAACTATATCATTATATTATTCAATTCTTCAGGGTTTACTTCCATTAAAGTGGATGGCAATTGAATCGATTCAAGACACAGTATTCACAGAAAAATCAGACGTGTAAGAGTATAAGACTATTGTATAGAGCAGTGGGAGAGAATATATTGTCATTAGGTTTTCACACAAGTCTGACCACTTGATAGAGCCTTTAAAGGAAATCAGTCTAGCTCTAGAAAATAAACTTTTTGCATTGAACTTCAGCAATGTTAGCTTTGACCACAGATTTGTTCTTAAAACTTACAGTCAAGCGCTATTTTTTATAGTTGGTCATTTGGCGTCGTGCTATGGGAAATCTTTACCTTAGGTAAGCGAACTAAGTATTATTACATAATCTTCTACATCCATTTGGATACCTTTGGGTGTGCCACAATGCATGTTCTGGAAATAAAAAGGAATAGGCGTATTTACATTTCCATCATAGTTGTTATAAATGTTATTCTTGATCATATGAAACTAAAATATTTTTTCACAAATCATCAGATTTTTTAAAGGAGCAACACTTATTGTTGATATCTATGTTAGGTGAAACTCCCTATTCTGGAATACCAAATATGGACATCTTAGATTTCTTAGTCTCAGGTGAAAGAATGCCAATCCCGTCTTCTTGTTCGCTAACCATGTATGTATTCAAGAAAGTATGTCAAAATTTAACAGTATTCTAATGATCTATAGTTTTTTGAAGTTGCATGGTTTCTTCTTTTACCGTGTATGGTTTTATATGTTACAAACATTTATTACAACATGCCATATGTAGGTCAAACCTGATGAAGCAATGTTGGAAAAGTAACCCGGACGATAGGCCGACATTTTCACTTCTTGTTAAACTACTGGATACAAAACACAATGAATTACTGAGGTAAAAAATTGCGAAATTTAATTATTTCATTGTGCATTGCAGCAAGTTGGCCATGCAACCCGAAAAAATTGTTCTTTCTTTGCAAATATTCTCTCAGTTATGTCCACTGGCTGCAAAAACATTATATTTTTTGAAAAATGAATAATGATCTGAAATTTACATGGGATCAAAATTACCAGAACTTGCTGGCCACGCCTGGTAACAAGCCCCATCCACAGAACATTTAAAATTATGGAGTCCTTTAGGAAGCTGATTGTTTTTCATGCTGCAGCTAGTGCTAATATACGATCAAAGCTGTAGCAAAGTATTAGAAGGACCAAAAATTACCTTGTAAGGTCACATTTATGTTATACTAAACTTTGAAACTTTCATTTATAAAACTGGCAATTCGAAATTATTTTTCGCAATTCTAGAGAGTTTATAAAACTTTAATAGGAATCCTAAAACTGGAATCCAGAAATCGTATGCAACGTCATAGAAGATTTATATAAAAGCATGTTGCTTTATGACATTTAAATTCCCAAGTGGTTGAACCGAGTCCTAAATATACAGATCTTATTCAAGCAGACAGTTTATTGGAAAGTTGTGCTTTCGTAATTCATTTCGATGCAGGTCTTTTATCTTTAGAACAGATGTAGAAAGAATTGCTGTCTAGTAGACTTTGATGCAATCACTCATGATTTTGAAGAAGAATTAGACAGCTCGCAGAAGTTTCTTTACGTACAAGTGATCCATAGTCCCTCCTCTTAGACTATAATTATTTACATGTGTAGACCTTTAACGGTCACTTGTTAATTGCTGTGTGAAATCACATTGAAATATATAAAATATTTATTAAAATAAAACTGACTAGTTTTGTGGTGATCGTTATAAATCAATATGAAAGCTTCACTAGATTCACCAAACTGCAAGCATTATAGTTTTATGAAAGATTGTTATTTGCAGTGCGGTGTTTGAAATTAAATGAAGATATGATCTTCGCACTTTGCTGGACAATTTAAGCAATTGTCTCATGAACCTGAAAAATTCAGGTGACTCAACGGGATTCGAACCCATGACCTCTGCGGTGCCGGTGGAGTTCATGTTAATGAGACAATTGCTTAAATTGTCCAGCAAAGTGCGAAGATCATATCTTCATTTAATTATAGTTTTATATTACTTAAACAGGTCCATATATTCGATTAAGCAAAGTCATTTTCATGTGAATTTCTCAAATGTACATGGTGAACGAAAAACGGCAATACTTTTAAGGGGGCGGTTACGTTGAGGTGGCGACTACTTTCGAAACCACTGTTATTCAGCAAAGATCTTCTTTTCCCATAACGTTCGAGAACATTCTATGGAAAATTTTTTTGACAAAACCTGAAACAACTCAAATTAACGCACGTCCTAAGTGCATGTGAACGTTCTGATATATTGTAGTTGTTTCAAGGTTTGCCTGCATGAGTCACGACTACGATCCACCATGTTAAAGTTTTGCGGTCAGTACTCCATGCGCGATATGATACAGTTCAATTTTTTATCCTGCTGAAAAACTGAAACTTACTCCACCATTTAGTGTACTATAGTTTAATGAATTCTTTAAATTTTGGTGAGTTTATTGAGTATATCACACAAATAGAAGGAAATTCATCCAAAATCTAAAGCTACTCGATTACTGAATTTACTCTGTATTCTCAGGCCAATTGCTGATTGCTGTACACTCGATATGTCCTTTAATAAGAAAAACACGCTTGAAAACACGAATGGTCACAAACCTGCAGTTTTAGAGTGTTTCTTCTTCAAAAATTCAAGTTGTTGAAAGTCAAGTTTCTGAATGGCAACATCGTAGTATGCCTAAATTTTTGAAACTTATTGAGCGTCAAGAAACGTATCTTGTGCTGTTTATTTCTTAACTTGAAACCAATTTATGGACATTGAAAAGTATCTTGAATAAAAATTTTATCATTTACTTACGCTAATACTGATACAAATCTATGTGATCGTTTACAAGGATTTTACGCTGGGAGGCCATTAACCTAAAAGAGCATGTGAAGGGTAAGCCAAGTGACAGAGGGTCCTGAAATACCCTTCCAAGTGAAACTTTAAAAGCTGTACTTTCGTAATTGCTTTTTACACATTTTAGAGCAATTTGATGGCTACGTAAAGACGTGTTATGAAATAAGCATTTTTACTTCAAGCGAGCAATGTACTATCTGCAAAGAAATATTTAAAATATAAATTACAAATAACGCCAAAAGGGCGCAAGAATTGTTTGTGCGTGTGTGGGAGAGGGGGAGGAAGGGGGCGGAAATTTTACATTAGTGCAGAGCCAACAAGAGGACCTGGTAGGATAGGTGGCCTACAGTAATATATCTTGACCATGCTAACGGCAAACTGCGTGTATGAGTTTATAAAAGTTTAAATTTTTATTGACAAATCATCAATGCAAAACGAGTCGTCTTCGTTTCAACCAAATCCGCTTTCTTGCAATCGCTTCAATGTTAAGCTTGTTTGTAAGATCTTTCTCGAAGATCAAAATTTACATCATGGAGAATCAGAATATGGAGAAATTGCGATACAGTCGATAACTAGCGCAAAATCACAAAAGTCCAGTTATCCAATTATTAAAAGCTTTAGCGGAAGATAGCGGGGAAGCCAGACAGATGTCTATTGACTATAGTTACAAATTTACCATGTCGTGTTATGAAATAATTGCTTAGATTTGCCTATCAAAAATACAAGTAGCTTTTATTGATACTCAGACATCTAAGCAGAGTTTAAATTTGTGTATTTTAATTCCTAATCCGAGTGGCTATCATAAAGTTGTTACTGATTTAAATTTTTCTTCGTCAACACTTTCAGTTGTGACGATCATTCAATTTTATACCAAATATTTGCCAACATTTGCTGACTGATTAAAATCATAGGAGATGGTGCACTCACCTACCACACGCACACATCCCCCAGTCACTACGGCCCTGTTTATAATGCTGCTTTAATCAGTGGCGGTGGAAGATGTTTTGCATTCAGACAAAAAATATCTTGGTAGGGGCGAAGCATTCTGACCTTTGTAGTTGTAGTTGTCGAACTTACAAACAACATCACTTTTTTCTTTCCTTGCTTCAGTCCCAGACTAATGAAAAAGGTATTTATTTAAGATGCGTCATATTGCCATTGCATTTACGTCATGTTCTATTAGAAAATTTGCGCAATTTTCTTCTTAGCATTAACTCTCAGTACTTCAAGTAAATGAAAGTCCATAGGAGAAGTAAGTATTCAAAATGGCTGTCAGTATTTAAAAGTCCATCTATTTCGATGATTTCCCTTTTCAAACATAAATATATATTAAGGAAAAAATATTGAAGAAGGTAGCTCTTTCATTGGGGAAGCTTAGGCCCCCATCTGAATTATTGGGGGGGCTGCAGCCCGCTTAACCCCCCCTTTTCCACCGCCCCTGGCTTTAATGTGTTGGACATTTTGAAAAGAGAAATGACAAACGCAAAAGCTCTGTAACTAAAATCAAAGTGACAATAGCTAACTGAGTTATAATAGCCACATTGAAAACGCAATCATATTTTTTCCTAAGTCGTAACGAGGTAGGACAAAACTATGTAGCTAAATTAACAAGGCGGAACAAATAACTCTTGTAGAAAAAATTGTCTTATGCAAGTTTCATTTTGATGCATACATAATTATTTGCGTGGTCCGTTTTTTTGGGGGAACCCTGTATAAGGGCATATATAGAATAGTGACGTCTTTATGAAAATTGATCTTAGAAAATCTCCCTTACTTCCTAATCCCCACCCACTTTAATATTGTTTACTTAATTCGGGCATTGAACATTGTCATGAGAATTCCGCAAATAAGGACATTCAACAAAAATTGTTTTATTTGTTACACTTTACAAATCAATACCTTTCAAAGCAACAAAAGCTGACTTCAAATTAGTTTATGATGATCTTTTCTTACCCTTCTTCATTAAGATAAACATTTCTCTATAATCCCAAACCAGCGTCATTCAGCACTTTGAGTTTGTATATTTAATCAAAACATGATATTATCTTATTGCTGAAAGGTCACAGCAAAAGCAGGACGCTCAGAAAACAAATGTACGTTTCTTAGACACCATGTCCTATGATTTTTTCACGTGTCATCCTAAAATTATTGATGTGAATCAACGAGTTCCTGCGATGGTATGTGATGAACAATGTGAAAAGAAGGAGGAGAATGAGAAAGGCGGTTGCACCCTGCCATATCTTTACAGAATCGAAACCATCAACACCTGTCTTGTCAACACCTTTTACAAACAATTTATTGCATATCTCAATGGGAATGGCGTCATCTGTGTGAACAAAAAACAAGCGTTACAATTACAAAGGTCACATACAGATCATTGCAAACTATTATACTATACGATAGCAGTAAAAACTTCAAAGATAGTTTGAAACTTAGAATTCATATTTACATAAATGCACTAGACTAGACTTTTCTTCCTTAATTCAAAAAAAGACTTTTACAAGGTGTTGTTGACAATCCAAGAACATGGAACCTATTCATGCGTCTGTCAACAAGTCTTGTGCAACAAGTCTTGTGAGCTGTCTGATGAAATTATCGTGTTGTTTTCGGTGTTTGTGACATTGGGTTGGGATGAATTGCGGATGCGGACTGACGGACGGAGAGGCGAACCAAAGATTGCTCATAACTGTAATAATTATCGTCTACAAAACCCTCTCAATATTTGTCAAGTGCGTATTTCACAAAAGTGTTATAGGTAGGTCTCTCTCTTTACATTAATGATTATAAATAGAAAGTCTTCCTCAGAGCAATTGTGATTGTGTTTTTATCTATCGTCTATTCTATTTGTTTTTGACCTTCTAAGGTTACATCGTTCGAACTCGAAGACGATGAACGCGTTGGAGGGCCGTAAGTTCGTGATTTGTGAGAGCGAATCTGCTTAATCGGCAACACTATATTCTGGATATTGCAAATTGAAATTCTAATTTGCTAGGGAAAAGTAATTTTCCTATCTTAGGAAAGTGTATATTCTACTTATGAAATGATAAATATCTTTCCATCTAAAATATAGATGTTTACAATTTCCAGTGTATGGTGACTGCTATGCACTCACAAATATTCCACCTTTTACTACTGAATGTTTTGATTGAGTTGGTTTGAGATTTGATGGTTAGAATGATTGCTGCTTTGTCAGCTTTGAGGGTTGAGATGTTTGCAAATATGCTGGTTGTTATGGTTACTTGTCTTATGGTTGCAAATATCGTAATGGTGTTAAGAGTGTTGGTGATTTGATAGTTGGGTTGGTTCTGGTTTTCTGTGGCGAAAACCTCAATGCCAAATTGTGGGGAGGGGAGAGTTAGTATTTATACATTCAGCTCTGCTCCGCTTCTTTAGTTTCAAATCAAAATTGTTTCATGTTGTGATGTTTAAGTTGGTCGAATTAATGGTAAAGGAAATTGCTGGTTCCCAACTAGTTCACAGTATGCAACGATCTTCCTATTTCTTTTAAAACCCTGTTTTCAACACAGGATATTTCACGCAACTAAATTAAACAACTACGACCTTCTTCCCTGTTTTCAAGCACCTACAATTCCTTACCAGACACAACCAATTATGGGGGAACTCTAGACTCAAATGCACTAAAAAAACGGCTTTTCACTTAACGAACAGGCTCACTCAACCAGTTGGGTCCCTCTTTTAAAACATTATATTGTAAATGTCACACTTTTCTCTTCAATTGTAAATGCCAGTATTATATCACACCATTTAATATTTATCTTGCCTGAGCATCTGTTCTTTCATTTCTTAATCTTTAATTTTCCCCCGTTTTATAACTATCGTATATTATTAACTCTCTGGTTGAAAATTTAAAGTTTTTAACTGCGTCTTGTTAATAATCATGTTGTGTGATGTCTTAAGCTTTTCATATAAATAAATATTTCATTTGAAATAGCTTATTTATCTAAACCCTTGTGACATTAACGAGCTGTTGTGATTGGCGAAAGCTGCAGCATATTCCCTGCCATTGACGATTTATGCATATATACTGACAGCATGTTTTTGGCGAAGTTAAATAAATTAATGAGCAATAGAATGAATTTTGCAGAGCTTACAATTTTTCACACTGAAATCGAAAAATCTAAACATAATATAATGTCGACAGCAAGCCACCATCATTTTAACTTTATCACCACTAATTTTCTGATTAATGAAAAAGAGGAAAAAGTTTTTCTCACACTTGCCTTGTCAAAGCAGCTTACGCAGAAATAAGTTATGCATTGTGAAATATATGTCACTTACCAAGTGGTATAACTATTTTCCAGATAATTTCATCGCTTCCCATATCATTTTTTGATCGACAACGGTACAATCTGATTCCAGCTGTTTGATTGGACTGAATCGCAAGAGCATTACCGCTAGATGAATGAAGGTCTTTCCAGTTCTTTTCTTTTTCACATGCTGATGTCGAGCCTTTTTTACTAACTTTGTCAATGTCACAATAAGCCCATGAAAAGGTCATGCCCTTTCGATTCACATCTTTTAACGGAGAACACTGGAGGAAGAGATCTTTTTTATAAAGTTGAATTTCGGACGTTGGACGCATCAAATTTGGCTTTGCTGGTGATGAGAAACAATTAATTATCATGTTAGCTATATTAACATACGGGAAATTTTCTTCAGCAAACTTGTCTTCCGTGCAATATAGGTTCATTTAAGTAAGATACGTTGCAATAGATCTCTAATAAAATTAATAGACAACTAAACGACAACAGTGAATAACCCACTATTGAGCGATCATGTTGAGAAACAAATCTAGGCGCGCCATATAAATAACAGTAATTCCTCCAAAAAACTTACTTTTTATTAACGGAGTAAACCCCTGAATTGTGGTTCCCTTGGCATTTCTGGCTTCACAGATATATGTGACATTATTATCTCGACTGAATTTCGCATTCTTGATGGTAAAGTTGCTTATGGTCACAGAAATATTTTCGCTCGATGGACCTTCACACGATCTTGTTTGGGTGCTGCACTCGCTTAGCTTTTCTTTCCTCCCCCCTGCATATCGATACCAAATGACACGAGGTGGTGGCGTTCCAGTGACGTTATAGTTGACGAAATATTCTTTTCCTTCGATTCCTTCCAGATGTCCATCACGAGTTTGAATTGAGACAGAGGGCGTGAAAAGGGCTGTAAAAAACAGACGTTTTTCAAGGGTACATATTTTAGAGCCAGTCCATCTAGCAACTTATGTCATGTAAAAAATAAACACATAATGCTGAGTGCTGATTTTGGGAGCAAATGCTAAAATATTAGTTGCGTGGGTGCTCACATTTGACTTAGGGCAGTATCGCAAGTTTCTAATTAAATCTGAAACACTTACACTGCAATTTAAGATAGGCATTTGTTCTTGACGAATGCCTCACTGTGTATCGTTTCAGTTGACAAAAGTATTTTTCTTCTATACTTGTGAAGTTTTTGATATTCAACAGAGCACTTTGTTGGTTCTTCGCCGGGTTCGGTGACCACTTTACAGATTTCACAGAAGGCATCTCAATTTCTTGACCATTTGGTAACAATTTGAACCATCGCATATCATAGTCATAAAGACTTCCGTGTAAATAGCATTTCAGGAGGACATTACTTCCGTACGTGATGGGGTTGTCAGGCCTCGTAATCGATGGTTTAGCAAACGCAATGCCTGTATACAAGGTGATGTAAAATACGTTGTTAATCTGTGTAAGCTTTTCAACTTTAACAAGAATGAAAATGTCCAACGAAAGCAAGTATTTTATAAAGGGGAATGAAGGATGTTTCCAGAAATAAAGTAACGTCTCTATGAGATTATTAGTGAAAATTCCTTCGTGTCACCTTTAATCCTTGACATGTACTAGTGTATCTAACTGTCGCGGGTCGGGGGTCGCGGGTAAAGTTGCGGGTCTAAAAAATCCATTTTTTTTTGCATAGAAAAGTTTGAAAGAAGTCGATGTTAAATTTTCAAGAAATAACTTACACTTTCCGACTATTGGAAAGTTGTGTTTCCCTTATAACTATAAGTAATTCAATTTACAATGCATGCGAATTTTTACATTTAGCAATGCTATTCAATATGTTAACAACATGTCTAGCTGTACACGAGTAATTCCCTGAATTGTTAACGGTTAGTAAGAGCACAACTATATGCAAGATTAGAGCAATAAAATACTTTAAAGTTTAAATCCAACACATATATGATAGGTATAACAAACACAAATCTTAATTATCCAAAGCACCGGTGACATATTTTAATGTCTTTTTATACTTATGATACACACAATGTACCCAGTATGTAAATCTATAATTAGAGACTGCAAGGTTTGCGGACATAACCGTTGAAAACTGCGTACATCCACTTCAAGTTGTAAACACAATTCGTTTAGGATCATAATTCATAGCTATATAGATTATATAAGTAAAACCGGCTTCCACTTTTCCTTGCGCACGATTGGCAAGTTTCTTTTACTTAGCAATAATATGTTTTATATCCATTACATGAGTTGTATCCAAATAAAATAAATCTTGAATTAATGGCTAATATTTGTTATGAATGTACTACACTTAAGGCTGAAACACACTAGGCAGTCGCTTTAGTCGCGCGTCTAAAACTACCGCTTTGCGTGGTTACTAAGCTAGTAGCGTAGTCGCGTCAGCTAGTCGCTTTGAAAGTTCAACATGTTGAACTTTTGACTTTGGTCGCTTCAGTCGCTTTACACTGATTGGCCAATAGATACATTTTAACTTCCTAAATGCATATCATATTTCCTGTCATAAGCATCATACGAAATTTATAGATTATACCTTGGAAAACGAAAGCAATTTTTAGTGAATTCACACTGGAATCTTTCAGTTTTTATATGACTTATCAAATAGGGACAATAGGAGCTACAAACTGGAACCCTAATGCACAACCTAAATGCACAGAATAGGATTATCCACGATATACGCGTAATGTGCTATGATCATATTGGCGTGTTTTAACTGGCTTGTTCTCTTTTCTCCACATAGTAGTTTGTACTGAGTAAATATTCATATATTAGTAGCTATAATAAAGGCCAAAATAAAAAGTTTAAGTGATATCTGTGTCTGTAACAAACTAAAATCACCGCCATGTTCAATAGACGCCACGGTAAATGTCGCGATGGTCGCTGCATGTGTGTTTCTAGAGTTCAAGCGACTGACGCGTGCGCATCGATTCGCTTTGGACGCGCGACTGAAGCGACTGCCCAGTGTGTTTCAGCCTTTAGAGCCACGGTCTATAAGATACACGTTCTCTGTTGTTAATAGAAATACCTCATAAGCGTTGCGTAAAATCCTGATTTATTTGTGTTTGTTCTACGTATTCAAATAAAATATTAATATACATAAGTTATACACTAATCACTATCAAAGAAATAGTTAGCTTTTCATTAATACCAAGCATCACTAACCATTCAAGATTTACTTGGATACAACTCTTTTTATGGTAATGAAGCATTTTACCCGCGACCCGCAACAGTTAGATACACTCAACATGTACCTAATATTAATGTATGGTTAATTCCGGCCTTAGACACGATCTTGACACAGCAAACTTGCGACACTTACGAAACTCGGCAGTGGGCATCTATTTCAAACTAAAAAATTTATCAACTGCCGATGACAGTGCACAGACTGGATCAAAATTGAAGTTTTTAAATTTTATCAATCATCGTCATTTGCATTATTCGGCATATTTTCATGCTTTTAAAACAAAGAATTTCTTATAAGTAAAGTTTCAATAGTTTTTTGTGAATTCTATAAAGAGCAAAGTTACTATTTTTGCAAATAACGTTCTGTATCGATACATTGTCGAGTAATATCGAAACCACGCAAAACGCCAACAGATTACAAAAAAGGCGAAAGAGGATATTTCTCCGCCTAAATCACGTGCGTCATTCGCAATATATCACTTTCATCACCTTCACAGTTAGAGAAATTCATTCATTAAAACACATTAATTTCTGTCGCAGTATGCACATCTTTGATAACACAATTGAAAACAAAGCCAGCAAGCGATCCCTTGACTGGTATCAAAGAGTTAAATCAAGTAAAAAACAATAACTTGTTTAATTTTTGGGAAAATTCACGAAAGTTCATCATTTTCTTAGTATGCAATAGTTATGACGAAGGTGGAAAATACTGAGATGAACCCATAGTCAGTAATAAAATAGTGAATGAATAAATTTTTTTGCAGTAATTGAATCGCTCACCTTTTTTAACATTGACTCGGAGTAAATTTTTGAAAGAATCGCATGCTTTGCAATAATAGCTTGCCGTATCTTTCAGCTGGAGATTGGTAAGATTGTAAACGTTTTTCGAAATTTCCCTGATCTTTACTCCGTCGATAATCACGGGTCTGGTCTGATCAATCCACAAAGTCGTGTTAACGTTTTCGTTGTCAAATGTGGTGCATCTCAGAATTCTCCATTCACCAACGATCGACCAGAGAAAATTACTGTGGTCAGTATTTAACCATTTCACGTCTATGAACGAATATAAAGAATAAATTTGAAAATGAGCAAAGGCATAATGTCTAAATCTGGCATTTTTTTCGACGGAGGTCAATTTATAGCTTATTATTTCACGCTTCAAAACACACGACGTTATTTTGTTAAGCGTGGTCAGTCAAATGGCTTTCGTGAAATATGAAAAGAAGCTAAAGAAATAGAACACTGTGATTTCTTCGTCAACATGTAGCCTGAGCACAAAAAAAACGGTAAATGGCATTTATGTGGTGAAGCCTTAGAAAGCAGCATTCAATAGAAGGTAGCTCCTATACAATTCAGAACTATCGGTGAGGATACGTTTTCGAAAATGAATTTGGCAGTTAGCTGGCTAATTGATCAATTAGAGCTGCAATAATTTTAAATTACAAGTTATGTCCTAAAGACGTCAACCTTTGATGATGTTCCCCTAATCCACTTTTCAGTTTTTAGCAAACTGTTGACGCGCGCAAGTCAAAGTAAAAAAAAACAACTTCCAGGCCGGATCATGAGACGATTCCTCGTTGCTTGAAAAAAGTAAAACTTGAAAAATAACTTTGATACTTACTTGAGCACGTTGACGCCACAACTGTGCCAGGTAAAGATATTGAAAAAAATAGGACAAGACAAAAAAGCAGAACTTGCTGTATGTTTTTCGTGATGACGGCATACATCTTCATTAACTCTCTCCGATTTTTATCTTTGATTCTAAAGAAGTTTACATCCAATTCAAATAAATTGTAAGATTTCAGGATTTTAACGCGTGACTTCAGGACTTTGATGCGTGACTTCAGGATCGACGATCGCAAAATACATAAGAAACCGCATTTGCCTTCTCATTTTATATTCTTTGCAGCGGAAGGAAGAAATTAATAAGCAATAAAAATACAAACAAAAATGAATAGCTTGATTCCCGCCCTTTTAAAGCAAATAACTCTTACCCCTTGTTAACTGCTACCAGAGAATGTATAATAGAACGTTGAACAAGCACTCGTTATGTTCTTTCTCAAAGCTCAAAAGAATGGATCAAAACTATCAAAGCTTTAATCTGACTATTTTTTAAATCTTCAGATCCACACAGTAGAATCAACACTTTTATAATTACAAATAACATGTGTTGCTTGGTCTTTATATAAGCGTTCACAGCGCAGTCTTCTGTGAAAAGAAAGAATATTGTAGAATATGCTAGATCATGATCGTGAAACCGCAATTTTGTTTGGACTATAAGGAAGCTTTTATATTTACTAATGACGCACCATTATAAATTATCAGTAATTAAAGACAATGTATCTCCGTATTTATGCTTGTGAAAAAGTTCTTGATCATACTAGTTTTTATGAACCATGTTTCAAAATAAGAAGTGCCTAAATGACCTTGCAGTTGCGGTTAACCATCGCACGGAAGTGATAGATTAAGTGATTTAAATTGATGTTCTCATAAACACAATATAGAGGGTTTATCAAATATACCACAAAAAGGAGAAACAGATTTTCACAAATGATAATTTAGACAATTTGTAGTCTTTTACTTTTGGCTCTTATGTGGCCAAATTCGCTCTTTTCTCAGACATGTATTTGATTGTATATGTTTATTTCTGTATCAGAAAACGCACTAATTGTTCCCAATGGAATGAAAACTTTCTTGTTTACGGAATGATTTTGAGTTTAAAACCGCAACGTCATAACTTGTTGGAATTTCGTAGTATATTTTTACAAAGTTATTGCATCGGGCTGATATCAATTTTGCATGTTTTGCACGTATACATTCTGGCTGTGATTCAACGAGATTTCTTATAGAATGTTGGATAGAACAACCCACTTATATTCAGTTTGACCTTCAATAGTTGACGTTGGCAACGGGAAGAAAAGCATCAACAGAAATACAGAATCACAGCATTGCAAGAATATGTTCCTATCCCGTTCTTATGACGAGACTTCAAAAATATTTCCCTATGCGTTGTAATGCCTATGATGAAAAGAAGTTTTTCCTATTCATTGTAATTAAACAATGAAAGGCAAGTGTCCAATTCTGGCTATTTCGTCGTCCACGAGTCGGTCACAACTTACATGAATTGCACAAATTAATTTTATTGTTCATATAACACGTGTTTAAAATTCCATACTCACAGCTGCTCAAGCAATAAAAATAGAACATGAACAAAAAACTGTACGCGCGCATGTTATTATCAATAAGTTGCACACTTTCGACAATAGTATTGTGAACATTCAAATTATACTTGTGGAGTAACGGTAAAATATTACATACAAAGGTATTGAATAATGTGCTAGAAACTGGTTATTGGGTTATTGAACATTGATGTGAGATGAGCTGCATCATTTCTGTGGTAATACTATAAGTAAAACTTGCAATGTGTTGTCGTGTTGCTTTTGTGGTAGCGATAAATGTTATGTGTCTTTAGGTGCTTGCCTACGCGTCATGGCGTTTCCATGCCTTCATAAAAAAGATTTTCATTTGTATGGGCGGTCATGCCTCTGTGATGAATTTTTGTCTTGAAAACAGAAGTATTCTGTTATAAAAAATCACTCTGTCGTCAAGGCAACATAAACGTGACTATGTGTATAGATTATAAGGAATATTTACAAATGGAACGAACAGATAATTACGATTGCAGATGTTGATCTGTTTTACCTCGATAACTTGGCATCTTAATCTTATCGGATGGATTGATCCGAAAGCAGTTCGCAAATTTCAAACGAACTTTGCTTTTAAATTCGGAAATGAAAAGACAATAACAAAATAACGAGTTGTCTAAAACTATTGGGAGTCATGGCAACAAACTTAATTTGATATTGAAAATTATAAATGGATTGTTTAAAATTGGTTCAGGTGTTTCTATTAAAGACAATCGAGACTGTCGCGACAGCGACTCGTGTTGTTTTGAATGAGTTTCATTTAATTGACACATTCTCTCGTCACGCACTAGTTTGCATTCGACATCGTCGACAGCTTATCAAAATGAACTCTCTAAAGCCAGTGTTCTATACCTGAAATCCAGTGTTTTTATTGGCTCGTCCATGAATACAAAAAAGCTACTTGTTTGCCCCAAACACTCGCCCATATAACTGACTTTGATAGTTTTTATTCCAAAGCCATCATCAGAGAGATTATACATAATATAAATCCATTTATATTATGTATAATCTCTCTGACTTTGATAGTTTGCCTGTATGGTAAAATATCACACCAATGTTGCAACGGCCTTATTAAACGAGATATACGAGGTCAACTTCATTCTAAAGAAGTTATTAATCTTACTCTGCACGTCTTAACGCAAGGCAAGTTCTTTCTAGACAACTCCAGATCAAAGATGACGTTGACTCTTACGTTTATATATTGAAACTTTTAAGTGGCTATTGGGTAATTCCTAAGGAATGAAATTAACTTTTATGGAGTCAAGAATCCACGCTTCCGTGGTTACGAATAATAAAGAAAGCTCTACTTTATTTATCACCAAATTTGTTCTTTGATTGTATGATTTTTTAACTTGGTCCAATATCAACTTTGATATGTGAATTGTGAAATTCCGGTTCTTCAATGTGCTCGAAAGAAATATGCTATACATGGCTATATATCTTACTTGTGAAAAATCTTTATTGAAAACATTCAACCGATGACTACTTTAGTTTACTCACATACATTCGCATGATGGTTAGTTTAGTCACGGGCGTTTTCCTGTTTTGGCAATGACATATCTAGAGGCAAATTACAAGTATTCCCAACTCTCATCAAAGGCAAAGAAGATATTTGAGGTTAACATTTATCCGCCAATATCTCAGCGTTGTTTCTTTCAATCTCAGTCTCATTGCACGAATGATATAATTTGTTGAGTCAAGATCGACTGGGGCACCATTGACAACTTTGCATTTTGATGTATATTTGAGCGCTTGACTTCGGAGCATGACAGCGCTGTGATTAGGAAAGTGAAAATTACGGATATGCTGAACAAAACATCATCAGTTCATCACTTAAGAAGTGTAAAAGCAATAGATCTGAACGGTGTCAACTGCAAAAGTTATGACACTTTGCTTTGAAAAAATTAATTTATAAGGTATCTGATCTTGAATGAATGTGCGAACAATAAGACGTTGGTGAAGGTTACAGTCAGAACCACAAGTTAGATGTCCTCTGCTTGAAGTTAGGAGTTAGGTGAGAGTAGTCAGTTTTGTGTTACCATGGTATGAACTATACTAAAAGCAAGTAAGCAAACTATTGCATGTCATGGCTTCATTTTTACGAAATGGTAAGTAGGAAAATGTCATATATTTCTACGCCGAACAATAAAACTATTGGCAACATATTCGTAAATTGTCACACACACACATATTACGGTTAGCTCAAATTAAACGTAATGATTTTTACATAAAGTGCGCTGGCCTTTTATAATTCAACATCAAAGACCAAAGACCTCTTAACTTTATGTAGCTACACTTAGGTTAATCAGTTCGCTTGACATGGAGTCAATGTTGGAGATAAACATAATTTGGCAACTTTCGTGATGTTTATTATCTGCTTTTATCATCATTCCGACTTTTCTCGAAAAATGACGTTGGCAAAATCGTCAAATATATAGTTGTGCACGGAAATCAGTTTATACATTTGCTTTGTATACTCATGATCACACGCTATCTTTCAGTGTTCCACCCTGCCGGTTGCCGTGGGGGTCTAGCTCAGAATGCGGAGTTTTGCACTATAGTTTTTATTTCTATTCGATCATTTAAATTTGATGTGATGATCTCAAAAATTACAATACTTGCGACTGTAGAGAAACAAAGAACATTCGCAAAGTCACTTTTACATGCCGGCTATGGTAGTAGGCTGTACGGGCTTTTTAGTTTTCAACATGCGCATGCATAAATGATGAACACTCACTGACATAGCTTCTTCAAACCTTCCATGAGCAACTCCAGGCCATACCTTATAAAACCTGTTAATTTTTCAGCAATTGATTTTGCAACGACCAGTTTGGAGACCGCAACTCACATTGGGCATGGATAGCAAAGATTTTAGTTCAATCAGTCAAGTATGTACCACTTAAACTCTAACGAATCAAAGGCAAGAAACTCCGTAGAACACGTCAGTAACTGTTGGCAAAAAACTTGCTTGAGTTTACGAGTGTTTTCAAGCTTCCTCATATGATAAGTATATGCAACGCACGGCCCTTTAGGCATGTATAGTTAGTTTATGGTTGAAAAGGTTCTCGTGTTAGTCATGTCTCAAGACAGGTAAAATCATTTTAGAGTAAAAGTCCATCATTGTTTCCTAAGATGTACATCCCTCCCCCTTCCCTCTCACAAACACATGTACACTAAAGCTTTTCAAGTAACTCTTTGGGGTGTATGCATTTCCTATCCATGTTCCAATTTTTCTCGCCAATGACTAAAAATTATATCTTAAAATATGCATAATCGGTACAGTTAATGTTTTAGCTCACTCTATTCGTTTTTCTTACTTCGACCCTGGAATACATAATTGCACGACGGTGGAGTAATGTAGCGAAAGTCAGAATAAACGACGCTATTCATAGCCTGTCAGCAGCTCTTATTACGGTTTTACCCAGGTAAGTTGTCAAAAGCCGATACCAAATCAAAAAGATAACAACTCCCTTTACATATCATATACATGCATTGTTATAGGTTTTTGGTCACCAGTCTAGACGCAGCTGCTTACAAATTCGTATTCGAGGCACTATATGAAGTACCCGATGTTCAAGATGACGACTCCTTGCCTATTCTGACACCGATTTGGATATTCTTGTTAACAGACTTTGGATATTATTGGTTCCATCGAGCAGCTCATGGTAAGAAGCCACAAAACCTTCACTTACTTTTCAAATGCTGTAAATAGTATAATTACATTCTGATAGTCAAAATGACAATAATAATTAAAGAACAGTTGCACTCCTAAGCACTTCTATACACATTCTATAAGTACAAATGCTAGTCTCTTTTTGTTACAAAACCAGACTAGCATTTGCACAGATGCAATTTTATGTTAAGGAGTTTTATATCTTGCTAAACAATCGCAGAAGATAAAGGAAAACGAGTTTTTTCCTGCATGTAGTAAAATATATGTTGAAACCTAAAATGGTTAGTTAACCGATCAAGCACTGCATCTTTTATTCTGGAAAGAAACTAATTTTTGAACTTCCTTACCAAGAACTTCCCTTACCGCAGTAAAAAACAGCTAGTTAATCATCTTAGCTCAACTGCTGATCAAGTTTTCCGAACAGGTTCATTAACCCAAATTGGGTTAACCAATGTCAACGTCACGATATGATTATAGGCCAAAACCAAAGTTTAGGAAACAACAATGACTGGCAAATGATTTTTTTTTATTGTCAATGGCATTTGTGATTATATTCAATCGCAAACCTTGATTGAATAATAATTCGTTTAATTAAAACCCATTAAAGTGTTTCGCTGAAGCACATTTTTGTGCAAATAGCACTTACGTCGTTGAAAAATATTAGTGCTTGCTGATTTTAATTATATTGAACGTTTGAAGGCTCCATGTCATTCAATTATGGACAGTTGACACGCATACTTTGATTAAAGTAAATAGCTAGGAATAGCATTGTTGTCTTATACGTGAGCACGCGCCTAATAACGTTTTCAATCAGTGTTATGTAAAATGTACATCATTGAAAGTCAAGATGAAATACATGACACCCTAATAGTCAACAAAGTTCCTTTAGAGAGTTTTCTTCAGTGGTTTAAGTATTAAAGCATTGATGATTCATTTCCTTTATTTATGAATCATTAATTAATTTTCAAAAGAAATAAACATTCTATGGTCAGCTCATCAAGTCCATCACAGCTCGGAAGACTTTAACATCCTGGTTTCATTACGACAGAGTGTTCTACAGCAATTTTTTTCTTCGGTATGTTGGTGTTTGACTTTGTTTTTGTCTGGGAGGTTAGTGCAATCAAAGCAAATGTTTTCAAAAGCGATCTTTCTGGCAAGCCACAGGATGTCCTCTTAATGTGTTGTTTTTGTAGGTGATTCAATGTACAAAGTGCACGTAGATGAAAACACCCCACATTGCTTTATTAAATACATAAATAAATAAGGATGATACTTAATGTAGCAATACACAATGGGGATAAAATGCCTAGCAACAGCATTCATAAGCGTGGAATTTAATGGTGAATTGTAACTCAGTTTTTCGAGTTTTTGATCCCAAGTCGTGAATCCTTTCCCAAAGCAACCTGTATCCATCGCCAATGCCTTCATCTAACCCAGTTTGTAAATGTCTTACACATTGAAAGATATATGACACCTTTGTCCCATAAAGTCTGGTATAAGACTATTTAATATTTTGTTCCAACCTCCCACAAATTTTTCATTAACATCTCATATACATCTCAAATTTTCATTCTATAGTTGTTCTACGCTCCCTTGGCTGTCTTTGGTATAAGACCTGCAATTTTCGAATGGCATTTGTGGTTTTCTTGCTTCTACCAAATATGGACACACACTGAGGTGATAACTTTAAGCATTTGAATAGCATTTGAATAAGTAGAAAGAGCATCACATTCTTGAATCTTCAAGAAACAACAGCACTTATCTGGGTTTTTGCCTTGATGTCATTTACTTTGAAGAAGCACAATATTTGATTAACTGATGACAAAGCATTCCATTGTGCAATACGTTATTTTTAACGCCCTGTACATGAATATAACGAAACTGTTAAAGGATTGTTTACTTTCTACAACAAAAATTAGGCGTATACATTATATGAATATAGCTTAGTCACGTCTTTGCACGTACAATGTCACACAGTGTGTCGGGTTTTGATTTGCCTAGGCGCGCGAGTAGGGTTTTAAAGAGACAACAGCACTAATCTAGGTTTCTGCATTGATGTCATTTACTTTGAAGAAGCACAAAATTTGATTGACTGATGACAAAGCATTCCATTGTGCAATACGTTATTTTTAACGCCCTGTACATGGATATAAAGAAACTGCTAAAGGATTGTTTACTTTCTACAACAAAAATTAGGCGTATACATTATATGAATATAGCTTAGTCACGTCTTTGCACGTACAATGTCACACAGTGTGTCGGGTTTTGATTTGCCTAGGCGCGCGAGTAGGGTTTTAAAGAGACAACAGCACTAATCTAGGTTTCTGCATTGATGTCATTTACTTTGAAGAAGCACAAAATTTGATTGACTGATGACAAAGCATTCCATTGTGCAATACGTTATTTTTAACGCCCTGTACATGGATATAAAGAAACTGCTAAAGGATTGTTTACTTTCTACAACAAAAATTAGGCGTATACATTATAAGAATATAACTTAGTCACGTCTTTGCACGTACAATGTCACACAGTTTGTCCGGTTATGATTTGCCTTGGCGCGCGACTAGGGTTTACCATTTTAACCAAACAGACATCACCCTCAATTAGAAAGTCGATCAAAGGTATTTGGAGGAGAGTCAGCATCTGATACAGTTTTATTCAAACACGCGAGATTCATCGGTGACGCCTCGAGTAAATGAAAAAGTATATATATCACAATATTTGGAAGAAAGATTTTTTTCTTAAAAATCATATTTATGACAATCGACAATTATCGACTTTGGTTTTCAACGTAATATCAAAATTTATTGACTTTAAATAGTCTACGATTCATTGGTTATGACAAACTGCATCTTGATTATTGTTCATATCACATTAAACCTAACTATTTCAATAAATGCTATATTATTTATTCAATCTTGTTTACTGAAAGATGAAAAACCATCAATGTATGAAAGGCCTTTGAACATACGACTACATAATTGACGCCGAGAAGTGCCAAAACAAAATTATAACAAAAAGAAAAGGCGTTCACAAAGAGCTGTATCAAACCTTGCAACGCAAAGTCTGCATAAAAATATGTTTCACGCTGTTATCTCCTTCGATTTCACAAAAGGAAGATGACGGTTTAATAAACTCATGATTATGTAAAAAATAGTGTATTTTTTATTCAGTGTATGTGGCTTAAAACTAGCGAAGGCCCTTTGCTAAGTTTGCTAATGCTGTTGTTTTAACTTTTTAACAGGTCGTAGATAATCTTGGGCCATTGGAGTACATATTTGTCACACCATCTCATCACCGCGTTCATCATGGTATGAAATACATCCAGCAAATCGATTTTACTTGTTCTTTACTTAACATGTCTTCGGTCTTTAGGAAGAAATCCTTATTGTATCGACAAAAACTACGGTAGGCCAAGCAATTTGTCGGTTCTAAAGTCAGAAAGTGTACACATACAATAGAGGATCTAGGGGTAGTCACAGCGAGCAGCAGCGAGCAAAATAAATTAAAGCTGCTTAATTTTAAATTTAAAGTACTTTCTGAAAAGCACTATTGGTTTTGAATTTCTAAAGAATATAATTTCACCGATGAACTTGTCTATGAGGGGGGTTAGAGATGTAAATATATTCCAAAATGTTCAGCAGTAACTCATTTTGATTAACCCTAGATTCGCCACTGTACATATGTACATGGGTGCAAAATACAACATAAATTTTGTCTGAATTATTGATAAAAGATTACTAATTTTGAAGTCTGTAGACAAAGACAAATAAGCAGGTCTTGTGTGATATCTAGCTATGTCCCCCAATAAGTCCAGTCTCTTGACGACGTTTGCGTCCCTCGCGCTCCTTTGCTTTTACATTTAACGGCTTGTCTTCGTAACTCAAAGTGATTAAACGATACGAAATAAATTTAAAGTTCAAACTAAGAAAACCTACTACGCCACGAGTGCGAGCATCACGCATTTAAATAGTAGATTGTACGGTTTTTAACAACAACACGAATATTCTAATTTTAGAACATTTATCTAATAGTAGCTCAACAAACTCAATAAATGGGGAGCAGACGCGTATTCACGTATATTTATGAAATAAACACAATGAAATGCATGCGCTGATTGGTCTACAGCTGAGTTTGCAATAGCCAGTGCAAAACACATCTGAGCTCAACCAATCAAATCAATCTAAACAATCAATCAGTCAAAGAGAATTTTTCTAATCAATCATGAATACATTTTGGAGGAAAAATTAAAATGTTTGTCTTTTTTCGCATTATTGTTATTTTATAAAAGTTATGTTATTTTAAACATTATTGCAATATTTGCACTGTTCTGCTCTCGAGTTTTCCCAAAGGTCTCCTCGGTTTGCATTAGCCTGTGCATACACAGCAAACATCTTTTATTTCTTAAATGTTGTAAACCGCAGTGCAGAACACGAGTTTGCACCCCTCCCCCAATTAAATAGCAAAAACTCAAAAGTTTTATGTCTAGACACCACGAGCCTCTTGACAGACCGGACCTGTACACTTCAGACTAACTAGCTCTGATTAACCCGCTATTGTCGGGACTACGTTAAACAATAAAGCAACAAATAAATTGCTTCAATTTCTCTTTAGGAGGTATACTTATCATATGGGATCGAGCATTTGGTAAGCAAAAATATGGAGTTTTGAACTACAACAAACATTCTATCTCAAAACACATGTAAGCTATACACATGCACATATGTAAGACAGGACGACTTTTGTCATAGGCACATTTAACGAGGAGATAAAAGAAAACCCACCAGTTTATGGACTGGTTGTGGAAAGGACAAGTCACTGGAATCCATTACTGACTCAGGTAATGCCGACTTTATTTGAATACAATGTTCATATATATTATTGCATAACTTTCATTTTTCTTCTGTGTTGCATAAAGATCTCGCATTTCCTGCACTTGAAGAATGCATTTTTCGAAACAAAGGGTGTTTCAAATAAGGTAAAAATGTGATATATTGCATGTCAGTGCCAAAAAAGAAAATAGAAGGACAAATTTACACCAGAGTGCACCATTTTGATGCCATTTAACAAGAACAAAATTTTGGTAGCTTTTTTTTAAATGCATTTGCTAGGTGATCACGCGTTTATCGATTCTTCGTTGTGTATCATTAAGAAGTAGCCAGAACTATGTTATCACGTAGATTTATACAATTTATTTCATGTCATCGTGCTTTCACGAAATTGGCTGAAAGTTTGTCTCAGATCAACCACAAAGTTGGCTGTCTCAGATCAACCACAAAGTGTGCTCTAAGTCTGTCTCAGATTAACCACAAAGTTGCTCAAAAATATACATGACGACTTTATTTCAGTTTCGGCTGTTCGTTAACGGTCCTAGTTGGTCTCCTGGCAAACAACGATTAGGAGATGGAGATTATGAAGAGGTATTATTTGTCGTGTATGACTAACAATGCAATTTTAAACTTCAATAATATAAGATGGCCCATGACGTGGCAATGAAATGAAATGATTTTACACGATATGTACAAATCTCCATATACAATCGCATCAGAACGTGAAGTTCCCACTCGTTGACCTCGTGTGATACTTCTTTCTGCATGTTCTATAGGTTGAACATCCCGTCGTCAAGTATGACAAGACATTGCCAACTTTTTTCGCATTGTATGTTGCTCTTCATTTCACATTGTTGCTCCTGATTTATTGCAAACATCTGGAAGTTTGTCAGGTATAAAAGAACCCTCGGTGGTTTGAAAACCACTAAAAGATATGCTAACACGATAAAATGAGAAATTGCATTTACCGACAAGTAAATTATGCCCAGCTGACAATTTAAAAAAATACAGTAAAAAACAAATTCAAAAAAAGCAAGACATCTTGAGATTTTAAAATATGAATCAAAACAAGATGAGAAGTGAACTGTAAATTTTCGACTTTATTTCAAAGTCATCCTCAGACAGAATGAGAATGACTTGATTCTGTCTGAGGATGACTTTGAAATAAAGTCGAAAATTTACAGTTCACTTCTCAGCTTGTTTTGATTCATATTTTGCAATCTCAAGACGTCTTGTTTTTTCGGAATTTGTTTTTTACTAGACAAGAAAATTAATTGATGAAACTTGAGCCAAATTCATCCATTTCGTCTATCTTTGAGAAAGCCCAAAAATATTTAAACGACGGACTTTAAATAACAAAAATGATGTCACAGTGGAGATAGTTAATCCCTAAAAACAATGCATTTACTCTCCCGGCATGATAGCATGACATTGCTACCATCTCATGAAGATGAAATTATGAGGCAATATATGACACAGTAAAAGAATTTAACCATGACATGATGTCGTGAGCTTGTGACGTAGTCAAGGAGAAATAGTGAAAATTAGAACACGGTCAATTCAGCTCATACTCTAATCAACGATTTTAAAAACATTTTCGCAGAGATGTTCAGTATTCCAAACGATTGCTGTCGCGTCCTATTTACTGTTTTCCCTGACGACTTTTGGTTTCCTTTTTGATCATAAGTAAGCATTCATTAACGTGTATCTGTCCTTATAACATCAAAAGTTGAAGAAAACACCCAACCAAATGTATGTGCGTGTTTTAATTTGTATCTATTGAATTATAGGTGTATTGGTCCAGAGTTAGAAGAAATTCGCTGCATTGCCTTCTTTTTTCTCGATCTATTCATCAACAAACAACATCCAGGTAAAAATGATACAATTCTTTAAACAACATCGTCAAGTTTACTGCACAAAAATAACGTATATGGTTGGTCGTACGTATTTTTCAATTCATAGAAATGAAAAAGTCAGGTAACAAAGAAACATCAGTGATCTTATATTTGATGTATGGGCTATCATTTGCATTGTGGATTTTCGTGGAGATAATGGACATCGACTGGACAGGAAGAGAGAAAAAGACATCGAAAAATGCAAAGATTGATAACGCTAAGTATCAAACAGATGAGAATGGCAACATTTTGATGCCAGAAAGAAAACAGGATGCGCTAAAGAAAAACGCAGAATGACTTTCACACATGAAAATGGATGGACACGACAACCATTCATTTTTAAAAATGGTTTATCTTCAACAGGTTTAACTTCATCACAATGCAAACACACTGACTCGATCATTTGTTTTCGTAGCATTGGCGATACAGTAAAAATGCACCTTGATTATTGCACGAGTTTGGTCTGCTAAATTTATCAGTATCTATAATCTTCTATAATATTCGTGTGTAATGACCGCTGCAAGCGCCCATTAGTAATTTCATTTTGGTTTAGAAGTGTCCGAGTGTTGATTGCTTCCTGTTGTTTTTTTTCGCATATAGACGACCCTGATGCACTTTACACAAGCGAGTACCTTTGCACTTCAAAGTTTAATGCACGTGTTGTACTCAAATCTTACAAAGGTCTATTGTTACTAAGCGGCGTAAATTGATTGACGTAATGAACAAATTCGATGTCATCCGACATTCAGTACTCATCAAGATTTTGAGCAGCGACGCTAGTGTTCAATGATTATACTGCGAACGAGACTACAACTCGAAACGACTCTCTCATAGATAAAATGCCACGTGACTTGTTTAAAAATATGCGTCGGACATGCCTCGGGTGGATGGAAAATTATCCATGTCATGGAGCACATATCATGCACACACCCGAAATCGCAACTCCCAGGCTATAGCTGCACAAGTCGTCGCTGTTCTAGCATATAAGTAGAAATCGAATGGCGATGTAGTAAATAAAACAGTAGAGCACAATACGCCGTTTGCTGACCTGAGATGTAGATGTAGTTGAAAACATCACCATACAACTCCATGCAGATGTAGTTGAAAACACCACCATAAAAATAAGAGACGGCTTACAAGGCAAGAGAAGCAACGTAGGTTCCAAAGACCACCCAGTGACTGGCATAGTTCAACTCTGACCATTTGTCAATCGTGTGCTTCACCCCATAACCCTGGCGAAAAACAAAATCTAAGTTAGCAAACTATTTAGCTTCAAACATTTCCTAAACTTAAAGAATTTATCTGAGAACTCCAGTTCCAGTAATATGAAACTTTTTGACAGTTTAAAGTTAAATCAAATTCTACGAGCAACTCCTTTCAAGTATGCAAAATAAAATCTTAAACGTAGAGTAAAAATACAGCGTTCTAAAATATATCTGCATACACTATCAATACGACTAATCACAGCTTAACTACACAAACCTCTTCAGGTTGTTCACCATCGAACATTGCGCCGAGGTACGCTAGATGAAACATGTTGAGAAAACCAAATGCAAGATTTATAACTGTCACCCAGTAATTTGTCTAGAAACACAAAGAAAAAGCATATAAAAACAGCATATAACGAAGCGAACTCGTGTGTGGAGCTAAAATAAAACAATATTTTTAATATTTACAAATTAAAATAAATTCTGGCAGGTTATTAATTTTTTTTTCATAGCAGACATAGCAACACGAGTGAGATCTTTCTTTTCAACTTCTACTTGTACAAGATTTTTCTTCAGAATCTTTTCAAGAACTTTGCCATTCAACATGGTACCCATAATATTTTATTGAAATTATAAGTGAATTTTTTTCCATGGCTACGTATTTATATTGTGCATCAAATTCCACCTAAAACTCTTTATAATTATGATAACATGCAAAAAACGTACGTAGCTAATTCTGTACATATATTTTACAAATAATGTTAACATGCAATAAACATAGTACATGTGCACATATATCTTTATAACGATGTAAACAAACAAGAAACGTAGCTACATGTGTATATATATATATCTTTATAATGATGATAACAAGCAATAAACGTAGCAACATATGTACATATATCTTTATAATGATGTAAACAAGCAATTAACGTAGCTACATGTGTATATATATCTCTATAATGATGTTAACATGCAATAAACGTAGCTACATGTGTATATATATCTTTATAACGATGTTAACATGCAATAAACGTAGCTACATGTGTATATATATCTTTATAATGATGTAAACAAGCAATTAACGTAGCTACATGTGTACATATATCTTTATAATGATGTTAACATGCAATAAACGTAGCTACATGTGTACATATATCTTTGTAATGATGTTAACATGCAATAAACGTAGCTACATGTGTACATATATCTTTGTAATGATGTTAACATGCAATAAACGTAGCTACATGTGTACATATATCTTTATAATGATGATAACAAGCAATAAACGTAGCAACATATGTACATATATCTTTATAATGATGTAAACAAGCAATTAACGTAGCTACATGTGTATATATATCTTTATAATGATGTAAACAAGCAATAAACGTAGCAACATATGTACATATATCTTTATAATGATGTAAACAAGCAATTAACGTAGCTGCATGTGTATATATATCTTTATAATGATGTAAACAAGCAATAAACGTAGCTACATGTGTACATATATCTTTATAACGATGTTAACATGCAATAAACGTAGCTACATATGTATATATATCTTTATAATGATGTAAACAAGCAATTAACGTAGCTACATGTGTACATATATCTTTATAATGATGTTAACATGCAATAAACGTAGCTACATGTGTATATACATCTTTGTAATGATGTTAACATGCAATAAACGTAGCTACATATGTATATATATCTTTATAATGATATAAACAAGCAATAAACGTAGCTACATGTGTACATATATCTTTAAAATGATGTAAACAAGCAATTAACGTAGCTACATGTTACATATATCTTTATAATGATGTTAAATTGCAATAAACGTAGCTACATGTGTACATATATCTTTTATAATGATGTTAACATGCAATAAACGTAGCTACATGTGTACATATATCTTTAAAATGATGTAAATAAGCAATTAACGTAGCTACATGTGTATATATATCTTTATAATGATGTTAACAAGCAATAAACGTAGCTACATGTGTATATATATCTTTATAATGATGTTAACATGCAATAAACGTAGCTACATGTGTAGATATATCTTTGTAATGATGTTAACATGCAATAAACACAGCTACGTGTGTATATATATCTTTATAATGATGTTAACATGCAATAAACGTAGCTACATGTGTACATATATCTTTATAATGATGTTAACATGCAATAAACGTAGCTACATATGTACATATATCTTTATAATGATATAAACAAGCAATAAACGTAGCTACATATGTACATATATCTTTATAATGATGTTAACAAGCAATCCACGTAGCTACATATGTATATATATCTCGATGGCGTAGCAAACGCGATAATTGAACGGCACAAAATCATAAATGCACGATTTAATCTGCAAAAACAATGAAATTCAAAAGAACTCGATACTGCAGAACATGAATAGATTATGCCCACCCACACCCCAAATAACGAGTTTGCTACCCACTAATATATCTTTATAATGATGTACACGTGGAAGCAACGTGTATGTTACATGTCTGCATACCTCCTTATAACGATGTTCACAACCAGGTTTACATTTACGCGCCTCGATACACATGTTTAAAACACGTGACAGCTTCCTTCTAAAATCTAAAGATGATTTAAAATTAAAATAGTTATTGTATGTTTAATGTGAAAGCAAATACGTATTCATAATGACAACATTTTCAGTTCATAAATCTTACTATGTTCAACGTACGCATACGTAGAGATAGACACAAGTACAGCAGCAATTTTGAAACTGATACCCTAGAACGAAAACTTTTATTCAAAAACCTTCAAACGTTCAAAAATATTAATTTTTCTATTAAAAACTGTGTCAACCATCATTAATGATCTGATTTGGTACGCATTTATTTCGCCCACGCCACAAATAAATTCGTTTGCAAGATGAAAAACTTTTCTACCAAAGTCATTCACCTCTACGTAAATATAATGTGTTTATAACTTACATGTAGCATAGAACTTGCGCCAAATGTGACAAGCATCGAGAAAAAAGGGCCGAGACTTTGAGCTCTTTTGAACACATCTACATAAGAGTCATCTAAATATCAACATTTGTTGTAGATTTATAACAGGGATGTATTGCGGGGGGGAGCTAGGCTTTGGGGTGGAGGAGTCTCACCCACCCCCTTTGAAAAAATTACACGTCTTGTATCTGTAGAAGTAACATATATCAGCGAGCCAGCAACTGTGATAGATAATACGTCTATTTTGCAGATACACCACAATCAATACACAGACAAGCGTAAAATGTTTCAAGTCATGGTTCTCATTGTCGCACAGCTGGAATCTCGCCGTAAACTAGCCATGATTGTGTAGCAACAATTTTATCTGAGAGCAGAAAATTGTGGTGTTTAAGACCATTTCTTGTCACAGAAATGCTTAAACATTTTAAAAGTGAATTCTGCGTACTGCAAGTTATATGAAAAGTAAAAAACACATTGATATAAAATGAATGATTTTGATGCACCAAGAGTATCAAACGTAAATTCATAGATATGACATTAAGTAATAATTTCATACACTTCTTCAGAAAATAGTGATAGGGAACACTCCAATGAATAGCGATTTCAACAAATGATCTTGGAATTTCTACATGCTGTGGTCGGGAAACTGGAACTTGCCTGTGAAAGCAAAAAGTGCAAGAACAACAATTGATTTGGTATACTACTACTTGCTAAAACAAAGTAATTAATTGCGAACAAGTCAAATTTTTATTTGGGCTGCCCAAGATTCAAAAAGTTACCTGCTCCCGGAGAATTTCTATATTTTGAACTACCTGGAAGGCGTTTGACTGCATGTTAACCCTTTCATGTTTATTCTGGTCTAACTGACGTTTTCGGGAGCTGCAGAGCATTATTTGTGGAAAAAATGATTATGAAAGGGGAGCTCCAACCTCACCGGTTATATTTAAAAGACTAAACAAAGTGATTTCAATCAGATCGGTCCAAAAGATTCCACGAAGAACAAAAAATTTCCGGTTTAGCTCTCTTGAACTTAAATGATTAACATATGCTACGTGCAAACAATGCAGTATCAAAGTAAAGGGTTCATTCTCATTTAGCCATACATATCCATTGTCAGCTGCAGCTATTCGTTATTCATTATACAAAACTGCGCGTCATGAAAAGATGAAAAGTTTCCCTAACGCACCCAAAAGAAATGACTTAAAAACAAACTTGAAACATCAAATACTTTGTCGGAAGCTCGTTACGTATTTAAACAAGCGAAGAAAGCTGGTTAATCTCTTCTTAAAAACTTCTTACAAATTAAAAGAGATCTGATATGAGAACTATGTGAAAGAAGAAAACAACAGCCCATTTTGACTGCCTCCAAATTTTCAAAAACAATTGTTTTGCAAATCTTCCTGTAAAACAATAGATAACTTGTAAAACACGAAGTAATGAGTCCTTAAGTGTGAATGAAACATAACTTCTATTTAAACTTACCATCGAATTTTGTCCTCGTCATCATCTTTTACAACAGTACCAATACCACAAAGAAGACACGAAGATTCTGACAGAAAACCGACAAAGTAATTGCTATATCGAAACGACATTGCCGTTTGAAATGCCAGCAACCATCTACAACGCAATAAATGAAATTGAATGTATTAAAAACGCAGCAAATAATGCCTCTCAACAAAAAGCCCGGAGAAAATGTTACTTTGTAGGGCTGACAAAAATGAATTGATATTTGTTGAGATTATTGCTGTACCAAATGTGTTGACTTCATGCAGATGTAGCTATGAAGAACGACAAACGTACTTGTTACTTTTTTCGGGGAAAATCCACGGACAGACACAAGTTGAAAGTATGAGAAAAAGATAAGCCAATGCAATGGATTTCACCAACGCCAAAAACCATTTTAAGCTCTGAATAAAATACGACTGCGGTGAAGATTGTGCGAGACAAAATCAATTTTAGTTAACTTTTTAGCAATTATCCTTTCGGTTCAGTTAACACGTATAAAATTTACAGGTTCTTCGTAAAACGTTTTAGAAAGTTTAAGAACTTGTCCCAACTCTAAGCTGATACCATGAACCCAAAAGTCAAAAGATGTAACAAAGTATACGTAGACAATCAACGCTATGATTTATAATCAGAAAAAATCCCCCAGCGTAATACTAATACTCAATAAAATGTAAGCAAAAAACTTTGCATTACATTATGAAAATGATTATAAACAGCATAACTTGGAGTTCAAGAGTCTAAATATCACTTCAGTCATACAACATGTACAAAGTATTGTTCAAAATAAATACCACTTGTACCAAATTTCGATTATTCAGTTCAATATGTATGCAATACTAACGGTTGGCGTTAGGCAAATAGAAAATTTAGTTGGTTTGATTCTTTCTTATACCACTAAAAAAGCTGAAGGCTTTTGTACTTTTTCCTTATAATTTTCATAAAGCAAGGAGAGATTAATTGTAAAACACTAATTGTATCTAAACAAACGTGAATATATATCAAGTTACTGTGGTTCTGTAGTTTTGATTGCATTTGAAATTATATACAACATGCCAAACATTGACAACTGCAGTGAAATCAAAATTTCTCACGCAAACCTGTGGGATAACACTAAATTGGATTACAGCCAGTTGTGTGCTAATCAAATTACCTACAAAACATTGCTAATGAAGCTATGCTCAAGCAGATCTGATACACTATGCCAAAAAGCCTAAATATTTTCTTTAACCTACGTAGCTCCCTGTTGAAGCAACAAAAATGATAATGAATGCAAATTTTGGCAAATGACAACAGCAAGCCCTCAGCTAAACCATTGATCAACTTTTAATCCAACAATTTGTAATGCCAATTGCAATGTACAAGTTTGTCGAGCTAGCATATACAAACCATTTTGTGGAATTGAAAGATTTGAAGATAATCGTTGTACATCATGAATGGACCAAAGATGATTGAAGATGGACAAAGAACATAACCAGAAAACTCAAAAGGATCAGGCTGCATCGAGATGATGGCTTCATCCACATCAAATGACAAAGATATTAATTTCATACTCAGCACCATGAAAGTCCCTGTGAGCAAAATAGTAAATACATAAAAACATGGAATCCATTCAATTCAAGAAAATAGTTAAGTATAGCATATTATTTAAAAATTATTCCTCTTATATGCAATTTTGTAACATAAATCACTGAAAACTTCTCCAGGTGGTAATCCTAATATCATGTCTTAAAACTTTATGGTTGCCAAAAGTGCATAGATATTCATTTACCTTTCACTGGATTCCAACGTGCAAAAGGAACAAAGTATATTTCACTTAATAAATAAATAAAAAATTAGAAATATAAAGGTGTATTCAACCTCCATTTATTGGGTATGACAATTTATTGGGTAAAATTAGCACATACTAATTAAGTGTATTCTCATGCTATTCTCCCCTTCCAACAGGAACCATGGTCCCTACCATTATTTAATAAATATGAATATAGGCTGAAAATGTTAATATTTTAATTGTAATATGTAAGCAAGTGCGCATGCATTGGTAGCATAGATGCCAAGGTTTTTGGTTTGTATGGAGTGAGAAATGTAATCACCCCGAAGGGGCAATAGTGAGGCCCGGATGGCCGAACTTCTAGACTAAAATATGAATAAAAATTCATCGACCTACTTTGGTTTTCATCAACGTAATTGAAATAAGGGTTCAATCAACATGTTTTGTTTTCTCAACAGTAGAAGTTTTGTGAAGCAAAACATCACTTCTTAGTATGGAGCTTGTTATAATCCCATGTTGCAGTTTTGGCTTTCTTTAGCATAGACTTTGGTGGTTCAAAAACATGGGCTGGTTGTAATATTTAAAAAAAAGAGTGATATTTTGTCTGAATGGCGTGGTTGCGTGAGATTGCGTCGAAAAGCGTGAGTCTCACGCCAAAAGCGTGAGACTTGGTCTGTATGTGGTAGCTGTGTGTCAACGTATTTTGATCACAAATATATTGTATTTATTGAAAACTTCAAGACAAACAACTGTTTGAAATTTTACTTTACATATGATGGGGTCAAAGCGTAAGGCTTTCTCGCTATTACTTGCACAATAAGTACTTACCATGAAAGTAAGAACGTTACACAAAACAAACTCACAAGAGCACCTTTGAATTTTCCCGTCAGCACCATCAACAAATATCCAATGGAACAAAATACAAATAAATGATACAACATTTTATGATCGACAAAAAACATGTGAAATGTAGCAATTCCAGTGACGCAAGATACAGAATGTTTCATTCGATTGGGTATCTTCATCAAGGTTACAACACGAAGAAGGAAACACATTGCAAATATTTTCGCAGCAACAAGAATGGTTTGCGAAGTTGTCGGGCCAAGACAAGAGTCTAACGTTGAAGTGAAGCCGCCACCGACGACTGTACCCACGCTAACGAGCGAGTCCTGTTCTTCGTAACTACGATACAATTCTAACAGTTCGCTTTCATCCAAATCCGATAAATCAATTTCGGTACCATCTGGTAGCATAATAGTCGTCAAATCACTCATACTTTATGGTTTTTGCGCGAGGCTGTCTGAACAATTGACAATTTTCAGTAAGGGCGTCGTTATTTTTTCATTATTCTGATATGAGAAGTTGACCACAGAAGCAAATGAACATGGACAAGCACCGAAGCAGAATAGCAGATAAAAAGGAATATCGTGCTATTTCCGTTCTGGCGATGAAGAATACAATGTGTTACCTACCGCTTGTTGGTTTCCGGTAAATATCAATAAGTTTGTCTATTAATAGCTCTAATGATCAGTTTCAACCACTGGTTTCAACTGTGAAACACAATAATCATATTATGGTTATAGAAATATACTAGTGCTACCAAATAATCAATATTTTATCAGTTATCACCAGACAAGATACTTAAGTTTAATAAGGCCCGTTTACACTATACCGGTTGCTATCGTTGCAGGTTGAACATTCTTTGTAATAAAAGGCAGTGAAATTGTTCAACGTGAGAAACACAATCAAATAGACTAAATATATTAGCTTAATAAGCTTTTACTCCGAACAGTTACATCCATAAATCAAATGAAGATGTCGTGATCAGCGAATCCGGTATAGTGTAAACGCAGCCTAAGTCAAGATCATGCATCATGTGTTCACTGTTCGGTGGCGTAACTGGGAGGGGGGTGCCCACATCTCAAGTGACGAGGGGCCCCTGAGCATTATTTAATTTAATTGATTTATTTGTTTATTTATTTAATTGTTTAATATATGAATACATCTTGCAGTTTTTACAACTGAATTAAATGTATAATACACCATTATTATATAAAGTTACAATAATACAGTTATTTACAAGCATTAAGATTAATAATAGTAAAACTTAAATAAAGATTAAACAAAAGATGTATTACATAAGCAGATCGAATGTACAACATATGGGTAACCTAAAATTTAAGAGATATGTTCGTTTGAGAAATTTGGAGTAAAAGAGTTTTTAAAACGATTTGTGTAATATTTAGTTGATTACTACATAAATAAAACGCATTTACGCGAAATCAATATTAATACTATCAATGCTATAATGATACAACTTCGCAATTTTAGTATACTGTCAATGAAAGAGGAATGTTTTTTTGTTGACGATCTTTAGGGTGTACTCTCAAAAAATGAACATACCTGAATGATGGTATACTCGTACACGAAAAATGTTACGTAAGCTGTGAGTTGAACATATGATATGTTCTTTTTACTAAACCAGTTTCATGACTGATGGATTTGCACCAAGCACTACGAAGGACCCCCAATTTACGACGTCGTTAAACTTTTTGTCATCAAGCATAAACACTTGAGTGGCTCGAACTGCATCAGCAACTGTCTTCCCATCAATAAGCTTCCTATAGAAATGTTTCATGAAGCACTTGGTCGCTTCATCTGGGATTGCCCAAAGTGCTGTGACAACAGAACGGGCACCAGCGAGTTGAAAAGCTCTTGCTACTCCAACTACACCCTCACTCTTGATTGAACCACGTGCTGTATTACAAGCACTCAAGACAACTAAATCTGCATTTATTTTCAACTTCTCCACATCATCTTTCGTCATAAGAACATCACTGTCGCTAGATTAACGAAATGAAACAGATGGACTGAGAAATTTAGAATTAACCTTCACTATTTGAATACGGCCAAATTTCCACTTAATATAAAATAAAAAATTTCATGTTGTCAACTGCTATACAGCGGCTCTGTTGTTTCACTTTTCTATGACGTAAGTTTGTCTTAAGAAAAAAACGTCCAGTACACTGCTGTTATTCATCACATAATGTTGCATATGTGTACGTGCAACTACATATAGATCTTGTTCTCATGTGCAGAAATTCTTTGTTTTTTAGTCACATTAACGTGATTGGCTATATTTTAACAAAAACAGTTGTCCTTGTAAATTTCCAAAATATTCTGGGATTCTTTCTCAGCACTGTAAACTTTTGACGACCAAATGAATTTATTCAGGTTAATTTGCCAATCAAAAGTTTACAAGTTTATACAATGTTGAGTTGAAGGCCCCCGATATTTTGGAAATCTACAAGGACATTTTCAGGTGAAATTTAAGAAATAGAAAACCTCTCCGTATCAGTTCTACAGAGTTATAGAAATACAAGGGGGAGTTTGGAAAAACTCGAGAAAATGCTTGAAAATAATGTATTTTAATATTACCTTAAATTACCACCACAATTAGCTAACGCCAATGCGCTGCCATCTGAATTACCATGACATGCAAAATGTATTACACGAGCAGTTGTAATAAGTCGCATGACTGCTGTTTTAGTTGCTTCATTTCGTATCAACGGCTTCACGTTTAGCATTTCTCCCACAGCATAAGCTTCATCTTCGGCAAATTGTAAATTGATCTCATGAGTTGGATTCCCAACGACCAAAGCGTTACCCAAAGGCGAGTTTTTACTTTCTGATGTTGTTCTCTTTGTTGAGCATGAATATTCGAAAGATTCAAATGAGAATGCCTCCAGTATAGTCAAATCGTAGCAAAGCGGCTTTGACCTCAACTTCAAAGCGGAAAAAGGGACGTTGAACGTTTTCCACTGGGGGACAATAAGTAGTTTAGGCTTATCATCGTTGTTCTCCTGGTTCATCATGGCCTCAAGCTCTTTTTCTATTGGCTTGACAAGAAGATTTGAAAGTTTTTCAATTTGCTCAGCCAGTGAAGAGCACGTTTCAGTAGGTGAACGAAACCTAGTGTTGCAGTCATTTATTATCGCATTCTCCTCATTTTTAAGGCAATTTACGGGTTGAGAAAAGAGTTCCACATCTTCGACAACTGCATCATTTCCATGGAATGGTTTAACAGCCGCTTTGTTCTTTTCTATTTTCTTAGAATCATCGAAATCTCCCTGTGGTTCATCTTTTTCCTTTTTCACAAGCCATTGTTCAACGAGTTCAATTGATTGGCTCACCAGAGGACTGAAACAGTTGTATTTTCTTCCACAATTTATGTCACCGCGGATTTCTATTTTGTACCTTCCTTGCGTTTTGCGAAGAGCAAAATCTAAATTGGTAAATATTTCATGGTATTCAGTGCTCGGAATTGAATAGTGCTTTAAAAGTTTACCACGAGATGAAATCAACCAAAAATACAGTTTTCCAACTTCTTCCAAATTAGATATAAACATAACGGCAATCTTTTTTTGTTCGATCATGTTAAGCAGATCGTCAACCGAGTCGATTCGAAAGTCGCGTTCCTTCTCAATTCTATCAAAAAAATCGCGTGCACGTCCTTTCTCCGCTACAAGTAGGGCCTCCATGACGTTGCCACTTTGTATCAAAACATGTTGAAGCAACTGGTAAGGCTTACGTTGTGTTTGATTAAATGTAATTTTAGTGAGGCTATCGTCGATAGATTTACGAAGGCCTTCACATCGATCAATCACTTGCCTCAGCAATTTTTCGGACTCTTGCCATTCGCCATCTTTTATTCTCAACTTTGCCAGCAAATAATCAGGGCTAAAACGAAATTCCTCTGTGTCGCACCAGAAAGCTTTTGTTGGTCGCTCTGTATTCAAAGCTTTAAGGTAGTATTCTTTTGCCTTTACACTATTTCCTAGGCCCTGATAAGCTCGCCCAAGATTGCAAAGACCATTGTTAACCACCCTACTGTTTTTTGCACCCATGCCAACATCCAGACATAGTTCGTATGGCTCTATCGCTTCTTTATATCTTCCCATGTACTCATAGGCAAGACCAATATTGCCAAAGGCACATCCTTTGTGCGAAGGTTCTTGAATGTTCAAAGCTAAGTTCAGTGACATTTTGGCATGCTTCAAGGAATCATTATATTTCGATTTCAAAAGTTCCACGACGCTTAGGTTACAAAACAAAACAGATTTGTCGATGTCAGGGAGAAATTTCCAGTCGCTCATTTTTTTCATAACAGCATACGACTTATCATACTTGCCCAGTAGTAAATACAAATGAGCTAGATTGCGAAGCACTCTCACGATGTAATAGACGTTAATAATTTCACAAGCTATCTTCAGCAGTCGATTGTTTAAATCAAGACTCAGTTGGAACTCACAACTCTCAGAAAAATGATGATCAAGCTTGTACAGCAGAGAAAACTCCTTAGTCAAAGTTAAAGATTCCCGCGTATTTTCCATGAACATGCGTATATTTTCTTCATTGTCCAAATCAAATACATGCGTGCGTTGCCTATCAATGTTGATCACAAATTTCTTGGAAAAATAAACATTGACAATTTGTATCAGTTCGCTTGAGGACAAGTCTTCAGCGATTTTGAGTAGCTCGTTTGCATAGTAGTAAACATAAAGATGGTCGTCTTGAAGTAAATGAAAGCAGCATTTTCTAATTAGCAGCTGACTCAAACCAATTTGACTTTTACGCCAAAGTTCTTTCAACTGCGAAACTGTCTGGCGTGTTTCGTCATCGTCACACGAAATTTTAGGTTCAACTTCATCTAAAATTGTAAGATTATAAATGTTTTTAGGTGACAATAATCTCTTCGCGTATGCTTTACATGTGTGAAAAACCATATGTGATTACCATAAACGCATTTAGCGATTTAGAGGGAGAAATGAATGTGAACATCTAATCAACATGCATGCATTTATTTGTTTTGTATAAATATAGCATTTCTTTATGTCGTGTCTGACACTGATCCTATAGCGTACAATTCGAAAGATTCACATTTTGATTAACTTAATTGCCATTGTGTTATTCAATTTAGAGTTCATACATGGAGTAAGGAAAAGTTTAGTCAGTTTGGACCAAAGTCATTCAATATCAAATACATTCATTCAGCAGGCGAGCTGGGGAGGGAGAAAAGCTACATAGCTACATGTTCGACACATATGTTTTTGATTCCCTTTCTATCACTCTCTATATTTTGATGTTTTTTATCTGGATTTCTTCAATTTAATGTAAAAATATCTCAAGGTTTTTAGCTACTCGTAGCTGGTGAAGCACGGCATATAGTTTGAATAACCATGTCTTTCTTTATAGTGGATAAACGGATTCACAAAGGGATCATATGACATTTGGCATATGGTTAGCACTATTTTCCACCCAGCAAACCGCCCTTTACACAATCGGAAATAAATTAAAGATGGCGGCTAATGGGAAAGAACCAAAAGCTAAAAGGAAACCATGCATGCACTGGTGCTAGGTCGTTTTGAGATGGCGAGTAATTTTACATTTTTATAATACAGTTTTTAATATCAACATATGAAAATATTTACAGATAAATGTTGCAGTATAAATTTTCATGCAACCACCTTAAGTTATAAACTTATAATCCAGGCTGGAAAATATGTCGTTTTTCGACGATTGTGTAAAATATTACATAAAATATTATATTGTGTAGAATATTAGATTGTGTAAAATATTATATTGTGTAAAATATTATATTTCAAAGTAAAGGGCGGTTTGCTGGGTGGAAAATAGTGCTAACCTTGGCATATACTCATATTCAAGGCGACAGATCACAATATATCAATGGAATCGTTAATCAGAATTACCAATTATTTTTTTCAGCGTTGTGCATCTCGTCTTTGTCTGCTTTATCACAACATCGATGCTTTGATAATCATGTTTTACCTGACTTTCGTGTGTTTCAAGACACTGTAAGAAAACAATTAACTATTACATAATTTAAAGTCGATGAAATGTACGAAAGCAGCAAGTCATGGCAAAGACAGCGCGATTCAGTACCCTATTTTTTAGCAATGAAAGTTCATGATATTCATTTCTTTAGCAAATTAAATTCGCTAATTGTTTTGCCAGTGAGTGAATACGAGATACTAGCAAAGCAAAAATAAGATCAGGCTTGCTTTCCAGTATATTTGGAGTCAACAGGAGCAAATAGAGCCACCTGCTGTTTAGAGAAGGTGATTCACGAAGATTGTGTCGTATGAGGCCATTAGAAAAATAGACACTCACAGCGAGTTTGTGGGAGCTGTCTGAAATAAATGCAAGACTGGCGTAGTCAAATTGAAAAGTGCTCAAACCAGTTCTTTTCGCATTGCTTGTTTTGAAGTATTTAATTAGATATATATAGCAATCGGAACATACAGGTATTTCCATCGCAATGGGCAGCTCACTGTCTACGACAAGTACTTACGTTATTTTGTGATGCTTTCTGAGCTGCCTGTTTGTCTTTCTCAACATCATCAGATGACAATTTTTGGCTATTTTCAAATTTTATTTGAGGTTGAGGGGCTCTTGTAAAACCACATTTACCAGACATGCCTTATTCTCCTATAGTGTCCTGGCAGAAGCTTCACTTTTGCATATCTTATTGCTTTGTTTTGACCTCACTCACAGATTGATCAACAGCGGTTTGTTAAACACTCACGATGACGGGCGTTTGAGTTGAGAATACAAAACATTTTCATTAAAATCATTTCCCTCGATCCTCGACGCTACACCGATTTCTTAATGCCATTAATCAACTACAATCAGGTACGACAAATATCTGTCTAGTCGTATACTTATAGTTTACTTTCTGATGACATCATTTGTATTGAAATAGTAGAAAATTAAATCCCATGACTCTGGGTAAAACAGTAGTTCGGGGAATACCAAAACATTTATACATTAGTTCGGGAAATACCAAAACATAATACATTATTTCGGAAAATATCAAAACATTATACATTAGTTCGGGAAATATCAAAACATTATACATTAGTTCGGAGAATACCAAAATATTTTACATTAGGTCGGAGAATACCAAAATATTTTACATTAGTTCGGGGAATACCAAAATATTTTACATTAGTTCGGGAATACCAAAATATTATACATTAGTTCGGGAAATATCAAAATATTATACATTATTTCGGGGAATACCAAAATATTTTACATTAGTTCGGGGAATAACAAAATATTATTCATTACTTCGGGAAATATCAAAATATTATACATTTATTCGGGGAATACCAAAATATTTTGAGCTTAACACACACTAGCCATAGGCTCATTGATACAACAAAAATACATGTTTATGTGGTATGGTTTCGTCTTTAGCTGTAATGCATCATAAGACAATGTGATCATAATTCAAAACCACTTTTTAACCCAATGTAAATAATGTTATTATCTGTCAGTTGCCTAAAAACCGACAGATTAAAATACAGACTAAAAAACATAGACTAAAACATGCAACTGCCGAAAGAAACAAAACTGCCCACTTGATGGAAACTGCCTACAATCAGGGGCGGATTATCCAATAGGCTAAGTAGGTCTACTGGCCCGGGCTTTCGAGAGGTCCGTTGTATCTTTATATAATTAGGATTTGCACGTTTTTGCTATTCCGAGATAGCTAAATGTGCTTTAGTTAGATCATTTATTCTGTTGAAAACCTTACGAGCAATCGAATGCAGAGGAAAAATATCTTTTGTAGTATCTACTGTTGAAATGCGCATTGCTCAGAACTCATGAAGTAGTGGGTTTATCCCAGTTTCCCTGACCATGTCCCTCATTTCTTACCCTATGGGGCTACAAGCAGGAAACATAAAAGCAAAGGAAAACTGAAGTTAATGGGAGGAATGTAGCTTTATCACTTAGACGCCTACAACTTTGTTTTAGCCTACAGGCGCTCTAATTAGTAATCCGCCACTGCCTACAATCATCCATTATTTACCAAGCAACTGTGAGGCCCATGGACACTTACAAAACTTAGACGTACATTGGACTTACTAAAAAAGACAAGACGCAGGAACTACATTGTCTTATTCCACTACAAAAAACTAAGAAACTCGACCAAGCTCGGTAAACACATTTAGGCCCTTTAAGACAGTAACATCAATCACGACATCTCATGGAACATCATCACTCACAGTAAACCGTACAACAGCGCTAGCAAAAGATGCAACCTTTCCCTAAAAGACAATTTTTTATCATCCAACAGCCAACACTATATCACAAACTTGTTTCCTTTTGTCACCATGGATGCAAAGCTCGAAGCTCTCCCATCTAAAATTGTAACCATACACCTCGTCCCCACATATGTAAACTTTAGTCACTACCGCTTATATATATATTTTAACATTTTTGTATTCATTTATTGGAAATCCCCTAAAGAGTGAGAAATCACGAAACAGGCTAGTCTGGCTGAAATTGTTTTTTCGTGAATTTTTTCCCCGCTACCTTTATACTTATGCTCTGCTTGCAGGCATCGAACACTATTACGGAGAATGATAAAACAAAAACTTTTTATTTACAATATGTATATTTTCTATATGTCCTTATATTCGTGTTCGCTTGCAATCACAAAAACGCGGAAATACAGTTAACTTAGAATCGTAAAAAACTGCAATTCTTTAAATTTAATAACAAGGAAACATTTGCCATACGGATAATATTAGGTGAGGATGCACAAGTCCATAATGGTGCAACTGGGAAATATAAAAATAAGAAATTTGAATGAAACACAGAGATGATTTTTAGTACAATTTCATTTTTCATCTAACTTGCATGTTTGTCGGTCAGAAGGTCGAATTTTGTTCCAAGATTTAACCACTTGCGGAAGGACAAATAAGCAGAAACATGAAGAAAAACGATCCGCTACTAGCAAGAAACGAATCTTTGCATTTTCACAAATGATATATTCATTGCAATAAGAGTTTTACTTTACATCAAAGTTTACCATTTTTAATGAACTTGTCATAGAGTGCAAAAAGAAACTAATTAAATAAACATTGCAAGTTTGTAATTTCTATTCAAATATGTCAATAAATGTTTGTTGCCCATGACAAAATCTTACGAGTAGCTAACTGAACGTACTTCAGGGATCTAAAAACATTTCAAAATCTCATTTAACCATGTATAAACATTCATTTGCAACATTGCGTTTGGTACCTTCTCGAATACTGCGTTTGCTAATGATCCCATTGTTATTGTCCGTGTGACCTTCAAATTTGACTTGATTTCCTTGACTGTTGGTAGAGAATACGCAGATATATAATTAATGTTTAGTGACAGGATGACAGTTAAGCAATATACAGAATTACTGACTACATTTTTACTCAAATTGTAATAATAAACATTGCAGTAAATAAGCGACTTCTTCAAGAAGCTGTGCATGGTTTATCTCAAACTATTTACAATATTTATAACTGAAATATATGGAAAAATGGCTAATGTAAAACGGCCAATTGCAACTTCCTCAATAGGAATCAGAGAAGTAGATTCTATGAAATGTTTTAGACGCATTCTGTAAGACTTTTCAAGCTATTAATACATGTTAGTTAAAAGATCGGCCTTGCCACCTTTCTGTTTGCTAAACATGTCTATTATGCTTTCCATACATTATTTTGTCACTTATTTGCGTATTCAAAGTTTATGGAAACTGAAAACGGAAAAGTGACAGGTGATGTAAGGCATGCTGTAGGTGGTCAAGATCTGCTTCAGGTGACCTTGACTAGTGCAGTGAATGTAATCAGGGAGACAGGAAAATAGGTACATGATGTATCTTCTGGAAAAAAGTAGATAAGAGGTTTTGTAGTGGAACAAAAAAGTGCAGGAGTGCATGAAGTGCACAGAGGAAACGAGTGGCAAAGAAGACATGAGTTAACGAAAGGATTAAAAAGAGTAAAAAGGAGTACATGAAGAGACACCATTAGGTTAAAAGTAGAAGGGGCAAAAGCTAAACAAAGAGTATGCGCTAGCTTGTACGATCGCTTGAGTAGTACAAAAGAAGAAAATGATTCATACTGATTAGCGAAATGAAATGCAAAAGATGTGCAGCAGGTTGGGGTTATTAAGGACAGAGATGGAAATGTATTAACAGATACCTGAGTGTGATAGGATGATGGCAAGCGTACTTCAAAGAGTTGATGAATAAAGAAGTTGAGAGGGAGCTAAGAGTAGAAGAGGTGACAACCGTAGTTAGGGAAGTTGCAGAGATTAGTAAAGATTAAGTTAGGAGCGCATTGAAGAGAATAAAGAGTGGTAAGGCAGTCTGTCCTGACGATATACCTGTGGAATTGTGTTTAGAGGATCGAAGTATCAGTTGAGCTTTTAACTCATTTGTTTGACGAGATTCTAGCAAATGCAAAGATGCCTAAGAAAAAGAGGAGATGTGTGCCAGTCTTTAGGAGCAGGGGAGACGTTTGTAGTTACATTAACTACAGAGAAAGAAAGTTGATCAGTCACACAATGAAATAACAATCGAAATTAAGGCAAGAATAGTGGAGGCTATAGACTTGGGAAATAAGTTGGTACTAGCGAGCAGCAGTATAGTTTCATGCCAAAAAACATATTAAGAGTTATGGCCCAAGATGTCAATTGCCTTTTGTTTAACAAAAGAGTACCACCGAGAATGAAAGGCAAGCTTTAAAACACAGTTGTGAGACCAAAAATTTTATATGGCTTAGAGATTTTGGAAAGTAAGAAAAGATAAGAAATATATAGCTAGACGTTGCAGGGATGAAGATGCAAAGGTTGTCTTTAGAAATGACACGGTTAGACAGAATCAGAAATCAGAATAGAAAAGGTAAAGAGTTAGAGAAAAAGACAGGGAGTCCTAGCTTAGATACAGAGAGAAGAAAGAGAATATAAAGTGGTGTATGTATAAACTGAGTGGACATAAACTAAAAGTTGGATGATTTCACAAAAGAAGATACATAACTACGACAGAAATAATTAAAGGGGGATGAGTCGTTGTTGGGGGTGGCTGCAACCCTCCCGGATAGTATGCCCAATGAAGGGACAAACTCATTTTGCATACGTGCATAACTTTTGCTTAGTGACAGCTTTCTTAAGGTTAGGTTTAAAGTTCTAAATTCAGAACATTCTATGGCTTATATGGATTATAGCCAATTATGTGCTTTCAGTGAAGAAACAAGCACATTTTACATGCATGAATGGTTATAGACAATAACTTCTGGAATTATCTGAGTAAGGCTATGAAGAGTACAATTAAAGAGTTTTTGATTTCAAATTCACCTGTCGACCTTGCTATGATGGATCCTTGTTTTTCCTATATTATACCATGGTCCATGGTACCCTTTGTGTAGTCTGTCACTGTCAATACCTTCCGCGCGAAGAATGCGTTTGCCAATACTCGCGTGACCTCTAACATTGATATTGTTTCTTTGACTGTCGCTAGAGAATACGCAAATGCATAACTTTTGCTTAGTGACAGCTTTGTTTAGGTTAGGTTTGAAGTACTAACTGCAAAAAAGTCTATGGCTAACAGGGGCTGGGGAAGCCGTGGGGGTCTGGGTGTCCGAACACCCAAAATTTTTGTAGGGTGGGTGTACCTTAAAGGAAGGACACCTACAAATTTAGCTTCTCATATGAACGTTTATGATAGGTGTACCAAATTTTCAAATTATTGAACGGGCACAAGGAGCCAGGAAATTTTAAATGGTTTGAACATTGACGAAATGACGGAAATGTGCAAGTCATTTGTATGCAATGAAGCACAACAAAAGAATTTGGCAGGATTTTTGTAATGTTTGCTCGACAAAGAAGAAAAATTGTTTGAAAATAACTAATGTGAAACAATTTTATTACTATTCTAAGTTTCTTGCGTTATGACATGACGAATATGAAACACCCACAACTCTTGAACGCTTCCAAAGCCTCTGATGGCTATTATGAATAGTAGCCAATTACGTACTTATAGTGAACAGACAAGCACATTTTGCGTACATGCATGCATGGTTTTAGACAATACCTTTCTGGGATTATATGATGTAAGGCGATGAATATTCCATGTAAATAGTTATCACTATAAAATTCACCTGTTGACTTCATGGATCCTTGTTTTTTGATGATTATGCCATGGTCGGTATTGGTAGGCGTACCCTCTGTTTGATGATGGAAAAAAGCATAAGTGATACACCGTTATTGAAATAATGTGAATTCTTTTTTGACTATTACTTTCCCAGCATGAAGCCCGAAAAGGAAAGGTGTCCAATAGGCAGAGAGTACTTACATGCTATTACTGATTTTTTTTCACAAATATTACCTGAAATCCAATGCCAAACAAATCAACAAAGGAAATAAAAGAGTGGCAATCATCTTCATTGTTCACTCAAAGTAATGATCTCTGCTCTCTATATATCTGACTTAACAATTAAACTTGTTCTGTGAATCCTAATTTGAGAGCATAGTTCTTATGCTACCATACTCTTTGTGCATTGTGGGTATTTCATGCGTTTAAACTGGTTTAAACATGCAGTCTGGCTCTGTTCCTTTTGTTTTTAATCACTTTCAACGAAATGCAATCAAACTTGTCTTAAAACACTTGTAGTTCACTTCCTCTTTAGACACGCGTTTCACGAATGAACGCACTTAGCGCAGACGGCACGACGTATCAGAGTTGCAAAGCAAAAATTTAGACAAAGAAACTTTTGAAAAACATCTTCGACAGTAGGACAGTAGTTTTGAGCGACCACGATCTCATTTCGCAAAATACATCACAAATTTGGATTGTATCACTTTTGCAAATGAATGTATCGAATCTGAATTGCGATAAAGCCCTATAGCACTGATCATTACTGTGACACTTTCTTTTCAAGTATATTTGACGTAAAAATCGACAATGCCTTGCAACGAAGGAAACCACTAGAAGCCAAGACACTCTTTGATATTGCAGAGCTGGATCAATTCACTTTTGCTAGCTACGATGCTGTGACAATTCATTTTTCGCTACAGTATATTTCCTTGTAGCAAAAAGTTTGGCTTTTCAAATACACAGATAAAGTAAATAAATTTTGTTTTACTTGTATAGAATGCGCATTGTTTGAGAACGAAACAACTTGCTAGAAATATAATCATTATAATGGGAAAGTAAATCCGTGTTCGTTCAATAATTTTTATATAAAATTCAAAAATCTGTACAATTTAACTTTGCCACGAGCTTTTTCCAGTCTATCTGTCCTTCAAATTCTGAGATTGGTTGTTTGTGTATTCGCTTCACTAACCTTTTCTTGAGAATACAGGATCACATGGTTCCATACAAACATGAAAGTCGACGTTCATTATGATGAAATAATTTTGACTAACAAATTTCATTTCCTTCAGTTTTCGGTTGACTGTTTGACTTTCAAGCTTGCTATGAGTATCTGGTCGAACCTAAAACAAGTAGAAAAAATTTTTGTCCCGCTTTTGGTCTCCATGCTGTGATCTTTTACAGGAATTAAATAATTTGAATGAAAGCTATGCTATGTATTTCTTTAATGTATTTTCATAAGGGTAATGAAAACAATCAGTAACACCATATATATAGGCCATGGGCCCACATCGAAAATTGTAATTTTTTCATGCGTTCATCGAGGAACCAAAAAATTTTTTAACTATCATGTTGCTGTAGTAGCTAGTACTTATCAACTTTAGCACGTATGTCAATCGTATAACTTGTACATTAAAGAGAAAAATCGATTATTTTATCTTGAATATATGATCAGAGAAAGGTGAAATCAATGTTACGTTTTTACGGGTCTTAGACAATCAAAGCAAAGAGAGTCTTGCCCTCAACCAATTAGATAGTGTCGGGGTGAAAGGTCTTTCACAACACTTGGTAAACAATGGCAAACAACAAAGCTTGCTGAAGTTGCTCACTCGGATGACAAGATTTTTGCGTTATGCATATCAAAAATAGTGCTAACTCAAAATTAACATTATTTGCACTTGCTTCTTGGTGTATATTTACCTTTTTTTAATGCTAAATGGAGAAAATTTCAATGTAATAAAGCGAAATAGCGTTGGAATCCGCGTCAAATTATATATACAATGTCACCTAGGTCCATACAATGTTCTATTGAGTATTAAAGTCTTTCAAGTTAACAACCTGCTAACCTTCTGTGGCATGCGCTGCACAAGCACTGCAGACAGGTGAGGCGCTTGACTGAAAACTGTGCATTTAAATCACAACAATATATTTAAAAATACTTTCAAAATTTTGCCAATTCACTTCTCAGGTACACAAATGAGGGTGAAAGAGCTACAACATAGCCCTATATGTCAACTTCTAACGTTGAAAACTCTTTACCAAACGCATTGGCAAACCTTCCATCAATTTTTTTACAAGAACATCATTTTCTGATAAAAAACTCAAAACAATTCAGCAAAAGAATTAAAATATTCAATATTAATAACACTTATTGCAGATTACAAAAAACAGTCATTATAAGAAAGCAATTTTTCATAGAAAGCCAGTGCAAGGCTGTATGATAAGCCATGCATGATTACATCATAATGAGAGGATGACCATATCTGGTGGTTTTTATTACAAGATCTGCTCCCATCCACTTAAATAACCCTAACATCTTTAACTAATTGCATCATTTGGAACAGAGGGAAGCAGTCTGATCAGATTAAAACATGTTTGCTGATAATCTTTCTATATATGATCAAACTGATCTCATGATGACTCCATAGCAGGAGAATTGTTTAATTTAAATGCTAAAAATCTTTTAAGTCAGTTTCTGTCTTAATTTTTTAGTTTCATTATTTTCTTATTTTCATCATGAAAAAATGACTAACCCTCCCTTGCCCCACCTCCGATTATGGTACATGTCCGTGACTAGCAGAGAAAATCTAATTGTTGACAGCCTTTATTTAAGACACATTTCACATTCACAAGCACATGATGTGAAACCAGCATTAATTTTGCACAAGCTTAAACCACAGATACATCTATTCTGTGCTTAATAGATACATCTATTCTGTGCTTAAACATTCAGTGAGTAGATGGATCAAGATCTTTACTAGAAATGCCTAGAAACTAAGTAGGATGAAATTCATCATTTACAAGTCCTACCAACCACATGTAATAAAGATTCATTAACTTTAATAATCAATAATCTGACAATAATCTTACAGTCATGAGATGCCTTATGTCATTGTGGCTAATATAAATCATGTTTCAAGACCAGTTGACATGAAATTTTCGATGACACAAACCTTCCAGTTCAAAAAGAAACCAGGTAAAATTGCTAAAGAGCCCAACACCCTAGAGCCGTGTACAACAAATCCTTTGGGTCCATATCTAGTAATGTAGGCTGGTTTTTGTTGATCGTGTTTCTCTTTAGGATGAGTGATGAAGTCCACAGATTTTTTCTGTCCTTCGTCGTCAATGGCTGCTAATGTACCACATGCTAGTCCTGTAACTGCAAAATGAACGAAGAGGGAGACTAAATGCAGTACAAATTAGTCTTTTCCTGTTTTACCATCCACGGTAATTGTTCCACACAAAAATACCTCAGGCAACGCAAGCAAATTCTTGTAGTTACCTTCTCAATCTACATATATCATAATTCCCACAAATATTCCGTATCTTCAACAACATTATGGCGGGATTTTCGTTTCAACGAAACTCCAAATGCATTTAACGAAATATTACACCTTATTTTCGTAAATAGTTTTGTCAGTTCGTTCTGCGCATTACGTCATGTAAAACTCATTGATTGCATACACCATAAATTATCCAATGAACACTTCCTAATCAAATAAACATCTCGTATCTGATAAATCGCTCCCCCCTTCTTTGCGGCTTACAGCTCGATTTTGTATCAACAGCCGCCCCTTCTCTAGAGGTCATGAGCAACAACTGAATTGACGAATGAATACCCCCCACCATTAACGTTATAAAGAAGAGCCCCCTAGACGCCTCTCTCTAATGAAGGCCTCGCATCAAATCGACGACCTCGCCATAATACCATTGTGATGATCTCATCATGGTGGGTTGTCCTTTCGGCTCAGAAACCGTATACTTTATCTTAGTTTTATTTTTAACAGTTCACACTGAGGAAATCATGTAAAAACCAATCTCCCTATTACGCCTTCTATCTATTTATCGACTCTTAAAAAATCATCGTGAAGTCAATCTCATGACGAAATCGATACAAAATGTTAAAGAACGCCTCATTCAACAGCCATCACAAGCTTGACGACATTTGAACTATTTTGCATTATTACTGACTAAATGCAATTTTGCTAGAATATAAAAATGTACTTATATGTTGTTTTGTTATAAATAGTGGCGTAGCCTGCTGGATGATTTAGTGGGTAGGGAGGGGGGGGGATATTCAGAAATTCATGTTCTGTCGTATTAAGTTCCTTTGAAATCGTTTTGTTTTCTTTTGATAAATAGAAATTGACATGGAAGCAAAATAGTCCATAGTTGAAAGGTAGCAAAAAGACAACCTCCAGGGGGAGTGTAAATAGAGAAAATACAGTAGAAAACACAAGCTGAAGAATGAGCAGAATATTGAAATATACTCTCTGGTAGATTGCAGTCACTTACCCTAGTATACATTTTATTAGTATTGGATAGGAGGAATACTTTAAATTAATATTCAAAAGTCAAATGTTCATATAATCATAAAACTAAGCATGCTGCTCTAGATTTTGACACGTATTGAAACCTTAAATTTAACACATGCTACAAGGGCAGCGGAACATTGATAATTGGAGGGGGGGGGGCTATATTCATACATTCATATAAAATAATCCGTAAAGACAATTGATTTCAATATAAACTAATAAAGTAAAACATTTATATATGAATAAAAACTCCTCCTCAATTATCAATGTTCCGCCGCTCTTGACAGGCTAGCAAAGATGGGATATTTATCAGTCTTGTTGATGGTCTGTAGCATAAATTGGGGATATCTGAGTGTCAAGTAATAAGGGGGGGGGGAGGAGTGGCGGGCTCCAGAAACCCCAACAGAATAAATTATTGTAAATATATTATGAATATTAAGAAGAATCTAGAAACTTTAAAGGCGTAGTCATAAGATGAATACGATCATTTAGCCTATCTCTAGTGAAGCAAATGAGGGGTGTGCAGAAACGGAGACCTCCAGGGGGTACATGCCATTGCTTACGTTCTATAAAGTTTAACATTCATTTGATTTTACAGAAGATTGTCCAAGTTATTTTTTGCTTTTACAAAAAAAAACAGGTATCTGCTAGCATTCAAGCCAAAAAAGTTTACAGGCAAACAATTTCGCAATGATTATTGAATGCAAAGCGATTACACTTCCATCATATTACTAAATAAAATCAATAAAAATCAATATAATTTACAAATACAATAACTATACAACAATTTAATTACAGGTTTTGCTCTATATACAGTTAAACTTTACGTGTCTTATTAAATATGTCGCAAAATCAACAAACAAGAAAAGCAAGTTGTGTTCATGTTCGGTTTGATGTGTCGTCTGACGTTCTGGGACGAAGAATTTTACACAGACTCGACGAATACATCTTTCCAGTACTTTTCGGGAACTTCTGGTGTTCTATAGCTGTTTGCGAACTGTTTTTCGTGAAAGAGGGGATTTTCAACTGACATGTCTCCCATCTAGAAGAAAGTTAATAAAAATTATTGGATGAAGTATTCCAAAAACAAAATTATTTCTCGACTCAGCTTTTATAAAAATTCGCTGTCAACAAAGCATTAACAAATAGCAAGACGTTTGACTCTAGATGCTGTGTCTTCAATAAATATCAACTTTTCAAAGACAAACGTTGATTTGATGACATTCCATGCTGGTTGATTTAAAAAAAAAAGTTAAAATCTACATCAATCACCTTACCTGATTGTAAAATATTGACTATTTTAAGATCATAAATATTAACGGTCACGAGTTTGTCAGTAAAACTTCTGGTGGCACTTTCATCCCCGGATATACACTCAGCCAAGCTACGTAAGGCACATAAATTTGAATAAAAATCAAGAAATATGGAAAACCTTTCTGGTTGCTTGATCTGATCATTTCATGCACTTGTAGCAGATTACAAAAATCGGAAAGTAGAGCGAAGGTGTATGGGGCACGCGCCAACAGTAATATTTTAAAGTATGATTGCAAGTCATGCTAGAAGAAAAATCATTAATTACAAACCGAAGCGGCAAGGCCAGGACATTCGTGAACGAGATCTTCATTTTCATCGAGATCGTCATCGTCAGAAGAATCATCGATAACTAGTCCAAACAGGTTCTCGTCACTTGCACTAATAATACAAAAAAATTCAGCTTTACCATAAGTTTAACGACGGAAAATGAAATTGCATTCTGGACATTCTCCCCCCCCACCGTGAGACGTGAAAAGGTGAAAAGCAAAAACTTAACAACGAATAGAGAAAATGATAGTTTATAATGACATATTTTTTATTTTCAATGCACTTATAAAATTATTCACGTATGTTATGTGTGGGGTGAACCGTTGTGAGAAAATCATTAAAGTAAGTTTTACAAAATCCTAATAATTGCAACATGCTAATTTTCCTGCGGAAATGCTTTCGACCAAAAAAGTTGAACTCAACCTAAATTGCTAATTACCGAATGATACTGATGGTAGGAATGGCATGTTTTGTATTGTTCGCCGTTGGCTTTGATAACTCCCTCTTTATTTTGTTATTGTTTTCCTCTTTTTCATCATCCTATAATAAATATTAATTTTGCCGCATAAATGTTGATTTGAAATCAACGTTAACTTCATCCATCAATTGGATCAGTTATAACATGCAAATCATACAAGTTGCATCACCATGCTGGTGATACTAAACATAGCACCACGACAGAAGCACAAAGTCTGGTACTTTTCGAACGAAATCAATGTAGCACAACTGAATACACCGCCCTGATCACTCCTCCTCGAATCAACTGTCTCTCGTTACAAAATGCAAGTATCTATTTTGTTTTAAATCAGCAGTTGTTCAGCAATAATAGATGTTAGACTTGGTGGGCTATAATATTTATAAAGCACTTAGTTTAGGGACGTTGTAAACCATAACTTCAGGGACGAGACAAAATTCATGTGTACATGATCTGCCGCACTAACTTCCTTCTATTTATTCTCTTCAGATTATAATAACATTCTTCCATAAATATAACCTCGCCCCAGTATAGCTCATCCTACAACCACGACTTAGTTTAGTATTTTAAAAGTTCACATTTCACAAAGATCTTTTTGACTCCACAATTTAGGACATATTACGCGTAAGAAGTATATTATTCAAGTCAAGCTAATTTAGGATCAACCTACTTTTTGGATCGATAATTTAAAATTTTGTGAGAAATGATCTTTCGCGTGGCGAATTTATAGCATTCAACTCAAACCACTTTTTCAGAAATTCTTCTAATTGCGAGAATATTTCAGCAAATCGCTGCTACCTTGCTGAATGATTTGCCTTTGTATGCCAGATCATGCTCTGTTTTTAGCTCGCTCTAATTTTGTTGGTTTCCAACTTTAGAGAGCAATCGGCTCATTATTTTAAAACTTGCTCAGAAGCTCTTTAAGAAATTTTTCGCTCGCTAAGTCAGGATGTCATGACAAATAAATCTGATTATCTGTGCTGAATGTAACATTTTGTAAGTTGTGGAGTAGGGACTGGGGAGGGATCCAACGTTCGAAAAAATAATTTACAACGGCCCCTTGATAAGTTTTCAGATTATATGGGTTTGTTTAATGGAAGTTGATAAGCAATGCCATTCTCACAAAGGTGTGTTGAATTGAAAGTTGACGGCTTTAATTAATTGTTCCTGACTTTTGTTCCGGAACTCTAAGGGATACTTTAAGTAATAAAGCCAAAGCAAAACGATCTACGCCTTTAAGTTATTATCTATTTTAGTTTCGGACACACCTTATTCAAAACATTGACTTCATATTGTAGTATATTATAATTAAATTTATACTTGAAAATGCAGAGCTGCCTGGTGGAAATACTTGAAAAACTAAAACTGATAGGCGATAAAATACTTTAAATGTACGTTGGAATTGTGTGCATCGGTGACTTTAGTTTAAATACTTTACAAACTTAAAAATGTTGAAGGCGAAAATACTGCAGTTGACGCGACTTATGAAATGTAAGCTACAGTATGGTCGCTAAACATTATGTACAATAAACCGAGAAGTAGTGTCCAGGAATGTACACAGTACATTAATAGTTAGAGGCGATAATTTTAAATTAAAGGCGCAGTGCAGCTCATTGAGTCCTATAATAACTGGAGCGGCTAAGTAGACTGGGACCTAACGCCAAAATAATGGCGGCCAATGGACCTATTCCCGCTAAAATGATCGCTTTGCAGAAAAATTATATCCTCAACCTCCCCCTGATGTCTATAGCTAATTATACAGCATTTTTCAAAAACAAACACGATATCTTTCTTTGGCATTTCTTTTAAAATGCCAACACTTGAATAATTCAACTGTTGGGTATCGTAGTGTCCTCAAAAAGGAACATGTCGCTTTCACTGGTGAGATATTTAATTTGTTTGTTCATCAAAAATTGAAAAACAATTGAACTTGAAGCCAGAGCGATAAAATCCGACCGATGTTTTCCTGTTTTTGTTTTTAAATATCAACATACTTTTCCACTTATTTGTTTATGTGTGAAACCGTAAATCTGTTTGCAAAATAGATTCTGCTCTTTTTACTCAGTGGGCAGATACTATGAAGAAACGATCACCCCAAAGAGTACACATAATGTAGAGCAGACTTTGTTCTGATCAATTTGCTGATAACATAAAGAGATGATCGGATAGCAAATTGTGTCTGGAATATGCTGCAGTACCACTATCAACACTATTTTATCTAATAAAGTAGAGAATGGACATTTGCCATTTTCTTTTTTTCCCTTTTATTAAACCAGGGAAATGTTTTGTTTTTCCAAGTTTTTCTTCAATTTTTTGCTTCTTAATTCATTTCATAATATGAATGAAATACAGATAGTGCAGTTTAATAACTCTATAATTACTGAAAAGCTGTTATGCTTCTAGCATTAAAGAACACAAAATGTGTTTAATTCACTTGGTTTTATTGCCTTATTTTTACATGTGTACGTGCACTTCATCATTCTTGTATAAACAACACCTGATGTTGCATGTTCAGAGGGAAAAATCCCATAGCAACTGGTATTAAATATGGGTATAAAATGTATTATTGAGGTGAAAGCTTTATTAGTCAATCAAATTCTGAACTCACATGGCTAATAGGAAACACATAAAAATAAGAAAAAGAAGAGAAGTATTAAATACACAATTGTGTATTCATGTATTCAAGTAATATAAACACTATTGTAACTTAAGTGTTTTGTTATGGACAAGTTACGGACAGTTACGACGCGCACATCTGCATTCATATGTGGCCAACAAATAGCTTGTTCGTTAAAAAAGGCATCCGTCGTAGAAGACGACAACTGGCAACCACAGTAGACTCGCTTTTGGGAAATTTCTGTTTTTACAGTGATTTTCATCATAAAATTGCTTGCCAAATACGCGAAAAACACATATACTTTTTCCTCACTCTTTCTCAAGGGGGGAGAGAGAAATTGTGGGATTTTCAAAAAAGCAGTCAATTTCGGTAAATCTCAGCGGTAATGGAACAAATCCTCCATTTTTCTGGCGTCAGCCGCTAATTAAAGCCGCGCTTGGGATAGCCGCTCTAGTTATTATAGAACTCAATGACAAATACAGGTTCAGACAGGTCTAGGCATGTGTACATTGAGTTAGCCTTCCAGTTGTATTAGAGTTCATTGATCTGGAATGATAACGACAATACATTTTATAGATATAAAATTGAAGCCTAAGTCCTAGTCTCTTGCGCGGTTTGTACGTCAGTTCTAGTCCTTCAAATTCGACTATTCACCATTGAGTTCTATAATAACTCAATTATACAACAATAATTATATAAAACAATATAATATAATATTATATAACGCAATTATATAATTGTGTTATATAATTATATAATTGTTGAATTATATAACACAATTATAGAACTCAATGATATTCACGCGGTTGGTACGTCAGTTTCATTCCCCTGATTGCCAAACATACACGGCCAATATAAATTTGAATACAAATTGCAAAAGCATAAACATATAAACAACATCACGACAAACAACACACGAGGCCAACTCTTCGCAAAAGGTTATTTTTTAACTTATAACTTACAACTTGTAACGAGGTTTATAACTTACAACTTGTAACGAGGAAAAGCCAACTGAAAATTACACTGTATGCTAAAAAGACTATACAATAAGAAAATATGACGAGAAAATATTCAAGCAAAAATTATTCTTACCTCGGAAGGTAAATTTTCAAACGGTGTCAGACGGTGTTTGTCCTGTTTTGTCATTTCAGTGGATTTAAAGATCTGTTTTTCCGAAGAAAAAAGAAACTTGAATATCCAGTTTCATAAAAAATATTGAGTCTATAACTCGCATTTTTACTTTTTACAGAGCGATTGTCATTTTCATCGATTTTGATAGTACGTGAAATACTAAATGGTTGTCATCTCGATATCAATAATTGAATATCCTTAAAGACTTTGATATGTTTTAAAGGAAAACCGCAGCTTAAGAGCAGATCGACTGCGTATGACGAAAATATATTGTACCTATATTAAAGATGTTTTCATTCTATATGTAAATTTTGTCGAATAAAAATACACACCAACAAATCCTTTTAGTTTATTTGAAAAACGTAATAATACTTTTGCACTGAGGATGATGTAGAATTGAAATAAATATAATTCAAAAGATTTTCTTCGTGAAGATAAAAGTGACTAGTAAAATGAAATCAACTGAGGTCAAACTAAAGTTCTAGGATCCGAGAAAATACAAATTGTTTATAAACACGCGAGAAACACGAATGATGACAACAAATATTTTTTTGGCTTCAGTTATCATTCCATTTATTTAAATATTGAGTTCACTGGTTTGAGATAGCCGCTCCAGTTATTACAGAACTCAATGGTGCAGCTTCCCACAAGATTTACAATACCGCTGTTGAGTGATGACTGTCATCAATGGCTCATATACGATCGTTTTGTCGTTGATAAAAAGGTCTTTACATAAGAGGTAAATCAAACAGCCGATCATGAAGTACAAACTGTGCGTCTTCGTCAATATTACTAGCCAAAATTGATTGTATTCGCTAAAGTTTACGAAATTTACTTCGCCCAAAGTCTTTCAACTTCGTACGCCGCCATGATGTGTTTCAAATTCGATTTGTTTTCAAATTGTGGAATATACTGCGCAAATATACTTTTACAACGATGCAATATATACTGAATCATTTAAATAACATGCAGTACTCCTTTGAGTTATACCAATTACTTAATTAATATATGCCAACCTTGACTTCAGTCACATTATACGGTGGTTTGTCTCCAGCAATCGTCATGGATCGTTGGTATTCTCGTTTTAGACTGCTTTTCACGGATTTCCTCCGCACGGAGAACACATTTTTTGATTTAAGCAGTCTAAAATCGCAGAAATATTCAATTAATGAGGACCAAGAATAAAGAAAAAACAACAGGGACGAAAATTAGATTTCTCGTTCAATGTACTTACTCAAACCAGTCCTTGGATCCGATTAATGTGTTAAAACTAAACGGATAAGTTCCAAAGGCCGACGTGCCTGTTATAGATAAAACAGGAAAAATATTGGCCATTGCTGTTCAACGTAAGTAATTCATAAATTGAACGAATTCAGCAAGAAAAATCTGTCCCCGCAAACAACACTTTCGAGAAAATGCTTATTAGTTGAAAACTCAGAATTACTTAGCCTGAGCCTTAGCAAGAGTACACGACTACGACAACGAGCATGAAGTTTGAACGTTCAAGGGAATGGCACGAGGAAGTTAATGTAGTCATAGATATATATAGTTTGTAAAGCTTCAAATGTGGGGAAATGTTACTAAAAAAAACGCCTTTTTCAAATTTGCAATTTCCTTGAAATTTCATTTCCATCGTGCGCTTAAAAATACAATGTTGTTCAAGAGTCAAGACTTCAAGTATTTTATGTTGTTAATACAGAACCGCGGATCAGTAGTACTGAGGTTGCTATTAACGTCTTAAGTTCAGTGGTCCCCGGTGATCCGGTTGCCCAGGATGTAGTCAACCCGTTATTTCCATTTCTCGAATACAGTCTTTTCAGAGAAAATTAAAGATATAGAAATTATGAAAAGAAGATTGAGTTTATTTGACGATGTATCAACGAAAAAGCGAATAAATTAAGACAATGCTCCTTTGACACTGTTTAAAAGCCATGGTGGACAGTTTCAACCGGCAAATTTTGCGTGTTGTCGTCGCACAAATTTGCCAATCTATGGGCTGGGATGCTCTTCATCGATCAACACACGATACCCTTACAGATGTTACGCAGAGATACCTTGAAGAATTAGGAAAAGTTGCTGGATCATACACGCAGTTGTGTAAGTACTTTTAAGTTATTTTGTTGCATTTACACTCACTTCAGTTATGTTTTAACCTTACTATGTTGGCTTGTCTATAATGTAGTAACTATACTGTATGAATAACCAGCTCAATTAAAGTATAGTTATAAAGCAGTTATGAAACTACAGCCCTTGTCCATTCTTTTGTGGCTGTCATCAGACAGAGCAATTCCAACGTCCCAATAGAATTTTAACAATGTGGTTACAGCCTCACAAGGTGTAAATTTACCCGCCTTCATAGATGAGTGGGGGGTAAATATTATGAAAGTTTTGGCAATTCATTAAGGAAAAATTCACTGCTATTGTTTTCACATAAAACCATATTGAATAAAAATGAAAATTGTCCAATCATGTCATTTTGTTGCAATTTTCCTCCTTGCATATTGATATTATACAATTTCCTTTTGATCATTTTGTTACAGGTAACCGTACTAAGCCTAACTTGGATGATCTTCACCTTGCCTTTCAAGATACAGGCATAGCCATCCAGGAGCTGGAAAATTTTGTGGCCCAGGTAGATCCGCTCCAATTTATTCATCCTTTCACGCCGTATCCCAAGTGTCACCCATGTCGCCTGAATCATCCAAGCGAGGGAGATATTGTAGATCGAGCGGAGTTCTACTCCGACCATCTGCCTCTCCTTCCAAAAACCTGTTTGGAACCTGCAGGTTCAGTATATATCAAGTTTCTTTGTTGACTTGCAGTAGTTCAGAAACTTTTGGCTTGATTTTGAGCAAGTGCAATATTGGTGGTTTTCCTCAACCAAACTACGTATCCTTATACTGTGGAATTTATTTATTGTTTTTGTGTTTGAAATGCAAATATTTAACACAGCCTTCCTTTTGTGGGTAGGCTATTTTAAATATAGCAGCAATTTCTACATTTCACTATTTATAACATTCAAACAAGCTACAGTAAATTTTCATGCTACAAAATTTTTTGGATATGAATGAATCAAACACCAATCTTGTCACTTATCTTATAACTATTTTTAAACAAATGATATTGAAATTGTCTCTTGTAATTCTATTCTATCAATTTTTTTTGAAAGAAGTATGTATTACATTTCGTTTCACTGTCTGATATCAAACTTAACATGATGCATGAAAAAGTTCTAAGTACCGTTATTTAATGTTTAGAGTTTTATAATTTCTTCAAATTTATTCAAAAAATATGGATGAACAGAAATTTTGTCCTGTTTTGTGATAACTCAAATTTCTAGTTAATGTGATTGAAATGGTTTCAATTTAGTTGTAAAACGAAATGTTCACATGTGTTGAGTATATTTTAAGAAACAGCCAGGATTAAGCATAACTTAGTTTTCGAAGGAAAGATTTTAATGAGTGGCATTCAACAACCGCAACCTCAATCATTATTCAGACTGACAATTCTAGCTCAAGTAAACAACTTATTAACCAGAGAACATGTGTCCACTTACCGCTTGTGTTTCACCAAACAATCTAAAATAATAGATACCGTAGAGTCTCAAAAGTAACGCACTGGCTACTTTGGAATTTAGTGGCCACAAAGGATGGCTACTTTCAGGGGGGGACACAGTTTTTGAAAGGGGCTTAGTTTTGAGTTGTTATTTTCAGCATCGGTAAACTCCAATGTTTAACTATTAAATTAATCCACGCTTTACAGACAGTATTTTTCAATGCTTTAAAACAGTGTAAGGTCGCGGTTGATGAAACAAAAACAGCAATGTAATATAAATGTTGTAAAGCTCTTAAAAATTTTAAAACCAGGGCGGTTGCTTTCGCAACTCTTTAGTAAATGTTTAAAAAAGGCGGTTACTTTCATGCGGAGGCCACTCTCGAGACTCTTCGGTAAATCTAAAAGCATGGCTTTTTTCGTCTTTGGAAAAGAAATTTTTCCAAGACAATCAAGATTGCACGACACTAAAGCTTCTTGGGGATGATGAAATACGAAAGGAAAGATTTTCATGTTTATGATACATGTTGTTAATATTTCAGGTGAAAACAAAGAATCAAAGACCAGTGAGGATGCCGGGATCACCGGTGAAGAAGAAATTGAAAAGATAAAACCAGTTCCTTTGAAGGAAACTAGTAATGTTATGGAGTTGAGTGAAAGTGTGTCAATAAAGCGTCGATATAACGATGGCGTGATTGTTCAGCGTGATGTTAAACGATCTAGATTCGATATTCCAGACAGTTTGCTACTGGAAAAGAAAGAAAATTTAGACAATACCGATGGGGAATCATTATCTCCTGCAACCCCTGTGTCACCTTATCTTCCACAAGAGATCCCCAAAGTTCCAGAAGTATCAAAACAAGCAACAAAAGAGAAGTTGCTTTCGCCAAAATCTACTCCACCGGAGACAAAGAGAAGAACAGAAGTTTCACTTACAACGAAAAAAGCGAAAATAAACAAAGAAAAAAGCGGTTCGCCCATCTCAGCGAAAGCAAGTCCAAAAACCCCATTACTATCCCCTACCAAAAGCACCATTCCAGCTTCACATGGATCTCCTGTCACCAAAGTAAAGCCACTTCTGAAAGCAAAATCGCCTAAGATCGAAAAGAAACTAGTTACTAAACCTCCCGTTCAAAATAGAGACGCTATTACCGATCTATCTCCAATGGCCAAGGCTGGCCTTTCCTCGAAGAATAACACCATTCACTCGAGAAAGGTTTCGCCCGAAATTGGCGAGAAAAGAAAGGACTTCAGCTCTCCGAAGACGAAGGAATCCATAAAATCTCTCAAAACGAAGGAATACATAAAATCTCCTAAAACGAAGGAATCCGTAAAATCTCCTAAAGCGAAGGAATCAATAAAGTCTCCAAAAATGAAGGAATCGACGAAATCTCCACAAATGAAGGAATTGACAAAAAGCAAGAAGTTTATGGCCAAGGGTAGCAGCAAGTTGCCTTTGGATGACGCAGATGGTAGATCAGACACTCCACACGTTAACACTCCCAAGTTAATGATCAAGCTTTTACCGAAGGCTGAAGATACTCTCGATTCAAAAGGTCCTGCAGAAAAAAAGACAAGCGTTAGCAGCCTTTCGAAGAGCCCGAGCACTCCAGATTTGAAGGCAACCAAGGCGTTAAAAAGTGAACACCATATTAAGAGTGAGAATATGATGGTTTCGAGTCACGCAATCGACCCGAGCACTGCGAAAAAAGAACACAGTAAGAAGAAAAAGAAAAAAAAGGACAAAGATAAGGATAGACAAAAGTTGGGTCACAAAGAAAAACGAAAGGTTCTCTTTCTCTGTGGTATATTGACGATCATTCTGTACATATAGGCTGCTAATCGAATCTAGTTCATTGTGATTATAATTCCAAGAATAAATTTACTTGCAAACATTTTTGATACTTTGCACACTAGTGTTCGCCCATCTTTATATATTTCTCATATCACATCGCTTAGGTTAATTGAGTGCAAACAAAATTAATTACAATCGATCACAATCATAAAATGTCCTGCCACAAAGACTACCTGGAACAGGGTTTGGTTAGGATTCGGGTTAAGTAGGACAAGTTGTATTTGCTTCACGTACGTTTTAATGCCTTCGTTATGATGTGTTTGTAGTCATCACCTTAAATCTGTTTCAGAGCGAAAAAGGTGAACCGCCCATTCCCAAGATTCGATTCAAATTCGATCAAACAGTCGAATCAAAAATTAGCGAGTCAGCTGCTTCGTCAAAAAGGTATCCCGAATTCTAACCTTTCGTATAACCGAAATCTTCGATTTAAGTATTTACGTATTCTGGCGTATTTCGTGTTCTTACAAGTTGGTGCGATTTTTGTTACAGTCACAAGGCATCTTCCAGCGAATTAAAATCGAAGCAGTTGTCAACGGTTGTGATTGAAACGAAGGAAGTTAGATCAAGTGTCATTACAGAAACATTATCAAACACTCTTGTAAGTCAGTATTTCCACATGAGTAGAAGTGTAGAGACTTTGGTTGAATTTCAAAATGTCAGGTAACGGCGATGTGGAAAATGTCTTTATTGTCGATTAATCACCTGGTGTTAGAGTTAGTGTTAGCATTTAAATTTATATTATAATTAAACTGAAGCCGAGTACATACAGCTATGAATGATGTTTATCACCATAGCGAATTCAAAAATTTTGACTGAGTTTAATTGGCGTCAGCTATTTTTATATAAAAAATCGTAAAGACTAAAGACTGTGACCTTGCTCTTTATAGAATTACGACCCCGATCGAATCTACTTGTGTCCAGTTTGCAAAAAACCCGACGACGGTTCGCCCATGGTTGGTTGCGATGGTTGTGATGAATGGTGTCATTGGTAGGTCACGGTTAGAAATTTGTAATGTCCCATGCATGTTTTATATTGTTGCTACGTGTACCAAAGGATCCATCATTGTTACCATTGTGGACTATCTGTTGTTGGTTTTTTGTATAGGGCATGTGTTGGGTTAATAGCTGAACCTCCGGAACACGAAAACTGGTATTGTCCTTTGTGTTTATCAAAGAAAGAAAAGTCGAAGAAAGGAAAGAGCAAGAAAAAGAAATAGACTCGTGCATTATCATTTTAAAATGTGCAGTATTAAAAAATTGTACATGTTGTATTATGTTAATAGACGGAATGTTTTAGTTTATATCATTGACTCCATCAATAGATATTTTTTTATAGATCAGTGTCGACGTCACTATGGACTCGATTGACAAGCTGCCCATGCGCAAAAAAATAGATACTTGTCAAACAAAATAATGCTATAATTCCGTGTTCATTCAATTTCTTTGTAAAATTTCTTTATAGTAAATTTCCTATATTACTTTGCATGATTTTGTTCATAAAAATAAATAATAAAATGTGTATGGTAGGGATATACTGGAATGAATAACTTTATCACGAACAATACGGGATGAAAACGGTTACACCAAAGAGAAATCAAGGAAAGCGAATAAGCCAGTTCTGAAAACGTCTCACATTATTCAGTTAGTGTTGCCCAAAGGAACTTAAAAAGCGAAATAGATAGATAAGAATAGTTCGCCCATGATTTGGACATTTTGAAAAAATTTGTCTTCACGGAGTTAGCTCTTTGGCTAAAACGCTGTTTCGAAGCATTGCCGTGAAGCGCTAGTAATTACTTTTCCATCACACTAAGCACTTTTAAAGCACAGGACAAACCTGCCAGCAATCCAAGATAAATGCCCCACATACACACGTTAGGAAACTATTCAGCAACTGCAATATGAATGATGAAAGCAAGAAGAGCACCCAATACAACCACAACAAGAATGATATTTCGATGAACTGTTATCCAGCTTGGTTCCTCGACCTCTTCCATTTCTTTCCTCACTCGACGTTTGCGTCCTTGTTTCTTTCGTTCGAACTTTTCAAGCTCCTCCTGTAATTCGTTACATAAACAAAATCAAATGTTTTCAACGAATAATTCTATGAGTTTACGAGAATCGTCAATATCCTGTGATGGTTTGTGAATGGCCAATGCAACTGTGTATCAAAAGAATGTTGGTTTATCTGTTTTGCGTGACTTATTGGTAGGATTTTTAAATTGGTATAGAAGGGGGTTGGGGTTGGATGAAAGACAGATAAACGTTGACTGTTTATGCGCAAATGCAATATTCCAAACTTAAATGCCTGGTCAACAGCTAGATTTTCTGTTTAATCAATGCAATCGATGTCACAAGCAAAAGGACGAGCTTAATTGATTCTTGTTTGAATTGTCTTGAGCTCGATGAAAATATATGCCTGAACTTAGTAAACTTGGACTGGCACCATCTCTGTCTTTTAATAGACATGCATACATACATTATACGAAACCATTTGCCGTACAGATCACGTGCATGAAACAAAACGTATGATCAACGTGTTATAGACATACCTTGTCATGTTTTGACTCTTCCTCTTGTCGAATACGTTCGCGCTCTTTTCTTTGTTTCTCAGTTTTTATCTGGAGTGCACGACATTCTTCATTACAATCAAGTCTTGTATGCTGCACTTGATGGCATTGTACATCCTGCGAAAACAATGAAGATTTATGACGGTCGGTCAAACTATATGGGCCAAATGTAAATACCCTCATAACATCAACATTTGGAAAATGAGTAGCCATCACATGTAGCATCACCGTTGTATACTTACTCGTTTCAATCTCTTACAAGGACATCTTACGGAAACCTTTCTCGAGCACTCTTTCACATTGAGACACGGACCGGAGTGGCACTGGAGTGGGCATAGATGACCACATGCAAGTTTCTTTGGGCAGTTACCCTTGCATGATAGCAATGATTCCATCTTTGCATCATCTGATGTGGTGAGATCACTATATTGTAAAAGACATATGTGTTGACATCTGCACATAGGATATTAAAGTGGCGTTTCTACTAAATATAATAGAAAGAAGTCGATCAGGCAGTTATTTGTTGTATCTTGCATACCAGCATTTCAAATGGATTGTTATAGAGGAACAATGACAAAGTCGTTTGACCATCTGCTTGCACATGCCACAATCACCTGTAAAAATGGAAAATGATCGCGAATTGTGCCATAAAGCAAACTAATTGATTATGACAATTACATGATAACGAAGTTGCGTTATCTGATGACAACTGTGAGATCTTAAACTATAATGGCGACTCAAGTATTAACACTAATTTGACCATCCTAGCTACAACTGTCCCTGCAACCCCTCCCCCCCAACAATAATACATACATGTTTCTAACATGTATGTACAAACAAAAAATAAGATAGGTATGCATTTGTATGCCATCTTGCAAGGCAGAAAAAATCGACCAACTCATCTCAAAATGCAAACTCTGGCATACCTGGATGACACCTTCGCCGACATGAATGCGTGCATCCTGGTGGCCTGGGTTTCATACAAGGTCTTTCACATTTTTCGCATTCCAATCCACACTAGCAGGAATTTGAAAGAATTCTTATCGAGTCACTTTCACGTTATCTCAGTATACAAAACTGTAAAAGATCTACTTTATTCAGAATGCGAAACACTCAACAGAATCCCTGCCGAGTCAGACAAATGAACATGCAGAAAAAACAAAAAGGAAGTTTTGCGTTGAATTTAACAGGAACCGTGGGAAATAAATATATTAAAAATAACAGATAAAACAAATGTGGATGATGATGTTATAAAGATACTGCATTACTGCTGTATGTAAAAGGATGATTTTCAGTGAATAGATTGATAATGATGCCTTCATCATACTACTACTCCGATAAGACTCGAGCATTAATTAAACTTTGACGAAAGTTTTGCATTTTATGACAAACTGTAGAATATGTCATTCTGATGGCCAACTGAGCAATTCGTTTAAATTAAATAGCGTAACTACCATGCATGGCCATTTGCTACACACTGCTAAAGACAAATTAGGGAATTACTTGTTTTTCATCCGGAGCGTCAGTCACAGTATGGCATTCAAGTTGACAATAATGGTTACCACAGGATAGCAAGCGACCACACGGCCGTCCACAACTGATATCCCCACTTTGGTGGCATGGAACTGATATCGTCTTGAATATTAAAAAAAAAATTATAAATGCTGCACTTTTTAAAAACATGCACAACACGTTTATAATGTTTGTTGACGTAAATTGCTGTTCGTAAAGCAATTGAAATATAAACAAAATTAGGATAGCTAAGTACCTCGTGGCCTCCAAGACATGTCCTGAAACAAGAAGAAAGGCAATCAGTAAGTGCTATGTAGATTTTCAGAACATTATTGATTTCCTAAGAAATCTACAGTTGTCAGAATGATTGAACACAGAAAAATTAGCAGAGCCGGATCGAATAAGCGGGATGGTTACGCCACTACACTAGCTATTCAACCTCGATTGCACAGTCGTTCTTAACATGATAAATTCCAAGATATCAAGATAATAAGCCAATTGAATTAACTCAAACTACGACTGCGGCGCAAAGGAAAGCTTTGCGCGACGAGCAGAATATGAAAAAGTCAATTTACTTCGAAACAATTTGTTTGCAAGGGCCACATGGTATCGCAACTGCTTCCACGAGGTCATGCTTCTGGTGCTTCACTGGCCATTTGACGGTGTCTGGTTTCTATACAGAACATACAATTGGCCATTTCAACAAACTATAGCAAGGGTGTTTAAATTGGTAGGCAACCATCATATTTGCGTTGTACAAGGGAAGAGCTTGTGATAGAGAAGCTGCTAAAATTTAACTCAACATTCTTAAAGAGTGATTTTGGCCTTACAAGTCGCCATGAAATGCTATAGGGGAAGCGACTCTGCGGGCAGACACAGCAGTAAAGACATGGTACTTCATAAAGCCTTATAATTTACCTTACTAGTAGAGACAACTCGGTCGTGACATTCCATTTGACATTTATGACCACAAGGCTCAAGTATGTATCCACATATCTGTTTACAAGGAGGACACGGACCGAAATGACAACGATGGGGCTGAAAGAAACATGACTATTGATTAATGGAACATATATTGCATCTGAGAATTTCAGATTTGGTTGGTAAGTCTCGTAACACACATTCACTGACTTAAAATAGAAATCAATGATTACTGCATGAACATGTATATTTATTAAATGAAAATATTTTAGCCAGTTTTCTCATGTGATTTCTGCTTTGATTTCTTTGTATACTATCACGAATATGAAAAGACAAAATGCACAGAAGTGAAGGAGACTGCGCTGTTGTTGTGATGATCAAAGAAGTTGAAACGAGATGGTAGAAAAAAAATCATGTTTAACAAATCCATTTCTTCGTCGTTATTTATTGTGATTGTCTGTTTCATTGTACCTTTCGCGTGGGATGATGGCAATCTGAAGGATTCCTAAAAAAGCATTTTACAATATCATATAAATACACATACATGAAAAACTTGCAGAGAAAACAAAGGAAAAGTTGTTATAACTGATTAAAACAAAAACGTTGGAAATTAAAAGGCAAACGACTTTAGCCGAGCATTGCATTAAACTTTTGTCAGGTAAAAACCAAGAACATGATAACACTTTCTGGAAGACTCGGTTTCCCGCTTCTCGTAATGAAGTTCAGTAACGTTTTTTCTAACGAAAGTATTTTAATTAAGAACAATTCATCGACATCCTATTTATGCTAGAGTCTTCCATGCTTCGGGAAGGTCTTGAATAGTAATAAATACACATTGTCGTATCTTTTTTTAGCACGCTATTATATGAATTGTTTGATCGAATTTCCATCTTCTTTTTACATTGTCATGACAACTGGATATGAAGACGAGGCAAGGAAGTTTTAGAACTTCAAAATCATTGCAAACGGCCTATTTTATTTGTTATAACGTACTTGCAAAGTTTAAGGCATTTTGGAGGCTTCGTGACACGTTCTCTGCCACATGGTACTGACAACTTGGAAGATCCACAAAAACAGGTCACTTCTGTAGTCAAAGGACACGGATAACATTGTCCTGCAAACAGCCAATCGATATAAAACAACATACTCGGTGCTGTTTCTACGACCTACTACGCAGTCATCAAAACGAAACTAAATATTTTGTTATTACATAACGTGATCAATGACTACGAAACTTTGTCCAACTTGATTCGAATGTCGAGATCAAACTTTCAACACGAAATGATAATCATACGTTACCTTGGTGACAAACCGAAGGACATTTATGATTTTTACAGTTCAGTTGACGATTGCAGATCTGTTCACAAGGGGGGCATCCGCCATCACAGCACTAGATTAAATACATTCCAAGCGAAAAAAATTCCATAAAGTACACAGAGCGGCACAGATTGCAAAACAAATATCCAGCAATACAAATTAATTTCATCTCTTGAAGTTCTTGTTGGTCAAAAGTAAATGAAAACTCATCTGCTAATGAATAACCATACTCATAGCGAGTTCAACGAGTTCAACATTTCTTTTCCCTAACCCACCGCCTACCCCCCCGTCTATCACGTCCATTTTAACAAAAGAACCTTACTTTTCTACGACATTGATGCCTGCCGCAATTTTTCATTTGGGTGCATTTTATATCGCAGATAAACTCTTGCGAGCATTGAACTGACTTTTCCCTCTTTCCACAGCGACATTTTTTCTTCACCATCTGTCGACACTTTTCGCATGGTCCTAAGTGACAGCGTCGAGTACAAGTGTGCCGGCCACATGACAACAATCGATCGCATGTATCACCGCATAGCGGGACGTCCTCTGTACATGGCGCATTCACACCTAAAGACAACCATTGGGACAGGTTACTTTGGTTGGCCTCAGTAATACATCATGCATCCACATTTAAAGTGCTTATATGACCCTCAGGGAAATAATCTATTTAGATAGAGTTGGCGGTTTTGAGACCATTTGCAATATATTTAATAAGAAGATTTGATCTTCCTTGACTTTTTGGGCGTCAAAGTTGGCTTTTATTGTGTTTGACCGCGAGGTGCTGTGACTGGGTCTAGATCACCGGACGTGACGTACATTGGAGAACACGCTGCTTTTAAAGCTGTAAAATTATAGTATAATTCAATAATAAAGCGAGCAATATGAACAAAAGTTTCAGAAAAATTAATTTCTCCACTTTGCTACAAATATCACTATAAAATACAGCGTAAGCAACCCTGCGCATCCTTTATGATTTAGGCACAAAACAACTTCTACATATGATCAACCTTTAAGAATTATATTAAAAAGTGTATTTATGGCTAGGGAACCCATCCTCGCCCTCAAAGGCTAACACATCCATATGTCATTAAAAATGATAACGATTATAACAATTATAACGTTCCATGAACGGATAATACATTTTAAATGGCAAAACAAAAAAATTTCATACTGGTTTTTCCACAGGGACACGTGCGTTTTCCAGATTTTGGGCAAGGCGGACATTTTCCACCATGACAAACGTCACTGCAATAATGGTTGCCACATTCGAGAAGCTTACCACATATCTGAGATAAAGAAAACATTATGCAAGACCTGCCTTCACAAGAAGATAAATTTTGTTGGGAGGAGGAATGTACATAATCATGCGAGCTTTCCTTTTCCTACATGAAGATTTTATAGGGCAAGACAAAAAATTGATTGTATAAATGGAAATTACTGGAATTCAAAGGTTCTAGCATACATAAAACAATACATAAAAGGTCTTTAACTATGAAAAAGGTACCTATTGCTGAAATTTACGAAGCTCGTCCGAGGCATGATCGCCAGTTGTCGTTAATTGTTGCCATTTTGTTGTCGTCATCATAAGCAATAGGTACGCAAGTACGCATGTGTGAACATTTTCAGCTGTGATTTCAGCCCGGGCTGAAACCATTACATAACAGATTTTTCAGCCTGGGCTGAAATTGCACCATGTAATCGGCCCTTAAAGGCACGTGTTGATGGTTGTTTGTTAGCTATGTATAGATACATGACAGGATGGCAATATTCAAGAGCATTACCTCCTTACATTGCCATTGAGGTTCAGCACAGGGTCGCATCATTGTATTTCGTCCACATAAGCACTTTTGTAAGCTATGCTTTGGACATGGTTTGCATAGTCCTGTCGAACGAAATTGTTCTTTACGTAACTTCATCATTATATATTATATTATTTGTAAACTTTAATTGACCCAGGGGAGGCTTGATTTATACGATTTATTTAGTATAACTTTATTATTATAAAAGAAATTTCATCACCATAGTACATGAGAAAATCGCATTATAATTGTGCCGCAAACACAAACTAAAGAACCGACACGAATCCAAACACTAGTTACCATTAAATATCTACAGAACTCTAGGGCACGAAGAAGAAAATATAAGTTAAAATGCTAAAAGTAAATGAATATTTGAGATTAACGTCATTTGATGTTGCCGAAGCAGACCATAGGATATGTCTATAAAAGCATCTAATATGCCTATTCTTTAGCACGTAAATTTGTTTATTTTTGAACCACAAAACAGTGGAGTATAAACATCGAGGCTACAATATGACCTAACCAAGATAATGATTTCACGAATAAAAAGTGTGTAAGGCTTCTGTTGCAAATAGGCATCACTTACTCATTTGGAGAAAAGCATTTGCCATGTACAATCGATGCAATCCATTAAAACTTATAAAGAGTTTCGATGTCTTACACTGACTGTGGATTTAGCACCCAAATGAAAGTTTCAAAAAAGTAAAAAAGTTGCAGATATACCAAAGAATTTTCCCGAAATCATTAACAGAATGATCACTAAGTTCCAATGAAATTCTTGTGTCGATTCTTTTTTTTCAAAATTCAATTAAAAGTTCTTCAAAGTTCGTTATATTATTGCGAGCTTCCTGTCTGAATCGATCAATCTGGTTAAATCGACAAATTTGTCTTTGATGTATGTACCAAACGCATGGTAATGAAGTTCAAATTACTTACTTGCGCCTTTTAAAAATTTGAAACATGCATACAGTTTTTACCATGGTAAAGAAAAATTGCTTCCAAAATCTACAATTTTCTTTAGTTACGTAATCAATAAAATTATTCAATGAAATATTTCAATGAAAACCACACATGCTTTACCTGCATGACATGGATCCGTACACGTATGATGACCACATGAAAGTATTTTCCCGCAGGTCTTTCCACAAGACCATTCCTTCGCGCTACATCTACGAATTTTAGGAGCCTGCGAGCCGCAGTGACACGTGACTCGAACCATTTTCGGGCACGGAGGACAAGGGCCTGACGTAAAGAGGAGAAAATAAAAAAGATCATGAAAACATACTTATGGTGACCATCAATGGCAATCACAATACCAAGGGCATCGGAAGCGGGAGGGCACTCTTCTTAAAAGAGGAACAGTAGGCCCTCCCACTTCGCATTAACATAGTAAAATTACTAAGAAAGAGAATGTTTACTAAAACTCTATTTTGACTATAAAACATACGTATTTACCATGTACCTCAGTGGAGTTCTAAAGAAACACGCCTGGACCTTTTGCAATTCTTTTATTTCATTAGTTTATTACATGCGCGATTGGGCGACGGGCGTTGTTAAAATTCAAAATGGCGCTTACTTGGAAACATGTTGTAGATTGGTACTCATAATTTCTAAAATGTGCCACCCCACCCCCCTACTTTTATGTTCCGCTTGACACCCCAGGATAATAAAATGACTAGTTTCCGATTGACTTCCTTTCTTTAAGACTGCAGAATGCGCACCAAAGGTGCGCTAAAGCTTTTGAGCGAGCCAATTAAAAAAAAAAACACAAAAATACTTATAAATGAAATATATAAATACGGCATGATGCTCGCATGATTTAGTGTAATCCATTCAATCTGATGATGAAGACATGTTCTTTGCCCCGTTGGCCATGAATGTCTAAACACAACATAGTTATAAATACCTGGATGACAAAGCAAGAGACAGGTATGACCGCAATCAGGAGTGAACTGACGTCCACATATTTCACCACAGGAGTGTGGTACCGACCATGGATCAAACTTGGGATTTACCTAAAAACAACGGGAAACTTTATGTGGTATGAAATGGAAACAAACTTTGTGCGACGAGCTGTTACTGAGAAATAACGACAAGAAACGAGGCAAAATGGTGCATCAACTAAAAAATTGGAAAAGTTCTGAAGCTGTTTAACACAATAAAGAAAACGTCTTTGTATGAGTGGATATATTATTCTTTCTTTGAGGACAGGTCACCAAATCTTCAGTGTTGCATGACGTTGCTCGTTGATATCGAAAAAGAGGTATTAACGTGCGAACAACTCAATATCACATCATTACTTAACTTCAGTTGGGAAAATTATACATATATATATAGTTGAAATGAGTCAATCCTATCAATAGTAAATGACAACTAGAGAAATTACCGTTTTTCCACAAAAACAAACATATTCTTTAGGCCGCTCGGACTGCTTGTATTCGCACCTGCATTTGGGACTGTAAGAGAAAGGTGATGTCAAACAAAGTTAACATGATATATCTGTATTGTATTCCTATCGTTTCGCACAAATATAAATTCAACGTCAGTGTAAAGCCACTTTCAAAAAAGACTTGAAGGCACTGATTTCAAAAACCTTAACATAGCTACTATGATAACAAGTTCTTCTAAAAACGTCAGGGCAGCCACATTAAGAATTGAAAAAATTTGAGGCGTATCGCTTGAAAAAAATATTTTTGACATACACTTGACATACACTTTGATACACTTGAGAAATCCCCACTTTTCATTTAAAAATAAGCAAATAAATTGGTTAAGACAAACAAAACCTTTACCAATGCTTTCTTTCATCATATCCTTAAGAGGTGAGCAGGTCATCGGCAAAACATCGGCAAAAGTAGACTTGTTTTTATTTTCGAAATCGATAATCGGTCGTTCGCTTTTGTTTATAGGTTGTACGTTTTTTTGATTTTCGCACATTCGTCGTTCGACAATTTCCGGAATTTCTTTCAAAAGTGTCGTTTGGAAATACTTAAGTGTTCGTCAAAATTCATGAAACGAGTGTTTGGTTTAAAAGCAACGGTATTCACACTTCGTTGTCACGAGTTGGAAACCACGTTATTTTTGCTAAATTAATTTAATTTTAATTATTTATCATGATTCCTATCAAAGGTCATTGTTTTTGAATGCTAAGTCACATACATTATCAATTTTGGCAATGTAATAAACAACTGTTGATAGTGGGTAAGTATCGGCTCTACATTCGGCTATCGGCTTTATTTACACGACATCGGCTCACCACAAAATTATCCTTACCAAAACCAAACAAGCTCCTGATGAGGGAAATGTTCATGAGACAATGGCAGGTTTTGAACAGCACCATCATTTGACCATTGCTGAATACATTGGAGATGAAATATGCTGTAGCAACGAGAACAGCTCCAAATCTGTAAGACAAAAATAGAAGGATTTTGAAGGTCTATTAAGAAGTTTTGAATCTTAAAAGCCATGAGCGTGCTTCACCAGAGAGCAGGGGCGGGTCAATGTTCATTTACAGGGGGGTGCAGATTTTCCAAGGGGGGTGCAGATTTTCCAAGGGGGGTGCAGCTAAAGGTGCAAGGGCTTCAGGCATAGATGAGTGAACATTGCGTAATCAAAGTGTTATTAGCTTTTGAAGATTTTTTTATAAAATTAACTACATTATGAATCCTAGTAGTATAACTGAACAGTACTTCATTAAATAATCAACAACGATTCATAAATTATGTAATCAAACGACAAGTGAAACACAAATACAACAGTTGCTTTCACACATGACAAACAAGGGACAAGAAAATAAAGAGCAAACAAAGTTGACATGAAAAAGTAACAGGTTGCTTCGCGTTAAGTAATTTATTTCCATTTTATTGTTTCAATGAAAATGCACATGGTAGTGACTCAATTGCAAATGGTGGTTGTATAAAATATTCCATTACCTTTGAAATGATAAAGTTCCACTTTTTACTCAGTCTTACTGTATAATTTCCTAGCCTCTAATACTATTTAATTATAATAACAGCCTGCAGTGTGTAAGAGGGTGCTAGAGAATTTGGGAGTGTCCACCCATGCACTCTCTAGAAAATCCACCCCTGCTAGAGAGACCTTTGATATACATATCACTAAGACATACAAAACACAGCCACATACTTCTTCTAAAGTAAAAATAGCTATGTACCATGGGATTCCAAAAAAAAAGGGGGGCATACACCATGAGTGCACTTTGTTGGAGGTAACTTAACATAGTAAATGCAACCAAATATGTGTGTACTTAGATAGCTCATGCCTCATTGAGTCATTCTCACATGGCTACATGGTACATACTTTGATCAAAATCTTGTCAAAGATGTTGTTTACGCCCTATTTCACTACGCTGATTTTTTATTAATGATTTTATTAAATGATATACATAGAAGGTGCCTGAATCTTTGTGGATTTACAAAAGATAACATGGCAGCAACAGAATATCAGAGTAAATCCTGTGCAAAACTTACTGGATTGTTATGCTTAATAGATTCAATGCAAATCAAACATATCAAAGCACGAGAACTACAGCTCTCTTGAAGATACTGCTTTATCTTTACCAAATTGTCTTCATCTCCTAAAATAAAGAATTTGAAACATTTAAAAATGAACAAAAAATTCATTACTATAGCCAAGAAAGATATCTATCAAATATTATAATGAAAACTAAGAATGTCTTATAATACTATATAGCCAGTAGTGGCATAGTCACCCTTGTCGTTAATAATATTAATTTGATGCTCACTTAGTGTAAAAAAAATTTCTAAAGGAATAAAAATACTATGAAGTAAATGGTTTGAACCCGGGAGTATCATTATATGTTTGTAAATGTTGATCGTCCAGGTTGGTATAGTCCTGAGAAGGACTGTTTTTGTTGTTGTTGACTGACGTTTCGACAACCTTAGCGGTAGTCATCTTCAGAGTCAAATGAGGAGTAAACATCAGGTTAGCCATATTTGTTATCTGGTTCTTACTTCATTGTATTGTGTGTACAGGAAATGTGTATTGTCATTGTGAATTAGTGTGAAGTGAAATATTTTTAGTTGTGAAGTGTGATTTAGGTGTGATGTTTTTGGTTGTAATGTGTGGGTGTCAATTGTGTATTGTCATTGTGAATTAGTGTGAAGTGTAATGTTTTTAGTTGATCCTTTGTTTGAATTGTGAATAAGTCGTTTGTAAGGTGCCGGTAATTGCTGTGATCTGTTCAGGGGGGTTTGTTCCAAGTTGGTATACCAACTTTCTAATGTAAGCCGTTGTCTATAGTCAGTACTGTAAGTAATGCATTTTGCCAAGTCCCAGTCAATGCTGTGCTTTGTGATTCAGGGATGTTAGGCAATATGACTGGTTTTGTCTTGTTTCTTAGTAGCTCGTTTGTGTTCAGTAAGTCTCATGTTTAAGTTCCTGCCAGATTCCCCGATATAGGAGGCATGGCAGTCGGAGGAGTTTATTTTGTAAACTGCACGTTGTCATTCGTTGGGTTGTTCTTATACTATAAAAATACTATGATTTGAAATTTACATGATACAACCAAATTGATGGGCTGGGCAAACTGGCTGTCGCACTGCTACATACTATGTTGGACTGCTAAAAATGTAAAAGTGAAAAGCGAAGGATAACTTTCAGCAGTCTAATAATCAGTAGACGGGTGAAAATTTTGGTAGTATATAGGGAAAAGTTTTTGCAACATGTAATATGGCATTGGAGCCTAAAGGTCTGACATTATAGTGCGGGAAAGTTCACATGGGCACAAAAATATTTGATTTTATTTTTTGGGAGGCAATCAACCTCCAAAAACATTGTTGCTTGAACAGCACCAATAAAATATTCCTTCAATTCTCTTGTACAAGACAACCAACATGGCTGAAATTGGCCCAGCCGAGAAAATATTCACCTACCTTGATAAGCAGTCAGAGTATTGCGCAATATTTCAGTATCGTTAACATCATCATCAGATTCAGAAGATGACAACTGCGCTTCTTTCGAGAAATTAGCAGCAGACTGTCGAATTTCTTCTGCTTTTTTACGACGTTCGGACGAAGCACAAATATCATGCACATGGCGATCTTTTCGTTGTGCTTTACGGCCAGGGGAGCCAAAATCCCATGCTGACGTGTTCTTTGTTTGGCCGCGTTCAGGTTCTGCCTCTGGCGCCCCGTTTCTATTCGTAAATCTTGCATCATGGGGACGGTTTACATTGCTTTCTCTTGTTCCACGGCCTCGACCACGACCGAGAAATGCTGGTCGCTGGTTCATCAAAGTCGTTATTATGTGTTGGCCGAGAAAAAATTGAAAATCCAAAACCTTCGAAAAACCTGTTCATGATTGACCTCAAGCGGCCATAATGGTCAATACCGTTAATACGTGAAACGTGGTGTAAGCTCGTGTAAGCTGAAGCTCGAGTTCTTAGTTGTCGTCATGACGACTCAAAATGGCGGAAAATTTAAAGTAATCTCAATTTTTAGATTTTTCTTTTTATAATTTCTTTCGAGATGGCTATGGAGCAGGTACAACTTATCAAAGATACGCATAACAAACCAATCACAGCAGTTGGTTATAATCCTATAAAACATGAAATCTTAGCTGGATTTGAAGGTGTGTGGTTGTCAATCTGTTGCTATTTTTTTAAACAAAAACACAATAATCCTTCGACTGTTTGAAATGCTCATTTTTATACTTGTAAAACTTTGAAGCACCGTATTTGATGCTTCACTTTGATGTAATTTTCCAGGTTGCTTTAAATTTTTCATCATGCAACCTGTCATGTGTTTCAACAAGTTGTTCAAAAATGTGGGAAAAAAACAAACTGTTCTACCGTTATGTGACATTAATCTGCTTTGAAAAACAATTAAATTATCTTCAGACGTCATTTACAGATTTACTACCTTATTTTAAAGTTCATTATCGGTCAGTCGTAAGTTGTCATATTATGGGAAGTACTTAGGTTAAGGACGGAGAAAATTAAAGTTAGCATGTTTCAACTTTCAAGAGCGTCTTTGGTTTGGATTTATCAAGAATGACAACACACCAGCACTTTCCAAATGTTTAGCGAATCTTGTAAAACATTTTTGACTTTCACAAGACTAAACAATCGTTGATGTCATTCGATTCAGCGATTGAAAAACTCAGTGAAAGTTTTATCTGTATGAAACGTTAAAGTACAATGAGGAGAAACGATAGAAATTCGTTTCGCTGTCGCTTCTCTCTTTATGATTAAACTCTATTTCAGATGGAGTCATCAAGGCTTGGGATTATTCCACAGGCGAAACAGGAAAGAGCGTGCGTTCTATGCACGAACATCAAGGATTCGTCACAGCATTTCTGTTGTGGTAATGAATGCTGAATATATGTTATTTACCAGCTTGGAAGTCCGTACTGAATAAGAGGTCTCAGGCCCTACGGCAGAGGCCGACGGACGCTTCTAAACCCCAGGGAAAATATTTTTCATTTGGGAGTTACCTGAACAGAAAATATAGTTTTTTTTGGTTTTTATATTTTCATGTTGTAAAATGGTCAATTGAGACTGATGTTGGATTACTTCCTACAAAGTTCACTTCCTCTGGATAGTTAAAGTCATTCTCGCTTGATTTTTAATGTCTATCATCTTAATAAATTTTGTTTTCTCCATTTTTGCTTTCTACATTGGCTTACAATTAATGACCCCATGTCCCCAATCAACCTCCGATTGACGCAAATAATAATGACGAAGTATACGAAATTACATTTTTTTAATGGTGTAGGTTTGACGCCAAGTTTATGTTGTCTTCTGGTAATGACGGCACGATCATTGCATGGGGATCTGGAGGCGCTGTTTATGACCAAATAAATGTAAGCAAGAATGATTAGGACATTGAATGAAGATATGATCTTCGCACTTTGCTGGACAATTTAAGCAATTGTCTCATGAACCTGAGAAATTCAGGTGACTCAACGGGATCCCGCAAAGTGCAAAATTGTCCAGCAAAGTGCGAAGATCATATCTTCATTCAATTTCAAACACCGCACTGCAAATAACAATCTTTCATAATGATTAGGACACTTCAACAAGACCCACCCGAAGCACATGTATATTATAGTCAAAACAAAGTGCCATTAAGATTTACTCTACCCAGCTGCCGGTCCAACAAAAATACGCGTTTCATTTTCCTGTCTTTCTACTAGGCAGAATCATCACAATCGAACAGTTTGTTGTGACATTTGCCCTTGTCACTTGTTTGTAGAGTGACCTAGTTAGCTGTTGCTGAATATTGAAATGCAATGGCAAATTATGTAAAATATATAATTTCTTGTCTTCCCTTTCCTCAAACCACACCCGCAATTTAAGTGACGACTGATGACTGCAATAGAATTATAGAACCCATTAAGTATTTCATTTGAGAAGAAAAAACAGAACTTACCTCATTCAACTGAAATGTTTCAATCAAACAGATAGGAACACCAATATATGGAATGGCGTGGCATTCACGTAGGAACCAACTGATTGTATGTGCGGGAATGACAGTACAATTATTTTCAATGAAAGATCCTGGTATGTAATAAGTCTTCTTCACGTGACCAGTTTTGATGTATTTTCACCTGACTAAAATAGAATTATTGAAAAGGACTCAAATAGTGTTACTTTTCCATGAAACGAAAATGCAACAAATATTTTACCTCCAAACCATTTTCCCGTTTTCTTCGGTGTCTTGATACCACTAATCGTTTTGAAACTTGAAGCGTAAATGATGTCTAACGCCAATACGAAGCTAAGGTGTTGGAGTTTATTGTGACGCTATGTCGCAATGAATAAGACGCCTTCTGTTTATTACGAGACTGTTATAACGTTGAAATCGATTCAAATTTTAGGAAAGGAGCTTGGTCATGTCATCGATACAAAAGGTAAACCGAAAGAAGTGACTGTAATGTCTTTGCAAAAGAGTGCTTTTAATTGCTCGTTCTTATCTGGATTAACACTCAGTTTTATTAAAGTACAAAAAAAAACTCTTTGGAAATTCCATTGTCAAATTTGCATCATTCTAAACTTACGCTTTATATATTTGTTTTTGAAACCGGTATATATAATTAGTTGTATCATAAACGTCTCAATAGCATTCGCAATTACCCCGTTACAAAAATGCATTGAAATTGACAATTTTTCAGACAAGCATTTAACAAAATTTAAATATCACAACGAAATTCGTTCAGTGAAAGTCATGAAGAAATTATGCAAAAATCCTTTTGCATAATATTTGTCGATATCTCAAGGTGTTCTTGTTCTCTAGACTAGAAATTAGTAGCAAACCAAAAAATGACCAGTCAGTTTGAACTATTCTGCTTCGTGTATTTCCATAAAACTCTGAAACAGTTCTCAAAACTATTTGTAGCTCTGTTTTTTGCATCAAAAGTAATGTTGTTTCGTTCTACTTATTTCGTCAATGATGCTTTGTCTATTGTACTCATGTTAAAACACATGTTGACTGGTACATGAGGCCGGTCAGAATTGTATGGTCTTCGGTAACAACATGGCTGACGATGCTATTCATATTTTTTAGCATTCATCACTCGCGAACACACTGACATCGTAAGATGCATTGCTGCCCTGGAGACGAGAGTTTACAGCGCCGGGTAGATTTTTCTAAATTACAGAAATTAGCGTTTCATTTTCTTCCCCATGCAAGTATTCTCGTTTTAAGCTTGCGCTGTTTCTTTCCTCAGATTTGATAGATCCATAATTGTGTACGAATCGTTGTCATATCCTGGTGCCAAAGGCATTAAAATGGCCACATGGTTTGTAGAGGTTTATTATATGGCATGTTCTTCATCTTGGAATGGTATTTGTAGTAAATGGTTGACCCCCCCCCCAGGGTATAATCCCTGGAAAAATATCCTAGAGAAAAGGCCTCCTGGATATTATAAAACATGAAAGTAATGTGCTAATAGATTTTGAAGTGGCTGAGTTTAAAACAAAATTTGCCTTATGATAGTATAAATAATGTTCTCCGTAACTTTGTTTTCTTATTATAAATAAAGGATGGACCATTAGAAATTTGGGGAAGGGTGACAATTCCATAAAATAATTCTTGCAAGTTGTTAGAATACTAAATATATCTTACAGAAAAGCAAGCTGCGGGGGGAGAGATTTATCTGCTCTAGGTCTGCTTAGTTTCAACCAAAAAGCAGCTTAAAGTCTCCATCATGGTTTGATTGAAACTTCGACAAAGTCAGACAAAAGCATAAGCTCCCCTAAAGTTAGCAAGAGTCCACGAGATTTGAAAGCACGATTATATGGCAGTTTTACACTTCGTTATTATAGCCTTCTTTTTTTTTACTTTATTTTCTTGTTTGAAAGTGTTCTCAAAATTCAATAAATGACGATTTACAGGCTCAGGAATGAAAATTCCTCTATGATTCATGTCCCCGGACCTCGAGGGTCCAGAACCTCACACTTTTAGCGTTTGCGGCTAGCCAAATGCCGAAATCTGCGACGACTGGCTTGAAAAGATGTCAGTTTAGTTTAGAAATTGATTTAAAACGCAAAATCTGCTTGCGACCATAATTTACAGTTTCGAATGGCTCTTGAATACGTTAAAAATTTAGGCAAGAATGCTCCCCCTCTCGAGAAATGGAAGCAACCGCAAAATTATACCTTTTACTACAGAGCGAAGCATAGCCACACCAATATTTTTCGTATCATTAGAAAAGTAAGATGATCATCCTTTACGGTTTCATTTCTCTACTGTGTAAATTCTCATTTTTTAAATTTCAGTATTAAAGACGCACACGATGCAGGGATCACATGTTTGTCCGTTACACGTGACTCAGACAACAATACATGGTAAGTTAAGGGGGGGGGGTGTTTTACTTCTAACCTCAGCCTATAATCCCTGGGCTTGTAGAATTTCATACGAGCACGTTTTCATGGAATTGTACATGTGGGAGCCTATACACGTGTGGGGAAATGCATGGACTATATTATACTGCAGTTATAGAGTAAATAGGGCTTATCTCCTGGAATGTTTTTGCTTTTGTGTGGAAAGAGTTCATCGACAACTGTAACCATCTTGGATTGGCTGATACATTGGTTGGGGCTGAGGTTGACTGTATACCATAAAAGTGGAACTTTTTCTAATATTTATGGCTAATAGTGTTTTGAAAACAGCATCGCCCATTTTTAGCTACTCCCCCTATACAAATATTTTTGTGTTCATTGACCGTAAGAAAAATTTACTTCTAAAGAATGATAATTGTAACTGGTGAATATTTACGTAACGTAACGTAACGAAACATAACGGTGACGTAACGAAAAGCAAATCTGCTGATTGGCTACGCTACAGCTTGAAAGTACAAACTGGAAAATTTTATGACTTTGAACCATAAGTTTGATTCATTTTATGTGATTTACATGCACTAAGGTTATCGTCTGGCTCGTTTGACAAAACTGTAAAATTATGGACCCCGGATGGACAAATGATACACAAGTTTGATGGTTTTAGGTAAGGAATGTTGATCTTTTCTTTTATGATCGATGTTTAAATGGGGTTTAAGTCCATTCCTTGACAATTTTTTTTATATGTAGCTCTGTTATTACGGGTCTTCTATATGTTCGTCCTGCAAAGACCATGTGGGTCACCACGTTAAAGTCATTCTTTGACAATTTTTTTATATGTAGCTCTGTTATTACGGGTCTCGTGTATGTTCGTCCTGCAAACACCATATGGGTAACAGCTGGAACCACCGAAGCAGCGATGTATGATCCAAAATCAGGCGAGAATGTATGTTCTGCCAAAAATATATTTTACAACATTTGTACGTAAAACTTCAGATACAAAAGATTCAATTACGCAAGACAAACTCAATTGTACACCTCTTCCACTTCGAATTCAGAGATATCAAGATCAGTTTCAGATAGCGCCAAGTCTCCGAATAGGAGTAGACAGGATGTATAAAAAAACGTAGAATTTAGGAAATTGACGTACTGTAATGATTTCAAAGCCCACAGCTACATAAAGTATTGTCATCTACATACGTGCAAGTATTAAAAATTTCTTTCCATTTATAAATCATACTCTAGCGTTATTGTACCAAGATGAGTTATCTGCATAGAGGAGGGGGTTTTTTGGGACGCCCTTTACAGTGAGATTATATTTAGCATAGTGATGACGCATTGAAATTTTTCAATAGGTTGGTTTCTGCAGGGTATTTTAAAAAAACTGCTTCTCTTTGAAATCATTAGCTTTTGCTTGACATAGGAATAATTTAAACGCAAATTTTGAAATTAATTTCATACTTAAGTTTTGCATGTACAGAATTTGCTACACGTAAGTATTGTTTTTAACTACGCTTGTAGATCTTCGGGATTAATTATGGTAGAATCATGCAAATTCATAAAGTCGGCTAATTTAAGTAGATTTTTTATGCCCCTTGTATTTTGCATTTTTTTGTTAGGTTTCGGATTTTGCTGGAACATTTCGTGTGTCTAATGAAACGTTCACGCTGGAGTTGTTGGCATTCATTCCTGTGCTTGGACAAGTCATAGGTTTGTACTTCCCATGAAAAGGAAAACTTGAAAAAATTTACATTTTCTGTAGATTTGATTTTACATGTTTGTCATGAAATTTTTCATTATTCAAAGGCGTCTCAATCATCGTTCAAACCACCCAATTTTCGTCGTGTGAATTAAGATTGTTTATTCAAGTGTTTGAAATAAACAAAGAAAGACATCAAACTTTTTACGAGTGAAGTAACAAAGTGTTGATGAGTTTGATATGTATTTGTCAAAACTAGCTTAAGAGACAAGAGCATGCCAAAATTATATGATTGAAAATTGCTAAGCGCTCAATACAAGCACCAATTTCAGAGCTCGCTCCACCACAAATTAATTGAGAATTATTCTGAGTGTATGCCTAGTCAACTCCGCCAACTCTCCAAGTTCATGGTCATGGCAACGACCAAATGTATGTACTAGTAACGATTATCGAGTAATTAGCTCGTTCAGTCACAAATTTTCAGATAAATCATCTGCGCATGCGCAAGATACCCAAGTCCATGGCAACGACCAACTGCATCCACACTGCATCAACTAGCAACAGTTTGAGAGGACTGTTTGATGTTGTTGACTGACGTCTCGACAACCTTAGCGGTAGTCATCTTCAGAGTCAAAAAAAATTTTTTTTTTTTTTTGACTCTGAAGATGACTACCGCTAAGGTTGTCGAAACGTCAGTCAACAACATCAAAAACAGTCCTTCTCAGGACTTTATTAACCTGGACGATCATCATTTACAAACATATAACGATACTCCCGGGTTCAAACCATTTACTTAATTTTGATGTAAATAACATGCTTAGTAACAATTTAATAGAGAAATCATCTGCGCATGCACTCGAGCATGCGTAGTCTACTCGACTATTTATAGTCATGGCATCGACTAACTATATCTACTTGCACTAAATTTGTGGCAATTAGCTCACTTAGTCGCAAATTAAAGAAATCATCTGGGCATGCGCAGTAGTGACTTAATAATACCACAACTTTCGTAAGGCCTTGGAATTTATGTATATAAATATAAAGCTAAATATTTGTACAGTAGATGTCAACTAGCAGTGGAAGCTGGGTGCGATATGTATGCAGTGGCTTAGGGGCCCAAATGTTTCGGGTCGCGACCGCACTCTCCCTGCGTACCCCGAGCAAAGCCTATTGCAGGTGATCTCAGGGTCTGATGGGCGGAAACTTGCTATTGACATCCCCAAGTAAGATAGCGTGGAAGGGGCCGAAATCTCCTAGCGAAACGTTAACCTGCAGCGTTCTAGTGACTTACGCTTAAGAAGGCATCGGGAAGCATGGCCCGAAAACGGGGTTTTTTTGCTTTCGAATTTTATCTTTTTGTTTACAAGAGTTCTTCTCATAAATTAAACCAAGCAACGTTTCCATTAACTTCTTCTCGCACTGTGCCTTTTTCAGGCACTTATATCTTAAGACAACCTTAAACATGTTTTATACAATTTTCATTGGTCATTACATCTTTCCCATTTAACTCTCGCATTTACGGTTTCTCATGTATCACGAGCAAACCATCCATGGGCTTCAAGGCAAACAACGATTATCCGTTTCCTTTAATTACCATGCGACGTCTAGTGCTCAACTATCTCGGGGTATCGAAGGCATGGACCGAAAACGGGATTTTTTGTTTTCAAAATTTGTCTTTTTTCTCTACAAGAATTCTTCTCATAAAAGAAAATAAAATATCCAATGATAATGCAAAAGTTCAAACAACTTCTGTTTTTTTGACTTATAATTCAAACAAACTCTTAGCATGTTTATTTGTGCTTTTTCTTGTCGCCTTTTACAATGTAACTTTCTCACACCTCTCTCGTTATGAACAAAAGCCTCCTTATACAATGTAACTTTCTCACACCTTTTTCGTTATGAACAAAAGCCTCCTTTTACAATGTAACTTTCTCACACCTTTTTCGTTATGGACAAAAGCCTCCTTATACAATGTAACTTTCTCACACCTTTTCGTTATGAACAAAGCCTCCTTTTACAATGTAACTTTCTCACACCTTTTTCGTTATGGACAAAAGCCTCCTTATACAATGTAACTTTCTCACACCTTTTTCGTTATGAACAAAAGCCTCCTTATACAATGTAACTTTCTCACACCTTTTTCGTTATGGACAAAAGCCTTCTTTTACAATGTAACTTTCTCACACCTCTCTCGTTATGAACAAAAGTCTCCTTATACAATGTAACTCACTCCCCACGAACGAAAGCATAAATGGGCGTTATGGAAAAAGGAAATATTTAAGCTGCCCGATGTCTCCTCGTGCACACATACATTTAGTGATTTTACAAAAAGAGTTGATTGTCTTTATTTACTGCTGCTGCTAGCAAAATTAAATTGATCACCACCACCACCACCACCACCAAAAAAACTATACTCATCTATAGAATGAAATAGGAAAATTCTCTTTAAGCAAAGCTACGTACGTGCCTGTTCATGAACAACTAGCGAGGTACGTATTTGAAGAAAGCAGACAATTGCAAGGACATAATTGAATTTATTTTTCACGATAAAAGTACCACCAACTGGATATATGATAATTTTAAGTAGTGCCCAGTCCACGGTGAATGTGTAATTCTTATAGACATTACTTTCTATTCCTATCTGTACACGTAGTACAACAAATTATATAAGCTGGCCGATGATCTTCTCGTGCCTGCTTAAATAGAATGAATTTATTTAAATCTTAAAATGGCTACAGAAAAATTACAAAGACATTACTTCCCCATAACATGTCTTTATCATAACAAAACAAATTGAGACAACAAATGTTATGTAGACATTAATCTAGCATTCTTTGTGAAGATGTTTTATGCATGAAACGTTATTTACCTATTTTTCCTTAACCCTCCCTTCCCCCCCAAAAACCCGCCATACACCCACGTTTCTGTTGATTTTTCGGTTCACTCACCTCTGTACATTTTTAGAGTCAGTGAATAGCAAAACTGCATTTTCTTTCTCTGTGGTTTACGAAATCTAAGCAAAATCGATAAAGTTTTTTTTGCTGAGCTCAATCGCTGTAGATTATAAAATGTCTACTCGATTTTGTAGGAAACGGCTTTAAAAATACAAAAATTACGTTAAAACGTTTATGGTTCTTTGTTTCACCATATTGTAATAAGCATGTTTTGTTTTTTTCGTTACCCGTGTGTATTATGTCTTCAGGTACAAACATTCGTAGACAAGTGATAATGTGGAAATTCAACCCGTCTGGATGTCTGACAACTTTGAGACACAATTGCCCAGTTGAGTCGCTAGCGTACAGTGAGTTTTCCACTTGGTATATACATATTTTTGAGAAAGCATGATCAATGTCAGTTTGCAACTATATGTATTTAAAAAAAATAACTAAAATTTTTACAAGCAAAAATCATGATTTCAATGTTTGTTTTCACTGTCAGCTCCAAAGGTCCCTCTGCTTATATTCAGTGGTGGAAGCGATGGGAATGTTACGAAATGGGAGCGACTTCAAGCGAGTAACTTCATTTATAGGTGAGGACATGTGCAAATCTGTGAACAAGTCAATATATATCTATCAGCACTGATGTAAATGGTTGCATCAATGTAGCTAGGACTGTTACTCTTATACTGAATACTCATGTTGCATAGCTTGCGTAATGCTGAGCAAGTGTTTTTCTTGCCTTTTCTTGGGCTATGAAAACTTTAATGTAAAAAGCTCCCACCTCCCTCCCAATATTAGAATTATGATATTCTGTCTTCTTTTGCACCATTGAAAAAATATGTACATATGTAGTACAATATGTAAGAGCTTTTCTGGCCACTTTCCCCATCTCCCAAAAAACATTGCAGGCGCCACTGCTAAAAAATTATTGCTCTATAGATAATCTCATCTATTTTGGAGAAACTTCGTTGTGTGTTTTACTTAGTTTGTATAATTGTTAGATATTTTAGCAAAGGTTTTACTTAGCACAAACTGATCGTTTTAACGTAAAGCCATAATATTGTGTTTGAAAATATTCAAGCTCAGTTTACACGGCACATGCAGTGTCAAAATTACCTCTCGTGAGTTTGAAAAATAAGTAGAGCAAATTAGTCTTGCCGCTTTGTGATTCATGGACATATTCCTGGAACACGTGACAGTCATTTGTCGTTTTGTTATGTAGCAAAGAGATATTTGCAAGAAGTGAGGGCCTAGCTTGTTTGGCTCGTCAGTTTGCAGAGAAATATGAAAAAATTAGTGGTAGAAGCGAACAAAAAAGAGCCGTAACGAGAGCAAGACACTGTTCATCACTTGAAAGTGTTAAACCGAAAGCCAAGGTATAGAGTGACAATAAGTCGATATGGTGGAGCTTCAAATTTTTTGTTTCTATTGGTATTTCAAATGATAAACCTTGTTTGATAGTTTAATTAGGAAATCATTCATCTCTATAGTAAAATGTAGATATTTATGGATAGCTAAACGTAAAAAGTACTGTTGTAATCGAATAAAGTAAAGTAAGGGATAGGTTTTTATGACTGCTCACAACAAACCTGTCTTTTGTAAAGATTGTACGTCTCAGAAACTCATGCAGATGTCCACATACAAATATTTTTCAGAGCTACGGAATTACAGACTTCACAGAGGATGTTTCCATCTTGAATTCCTTGTTCGTTGAGAGTTTGGATTTGCTTGTACTTTCATCAGAAGATAACAATATTTGTAAGTTCACTTACGGTTGCCAATAATACAGCATATATAAAAGTCATCTATACATAGATACCAATTTCGAGTTTATAAATATTCAAATTCGATCCCAAATACCAACCCTTCGTAAGCCTTAAGCGTACTGGGCTATAGTCAAAATATTACTTGGAGGTTAGATAAGGAATCAATGTCCTTTTATTTAGTTTTTGTGGGTAGCCGCTGCGTACGCGCAAATTTCCGTCAGTCTGTTATAATCTTCGGAGGAAGTCGGTTATACGCTTGCGCTTTACCATCATGCTTGAGCCTAACCATCCATGTTGTAAGTATGGTAACAATAGATGTTATACAAATGCAGGCTTCGCTGGTGATCACAAATCATAACGATTTGTCTCGTTTAGTACTTTTACGTACTGCTCCGTTCTCCGATCACCTTATAGTCTGTTGGCTAATTAAATGAAATACACAAAGCAATAAATTTATTTTGCTTTCGAGTCTTTTATGAATCACACGTATTATTTCTGTGGATTTTACGTGACGTCAATTGACTCTGGAAGTTATGGAATATAATGCGAGTCAACATTCGAACTATGAGCAAGAAATCCATTTTAAGTACTTGCGATCACTTGCAAATGGGTGAATCTTTATCAAAATCTTTCGAATATCAAATATTGCTTACAATCGGCACGGTTTAATTTTACACATATGGCTATACTAAATGTGTCAAAGAAAAAAGCCGTAAGTGTGTTCAATTATCGGTTAAGTGGAAGACATGCGCGTCAAAAAACTGTTTTAAAATAGTTGTTGACGATAAAGTATTTACAGTATAAATGTTTTTCGGTGAAAATGATGATATATTAATCATTATGAAACTAAGAAATCCTGGGCACTTCACTTTCCTTGATGTGAGCACAGTCGCGTGACGTACAATCTAATGGAAGGCGTTTGGTGAATGTAGAATAGGTTAGAAAGTTACTGGGCAATTCAACTGATCAGTGAGCACAAAGTATATGTTTTCAAATCCCGAACAAGTTTGATGCAAACTTTATTCAATATATAATATTATTTGAATTGTGTTTATTAATATACTCCATTTTATGGCCAAAAAATACTGGATAGGCTCCTCTCTTGTACGCATTGCGTACCTATTTTTGAACCATTTCGCTGCTGTAATGAGAATGATGTTTGCAAGAACATTGCGTGTAAAAGGGAGCAGATTATACTTTATTTTGCACCATAGCTAGCAGAGACTTATTTGTCGATAAAATTGTATAAAATAAGAATTGCTAATTCGGCTAAATGTTCGTAGATATAGATTGTTCTGGGAAGTACAGTCCTGCGAGGAACTGTTGGTGTTAGTACTGACTGACGAATGTACGCGAACATGAAGTGTGCTCGCCACTTGATTCTGTAGATGACTATTTCTAGGGGAGTCGAAACGTTGGTCAGTACTATAACACCCACAGACGATCTACATCGGCAAAGTACAACTGGTGAGGCATAACGATACTCCCGATATCCAGTTGTATTAAAATCTGGCTGATGTGTGCTGGCTGAATATATATAGCAAACGTGATTTCTGGAAATATTGTGCAAGAGATAGTTTAGGATGCTTTGGGAAAGTGTGGGTCGCGAGAGATAGTTTAGGATGCTTTGGGAAAGTGTGGGTCGCGAGAGATAGTTTAGGATGCTTTGGGAATGTGTGGGTCTCGAGAGATAGTTTAGGATGCTTTGGGAAAGTGTGGGTCGCGAGAGATAGTTTAGGATGCTTTGGGAAAGTGTGGGTCGCGAGAGATAGTTTAGGATGCTTTCGGAAAGTGTGGGTCGCGAGAGATAGTTTAGGATGTTTTGGGAAAGTGTGGGTCGCTCGACCGGTGTATTGTTGTCGAAATTGAAATGTATATCGGAAAAGTATTATCAAATATTGCTTATTTTGCAATTCTTTGTGCTCATAGATGTTTGGGGCTTTGATAAAAAGGCGGTCGATGTGTTAAAAAATATGAAGCCGACAGATGAATTTCTGAATCAACGATACGCAATTTTGTTGGACAGTGCCGGATGTGTGCCTGAAGCCGACCAAGAAGTAAGAACCAACACAGGAATTACTGGCAGTGGCCCGATTTCATTTGACATAAAATTGATCTATTCTTAAGATATCAAAAGAGAACGTGGACTCTGTGACAAATCGTGTGGCCGGGTTCATTTGCCAGTGCGTCCTCAGTGAACACAGCAGCTGCATCACAGGCATTGTAGCAGTGGAGAAAAGTCCTCGTAGACGATACGAAACCACTTTTCTGGTAACGATTTACTTTGTTTTAAGATAGAAGGACAACTAGTGAGCAATTACTATAAAATATAAATGATCTAAGAAAGTTCTAGCAGTTCTATGGCGGGCGTTTAATAGATACGAGACCGTATAGGTTGGATATAGATAGAAGCGTTTATATAGCTTATATCGCCTTAGTGTGACAACGAAAAGAAAACTGTATGAGACTAAACAAACGATTTCTGAGTTCAATCGACAACCCATTTTTATGACATAACAATAATTGTGATGTGGGAAGCAGCTTCAAAGGGAGCGTTTGTATACAAGTCTTTGGCATTTTTTATTGTCAACTTGTTGAAAGTTTCCGGGCGTTTTATTTTATTTAGATAAGTGCTGGCTGGGACAGAAAAATTCTCATTTGGGATTTAGAAAAATTGTGGTAAGCTTATAGATAAACTATGTATTCAAAACAGATTATTTTATGCTACAAGAAATTTACCTTACTGTCACACACATTCGTCCATGTTTTTCCAACTGAGCGCCGGTAGCGAAAGAAGCATTGTGTATACCTGGTTCTACTTTCACACACATTCATCCATGTTTTTCCGAATGAACGCTGACAGCAAAAGAAAGCATTGTGTATACCTGGTTCTACTTTCACACACATTCATCCATGTTTTTCCGACTGAGCGCCGCTAGCGAAAGAAGCATTGTGTATACCTAGTTTTACTTTCACACATATTTATCCATGATTTTTCGACTGAACGCTGCCAGCGAAAGAAGCATTGTGTATACGAAGTTCTACTTTCACATATATTCATCCATGTTTTTCTGACTGAACGCTGCCAGCGAAAGAAAGCATTGTGTATACCTAGTTCTACTGTCACACACATTCATCCATTTTTTCCGAATGAACGCTGGCAGCAAAAGAAAGCATTGTGTATACCTGGTTCTACTTTCACACACATTTATCTATGTTTTTCCGACTGAACGCTGCCAGCAATAGAAAGCATTGTGTATACCTGGTTCTACTTTCACACACATTCATCCATGTTTTTCCGACTGAGCGCTGCTAGCGAAAGAAGCATTGTGTATACCTAGTTTTACTTTCACACATATTCATCCATGTTTTTTCGACTGAACGCTGCCAACGAAAGAAGCATTATGTATACGAAGTTCTACTTTCACATATATTCATCCATGATTTTCTGACTGAACGCTGCCAGCGAAAGAAAGCATTGTGTATACCTAGTTCTACTGTCACACACATTCATCCATGTTTTTCCGAATGAACGCTGCCAGCAAAAGAAAGCATTGTGTATACATAGTTCTACTTCACACATATTCATCTATGCTTTTCCGACAGAATGCTGCCATTGAAAGAAAGCATGGTGTACATCTAGTTGGCTGCATTTACTAATGCTCCTACTCATTCATGCACGTGTTTCTTTCCTTTGCTTTTTAGTCTTCACGATGTGTTTCATAGTAAATCGAGTATCAATGGAAAAACATCATGTCCTGAGCTTGCAGCTGATGGAATGATCATGGATCTTGCATACAGTCCCGAAAGGTGCATATTGTTCAAAGACAACATCTCTGAACCTTTGAAACCCCGGAATCGAAACTTGAATGCCGATTTTTAAAATCACAAATACATACTTACACAAAAACGTAAATATTGAAGACATTACGATGAAAAGGTTGACAAACTATTGATTTACAAGCTACGCGTGATGCTACTTTGGACTTAAGAATTTCCTATCATCAAGCTTTAGTTGAATGAAAACCCTAATATAATGAGGAACTGGAAAGTGTCCCGCTTCGTGGAAGACATTAGCATGGTTCTAAACCACTTTTTTCGAAAGCCAAAATGCTTTACCTTCATTTCAGAGATGAATTCGCTTACGCTGCCACTGACAAGCTAGTGTACATAAGAAAATTCTCCGACAATGGCTCGGAAATGAAACTGACAGGCGTTCTTCAAGGACACGAAGAAGATGTTACCCAAGTATGATTCGACTAAATTTTGGGCTTTCTTTTCTTTTATACACAACATACACACGCACACGAAAAAATGGTTGAACAAATCTTTTCCCTATACAACATTTTGATATTTTAGGTCAAATGGAATGCTGTGATTTCTAAGTGGGTTACTGGCTCCGATGATGGAAGTATACGAATATGGGTTTGTTATTTACATTAATGTTTATTTCTTCATGAAGTATATGTTAGATGAGACAGATCTTGAGTATGTTTGTAAGTGATTTATTCATGTCTATTATGGGACTATTTCCGGAAATTTTTACAAAGGTCGGTTTCGTATTGTGGACGAAAAACAACTGTAGCATTAAGAGGTGAGAGCATCGTTGATTTTCGATTCGACATTTTTTATTGCATTATAAACAAACATAGCTCAAGTTCCGAAGTTGTTTCGATGAATTATCTACTCTCTCGTGTACGTACTTTTAGCTAAGATCGGCATGAGAGCAGTTTGAGATTTCTACAAATAAATAAAGTTACGAAACTATGCATGTCAATCACGCGCATGCAAAGATACGTTCAAACGTTTTCCGTTTTTTTGATTAAGAAGAAATCCATCTCAACATTTCATTCCAGTTCTCGTCACGTAAAACCAGTGGCGCATTACTCAGTTGGCTTTGTAGGCTGAAGTCTACAGGCCCGGGTTTTCGAGAGGCCCGTTGTATCTAGACATAATTAGATTTTAGTTCTTCCATTTCGGACTAGATAAGTGTTCCTAATTGAAACCATTTATGCAGTTAAAAACCATAAGAACTACTGTCCAAATTCACGATGCTCAGAACTCGTGAAGTAGGGGGTCTTCGCAGTTTGAACTTTAAATTTAATCCTTATTGTTGATACTATGAGATACAAAAACAAGTTGGGAAATGCAAAGGAATAGGAGGGTGAGAGAGGCAATTGTCATCAAAAGACTGAACTTAGTGGAAGGAATAGATATCCGACTTAAAGTACAACAACTTTGTCTTAGCCTACAGACCCCGTACTTAGTATTTCGTCACTGCGTCAAACTGTTTTACGATTAGTTATTAAAAATTTGTGTACATGGCATTATAGAGTGACGATGCAATGCAATGTGACCAGCACGTCAGTATTCATGGAACGATTACGTCTTTGTGCATTGATGAAGCTAACGGATGCATTGCTTTGGGCGTACAGGATAAGATTAGGTGATGAAATCTTTCTGTCAAAAGTTTGCACAGATTAGAACTCATAATATGTAGTGAGCCTGCCAATTATGATAGCAGTACAAGTTCGTCCAGATTGTCATGACTGTGAACTCAAACAATTAATCAAACGGTCTGCCGTGCGTATGCTCTAGTGGACTGCCCATGCTCAGATGATGTTTCTAATAATATGTGACGAATTGAGCTAGTTACTCTGAGAAATTTTGTAATAGAGCGCAGGGCCTGGAGCGTTTGGCAAAATAAATTGCAGCAGTCGGCTCTTCGGTTAAATTTCACCGTTTTGAAATTCATAACCAATGGCTTTAAAATGAATGTTTTGAACCAACGAGTATCGTTACATTTTGAAGATGTAGATCGTCCAGCTTTGTGTAGTCCTGAGAAGATCTGTTGGTGTTGGTGTTTACCACGTCTCGACAACCTTAGCGGTCATCTTCAGAGTCAACACTTCACTTAACAACAGGAACACCAGCATTTCTTCTCAAGACTACACACACGAGGGAAAAAAAGATATTTTTAAATTAAAATTAGCAACCGTAATTGCTCAAACCTTGATCTTCTACTAGAACAGTGCTACCTTTTCTTATTCATTTCTCAATTTTTTAGAACTTGTAAAACAAAAACTTGTTTATGGTGATAAACTTAAATGCTGCTTTAAACATAGTTATTACCGTGTTGAATGACAACAATGTAGTTTCAAAAAAAAACTGTTGAAAACCAAAATTAAGGCAGTTATAAATGAAATTTTCCTTTATTTAAATTTGATTCTTAAATTTTAGTATTTGAATTTATAACTTGCATGCGAAAGCTCGTTCTCTCCCACATACAATGCACAGAATAAGCTTTCTGTTTCTCGTTATTACGACACATGTATGCGAAGGATTATATTTCTAAAATAATTTTGCTTTTACAGAATATACGATCCTGACTCGCGGAAGTTCGTTAAAACGTATGTCGGTCACAGTGATTCTGTCCGAAGTATCATTCACATACCGGAGAGAGGACAGGTTTGGCTTACTACTGCTCATTTCATTTTATCGTTCAATGCAAGTGAATCCTGTGCAGAATCACGATAGTCGTTTCTCTCATTCTACTATAGTATATTACGTCATCGTGGGATGCAACTGTCCGAATATGGAGTGCGTATAAAAAAAGTAAGTGCCATTAAAGTATCAGTAAATGAAGAACGTTTCATGATCCAAGATCTTAATTTATTTCACTTTCGTCTATTGTAATTGGACGTTCGTTGAATTTCACCGGTAAAAGGTTAAAGTGGCATTGTATAGTTTTTGTAGCATACTCATGTTTCAAATCTTCAATGAAAAATACAAAAAGCAGATAAAAACAAAGATTTGTTTTGCTCAAATTTATCCATCTCTTAAGTAGTTCTTTCGATTCTGCATTTACTATTCGGATAATTGTGAAAGAAAGCGCTGGATTCTTTTTATTTTTGGTACAACAACCAGGAACACAACATTTAAGACTTTCAGACCCACCACTACTAAGACATTAAACAGGGAAATTTTCCCAACTATCTGGCGGATTGGGTAACCGAAAGTTTTTCACTCCATTTGACGTTCTTGTGAAAGTATCTCTCATTTTAACGTATATCTAAAGTAGTGTGTAGGGTAAGTCACATGACTGATGACACAATGTTCTCAATAAAAATAATTAAAAAAATACTTTTGATGTTGTTTGAAAGAGCATAAAAAACTGAGTAAAAGATGAAAGAAAACCCAAACCAGAAAATCAATACCCAGAGAGTTATTAAATGAGAAAATTCTTAAATGACACTATTGCGAACGCATTCAAAATGAGAAAGAGTGCAGATTTATAACCTCTTCAAATAATGCTTTGCTGTGCTATAGAAACATCTTTTAAAAGCGACAATCTGTAGAGTTTAGGAAGGAAGAAAGAAGACAATATCACGAAGAGGAAGAAGATTTAAGCACGTTCATGGATGTGTAATTATAGGAAAAACGTGACAGCGATGATAGCGTGTTTGACCCATGAACACTCCAAACATCAACAACATCGTTGTAAAACGTTGTGAACTAATTCGTATTTGAAAAACCATTGAAGGTATCTGCATATTTTCTCATTTGAACTGTTTTAGTGATGACCTCATCGTCAATCTTTATTCATATCTACTCAGTTTTTGATACTCTGTCAAACAACATCAATAGTTCACACTTTTACGTAAGTAACTTTTTAATTTTTTAAATCAAGAACTTCGCATCATCAGTTACCTGACTTACGTGACATTTTCGGACACCAATAAAAAATGAAAGCTACCATTACAATAACGTCTAATTGATGGAAAAAATCATCGATTACCCAATCCGCCAGTGTGTTCTACAAAATTCCTCCGTCTAACCATTGCGAGGATAGCTGTAATCAGGAGCGTAGCCAGCCCGCAAGTTTGGTCGTGCTGTGTAAAGTTTTCTGTGTTCACTCACTGTAAAAACAATAGATTTCTAAAGAAATGAATAACGATGACTTAAATTTACATAGCACGACCAAATTAGCGGGCTGGCTACGCCACTGGCTGTAATCTACATTCATTAATAATCAAAGCGTTCAATATGAACATAAGCTACTCGTATAAACTCTAAAATTTTGTGATGTCACCTTTGAGGGGAAATAAAGTAACCTACACGTTTAGATGTTTTCTTCTGCGGTCAAAAAAACAATTAAAGACGTCTTTAATCAAATACGATTTGTACTTTTTCTGGCAGAAATCAAGTGACATCTTGGAAACTGAAGAAAGAGATGTTGAATTCATAAATTATTGGATGTAAAGGTTTACTTATTCAAATATTAATATTTTTAAATTGTTGCACATTGAAGTATATATTTTAAGGCAACACAATCGATGTTAAGCCGTTAATCTTCGATTGTTTTGTAACTTTGCCGATTGATTAGCGAGTTGATCATACATTCGTTCTTTATGTGTGATATAATTTCAAATTAATGATTATATTTATTTCAGGATTTAATGGAATTTTTTATAGTTTGATAGGATTTTTTGTGCAATGGCATTAAGGTTCATACATATTTATGAAATAAAAGCAATAAAACGCGTGAGGTGATTGGAAGTTCAGATTACAAAATATATGTAGTTTATTACACATATCTCCAGGTATCGTGTTTGAACAACGAACAATTTAAATTTGTAAAAGTTAAAATGACTCAAACTCGCACGTAAACAAGAAGCGAGACTATGTGTTTGCGGGCACTTTTTTTTGCTCATATACATATTAAAAAGTAAAATTAAGTTCAACTTCAATAATTACATAGGTTAAAAATTCTACTTAAATACGATCTGCCTAAACCTAAATGTTTTGTTTGAACATGCAGTTCATCGTTTTCAAATCAAAAACTTCAATTTGAGCACATAGAGACTCGCGGATAAGAAAAACCTAGTTCCAAAAAAAGGCCCTAACAGAGGGTAAGTATGTACACTAAATATTCGCTTTCATAAAATATTTACAAATGTACAGGGAATAGGAGAACACGGTGACAAATCCGATTGAATTTTCTTCACTAGAAAAATGCATTGCAGGTCGTTCTGCATGTTCTTCGTTACAGCGTTTTGTGATTGGTTACGCTACGGGTACAGAACTCGGCGACGGAATGCTCGCTACATTAAGGAATCTACATGAACACAAAAGTGTACTGATTTGTATGTGTGTTGTCCGTCTTTCAATAATCACACAAAGCACAAAAAGCTTTCAAATCTCATTTGCTTACGCAGAGATGCATCCATAATTTTGTAGGGAGGGGATGTGTGCTCTAGTTTTTATACAATGTCGTTTGGTCAGTCTAGTTTGGATTACATTTCAGTGCCTCCTTTGTGGGTGACATTAGGTCATTTAAAAGTCAGACTTTTTGTGTTTTATTTAAGACCCTGGGAAATGTTTAGTGACAGTTCCATTAGCTTAATTGGTTGGTATATATATTAATATTTCGTTGGGAAATTTGTACACTATCTAGCCAAGGTTAGAGGGGTTGCGTACGCCCCGTCCCCTAAATCCATTCCTGTGCTTACGCATTGCGTATGGCAATGTGAAAATGAGTTTTCCCTTCCATTCGTTTAACTCACCTCGATTCACTGTATTTTTCTCTAATTGCCTTTTGTGGATTTTTTGGTGCCATAGAGAATGTTCGATGCAAATCGCTTATGCAGTCGTTTAGGCTTTCGTGCTTGTAACCAGAGTAATATTCGAGCGAACTTGTCTAGAAATAAGCCATTAAAATTGTCATACTGTTGCAATCTCGCTGTGTAATACGAGAGAGAGAATGAAGCTTATTCAAAGTAAGGCTTTACGTATATTCGTTCCTATATCTTCCTATTAGTATGGAAAACTTGCATTTTAAATTTATTTTTCGTTACATTAAGTCTGCATACAGTATCCTGTCGATGGTCGTGCGGATGCGGCTATTGAAAATCATTAGTTTGACGCTTGACGCAAGTGAAGATATGTTGGTGAAATGCAAATATCAAAACTACTTTTCTTACCCACGAAGGAAGCTCAAGTATATGAAGAGCCAGGACAACGGCTGACGTAGCAATAGTTGAAGGACTGTATTTTAAATATGGGTCTGCATCTTGAAGTGTGAGCTCACAAATGTACTACGGAATTGAAAATTTGAAGTCAAGAGAGAACAATTATAAATCAGAAAACAAGAAACGCTGCTACAGAATATGAAGCAAAAATTATTAGTATTTAAAAGATTAACAAACCCCAGTTAAGAATTTGAACTTCCTTCTTGAATCCTCTGGAACATCGGCTGCCTTCTCATATCTATCAAGGAACGACAGTATTGTAGGGACGTAAAGGTCGAACTCGAGAACTTTCAAGATCAGGTTCTCCATTTTCCTCACCTGAAATAAGGAAAATTGCACGAGATTTTGAGGAAATCGGTTGGAAAGGAAACGAGGAAAACTCAGTCGAATTAAAACGATCAAATTTAATATGAAATCGTTACTTTCGCAACGAAATTTAAATCATAAAACCATAGTAACGCGTTATTATTTTACGACACAACTGCTTACTTCGTTTTCCGTGTACGTATCATCGGTGATGTAGACAAACTCGGAAACTTCTGGAGGATAAACTTCCTCAAGTTTTGAGGCAATCAACATGGACGCCGTCCCGACAAGTTGGAGTTTCTTGCGAAGGACTACCATGGACGAAAGGAAACGGTCAACGTAGTTGACAGCCAGATACAGCGTGTCAGTGGAAAGTCGGTACTCTTCCGAAACCTCGACTAACCAATCCACCAAGATAGCTCGCATGCTGTTATTGATATCTGGTTGTTTCTTCATGTAGCCAGGTTTTGGTCGGTGTTTTAGCTGTCAGCACATATGACATAAAAAGATAACAGAAGATTAAGCAAATGAGAAAAAAGATATAAATGGATTGCAATGAAATTTTACCCCATTAATATTACGCACATTGGCTCCCCCTGCTTTGCCTTTATGGCGCTCGAATTGTCAAAGGAAATTTAAGCTCTCAAGCTTTCTTTGTTGTAATACATATGGACAGAACCACCCAGAGTTGCACATAGTAGACATTTCTCTTTCATTGCAATCAAGAATAGGTAAATGAAGGTATTGAAAACAAAACACATTGCCATTTTAAATTTTTAAGACAGGTACTCCCATGATTTTACGAATAAAATTTTACAATCCTTAAAATAATTAACATGATGTTACTAAAAATTGTGATTTTCAGAGAGATGCATCTCATCACAATCCATGTCATATCCAATGAATATATTGTAACAAATCATGTATCTTAAAAAGATCACATGTTTTTTTTTCCTGATAGCTGCCAAGATTCTGGGAGCTTACCTCTGCATTCTTCAAGAATTTGTGAATTTCTGCAGCATACTCTGGGACTTCAATAATTTCATCACAGTTCGAATCAATGTCTTTCACTGGTTCATGATCAGCATTCACTGCTTGATTTTCTTCATCATCGCTCAAGTCAAGATGCATTGGGGAGTCTGAAACAACAGAGAAATATAAGTGAAAGGAGAGTGATAAATGTCAAATGTCGCTCTACTTGTCATTCAATCAATTAATAGTAACTTTTTTACTGTTTAAGTTTAAGTTATGTTGTACTTATTTCTAGCAATAAGAGAAAACAAAATAGTTAGATTCGGCCACCGCATGTCATATGAACTGTTGGGTTTTGGTTAATAAAAAGCCAATTCAGTTGTGCGGGTGGTACTAAAGCAGATTCATTTCCTGTAATACAAATTGATTTTGAAAATGCCAGTATTCAAATGATTCAAATTTCAAAAGATTCAATGAGGCAACATGGTTTTTCATGCATGAATGCTAGTTTCCTTAAATTTGACTATGATGTATTAACATAAAATAAAATTTTAGCTAAATTAATACCACAATTACCATTTGAAAATGCTGGAATCCTAGGGGCAGGGAAAACCTCAGTTAACGGTTGCCTGTTAAGCTTTGTAACAACAGGATTTAGACTGAGAGAGTCAGTTCTTGAAGATAATGATTTGTTATGGCCTGCTTCAGTGGACTTGTTGATGCTTTTCCCAATATCAATGTCATTATCATCACCATTTTCAACGTATATCGTGAAACTTTGCGAAGGGGCGTTAAACGAAGAAGCAACATGCCCCTCGCTTAGTTGTCGATGAGATATTGCTTGATGCGCCTATAAGACATTAAATTGATTAAAATGCACGAAAATCACAAGGCCAAACGCTGTTCACAATCAAACGACTACCTTAGCAGCTCTGAATGGCTGAATTCGTATGCTGTTGTTTAAAGACAAAGTCCCTAAAGCAGCGCGCTTGGCAGGCAAGACTTCGGTTTTTCTGGCCTCTATGTTCTCATTTTGACCCCTTTTGGCTAATTTACCACGCTCATTTCCATTGAAGACGTTATTTGAAGATTCGCGAAGGCCTGTTGAAGTCATGCTGATCTGAATTTTCACAGAGAAATCGTTGTCGATATAGAATTCTTTTGCGTTCCTTTTATTCCACGATGGTACGTGTTCTGTGGCTCAAAGATATCACGACCTTCAAACGTAATGAAATAATTGGAAGAAGTTCACTTCTTCAGAGAGATTGCTTCTGGCGTTCGGAAAGTTAAACGCTGTTGGAAGAGGAGGTCAATGGCTAGATCAAACTAGATGGCAGATGGAAAAAGTCTTCAAATTTAAGTTACCCGCTTTTCCAATCAACCAATCATGTTGCGAGTTGACGTCGTCTGTGATGTGACGTATGTAAATGCTGGCGCACATGTAAACAAAATGGCCAAAGTTCGAACTTCCAACGTGGTTTGTGCAATAGAATATGTATTTTATAAATGTGATTTTATTATTTTTTGTATGGTTTGGTCTTTTGGTGAAATTAAAGACTTCGATTTGGCACATTTCTGTTATTCTTGATGTGCAGAAGGAGAGAGAAAACAAATATTCAAATCTATGGCTTCGATTACACGGTAAAATTGCATCTTTATGGTATCGTGTATATTATATATATGGTTGAACATTTCCTTATAATTTCCTCGACAATAAATTTTATCGACAAAGCATTTACGTAAACTGCTATTGGAATTTTGAGTATTTTTAAGCTACAACAGTCAACAAGTAGATTTAAGCTACAAATAAATTCGATTTGACTCCCTTGTATTTAATAGAGAAAATTTTTAGGCATTATGAAAAACTTTAGATAAAGTTTCAACGAAGGAACTGGAGTTTTATTTGGCATTATTTGGCGCCAAAAAACATACTGAACAGTTGAATGCTGCTTTTAATACCACAGACAAATGTGAAATTTCGAACTTTTTTACTTCTATGTAATCATTGTCCTACATACATGAGACTTCATTACTACTCTGATTTTATTGACAACCTGCATTTGCATTTATATTATTATATGTATACATTTTACAACAAAACATAATGTTCTAACTTTCGAATGTACAAAATTTCAAATTCATATGCATAATTATATATATAAATATTCTGTCTATATACATTGGATTAAAAACCAGCTAGCATTTAGTTATTCATTCATATTATTATAATTAATACACTGATTTGAAGAGCTAATTAAAATTATACGCAAAACATAATTTATATAATTATTTGTTCAAACAAATTACTTCAATCATGACCTGCATGATAAAAATGGCAACATTGTATTACATGAAAAGAAAACACAGGCTTTCCAATCTTGGTCATACATACAACCCATGGCAAATTATAAATACCTGCACTGGTTTGCAACTTTTTATTCAATTTATGTTAAAGTGCTTCATCAAAAGACCATGCAAGGCCACAAAAACATGCTGTGAAAAAATTGAGATGACGCATGAGAGTAAAGTCCATTTTACGTTGGTGGGAACTATAACCTTTGTTCTAGAGATGACTTAAGCCAGGAAAGTAGTATTTTAAATGAAAATGTTTCCACACTTAGACAGTTGAAATCGCATCGACCTTTGATTATTTCTTTTGCCTGTGTTTTCATTGCATGCTAAGGATTGTGAAGGCATCTATTTGTCAATTCAGCAGTGGTTTTTGTGCCATGATTGTCGCCACATTGTAGAATCTATTAGAAAAAGATATGCTATCAATGAATTATAGAACTCAATGTCTGAAAACCTCAAAATGCACAACTTTTGCCTGTTTAATTCAAACAGAAATGAACAATTTTGCTACTTTGTCCATAAATGTACATGTCAACATTATTACCTACAATTTACATATTTTTATACTATAACAACAATATTGACTGTAGTGCATCATCAAATTTTGTCTGTTCATTCTTTGAAAATATAATAGATTTCTTAAGTAATGAATGATGATGATAATATCCAGAAATTTACATAACAGGACTAAAACTTGTGTGCTGGGATGGTTTCTCCCACAGCTGATGGGGTGCAGTGACTAGAAAACTATTCAAACTAGTTTTTCCTCATACAAACTGTGAGAAACTTGTATGGTTTTAGCCTTTCAACATCAGCATTACAGCATATCATTGTTATTCACAAATGCTTGTAGCTTTAGTGTACCTTGATTCACTGTATTTATCTCGGATTGCCTGCAAGCTTGTGTTTTGTGCCTTCGCGAAGACTTCATTCACATCGTTGATACATTCCATCATATCAGAAAGTTGATATCCTGTACTTTCAGCTAACATTGGCGACTGTAAATTTTGGGACACGTTACGTTTTAGGATAGTATCACGTGATTCATCTTTGTCACTTTTTCAATATTTAAGATCGTGCTTTCAAAGCTTGCAAATTGTTACTAAAATTTCTGAAAGTTGGTTTGCATATTGTCAATAAATGCTTTTTCCAAGTATACTTGCCTCTATTGCAATCAACTGCCTCTATTGCAATCAACTACGTAAGTTAACAAATCGAATTTCTTTTGTATTGCGTCTGTTCAACCGTGGTTACGTATGCTTAATATATACGCATAAGCCTAGTTTTAGCCAGCAAATAAGAACAAGCGAGAAAACACAGCAAAGTGTACTCTCCTAAGGATGGAGGAAACAAAGCAAAAAGGATTTTCTTTTCAATTGGCTTTTGTTTCACCTTACACTTAGTTCAATTTGCTGTGATTGTGCTTATGCTTAATAAGTCGATAATTGTGTAAAGACGCTTCATTGCATTCTTTTATATTTTCTTTTATCTTAATTTTCTTACTGTATGCTTAGTCGATACACTGTACACTTACTGTGCTTGTTAGATACACTGTACACTTATTGTGTGCTTGGTAGATACACTGTACACTTATTGTGTGCTTGTTAGATACACTGTACACTTATTGTGTGCTTGGTAGATACACTGTACACTTATTGTGTACTTGGTAGATACACTGTTCACTTATTGTGTGCTTGTTAGATACACTGTACACTTATTGTGTGCTTGTTAGATACACTGTACACTTACTGTGTGCTTGGTAGATACACTGTACACTTATTGTGTGCTTGGTAGATACACTGTACACTTACTGTGCTTGTTAGATACACTGTACACTTACTGTGTGCTTGGTAGATACACTGTACACTTACTGTGCTTGTTAGATACACTGTACACTTACTGTGTGCTTGGTAGATACACTGTACACTTACTGTGTGCTTGGTAGATACACTGTACACTTATTGTGTGCTTGGTAGATACACTGTACACTTACTGTGCTTGTTAGATACACTGTACACTTACTGTGTGCTTGGTAGATACGCTGCACACTTACTGTGTGCTTGGTAGATACACTGTACACTTACTGTGCTTGTTAGATACACTGTACACTTACTGTGTGCTTGGTAGATACACTGTACACTTACTGTGTGCTTGGTAGATACACTGTACACTTATTGTGTGCTTGGTAGATACACTGTTCACTTACTGTGTGCTTGGTAGATACACTGTTCACTTACTGTGTGCTTGGTAGATACAATGTTCACTTACTGTGTGCTTGGTAGATAAACTGTGCAATTACTGTACTTGGTGGATACACTGTACACTTATTGTGTGCTTGGTAGATACACTGTACACTTATTGTGTGCTTGGTAGATACACTGTTCACTTACTGTGTGCTTGGTAGATACACTGTACACTTACTGTGTGCTTGGTAGATACACTGTACACTTACTGTGTGCTTGGTAGATACACTGTTCACTTACTGTGTGCTTGGTAGATACACTGTACACTTACTGTGCTTGTTAGATACACTGTACAATTACTGTGTGCTTGGTAGATACACTGTACACTTACTGTGTGCTTGGTAGATACACTGTTCACTTACTGTGTGCTTGGTAGATACACTGTTCACTTACTGTGTGCTTGGTAGATACAATGTTCACTTACTGTGTGCTTGGTAGATAAACTGTGCAATTACTGTACTTGGTAGATACACTGTACACTTATTGTGTGCTTGGTAGATACACTGTACACTTATTGTGTGCTTGGTAGATACACTGTTCACTTACTGTGTGCTTGGTAGATACACTGTACACTTACTGTGTGCTTGGTAGATACACTGTACACTTACTGTGTGCTTGGTAGATACACTGTACACTTACTGTGTGCTTGGTAGATACACTGTTCACTTACTGTGTGCTTGGTAGATGCAATGTTCACTTACTGTGTGCTTGGTAGATAAACTGTGCACTTACTGTACTTGGTAGATACACTGTACACTTATTGTGTGCTTGTTAGATACACTGTTCACTTACTGTGTGCTTGGTAGATACACTGTACACTTACTGTGCTTGTTAGATACACTGTACAATTACTGTGTGCTTGGTAGATACACTGTACACTTACTGTGTGCTTGGTAGATACACTGTACACTTACTGTGTGCTTGGTAGATACACTGTACACTTACTGTGTGCTTGATAGATACGCTGTACATTTATTTTGCTTCGTAGATTGACTTACTTTGGTCGATACTTACACTTACTGTGCTTGGTACATACAATTAACACATGTCCTCGTTCGATACACTTTCTTTGCTTGGTATTATAGATGCATTGTGCACTTAGTGTGCTTGGTACATGCACTTACTGATCTCGAACTTGGTAGATATTGCTATATTATCAAGTTCTTACCCATGGTGTACATTTGAATGTGTTGAGAGCAAGAAAGGTGCAAGCAGCTGTAACGAGGGATGGCAAGTATTTCCATTGAAAGTCAGCATCTTGTAGGACGACTTCGCAGTAATACTGAAACATAGAAAGTGCCTGATTCAATTATGATTCATGATGCACATCATCCATCTAAAAATTTGTTTTGCACAATATGGACTTGAGTAGATTTCTTCCAATGTCCGTAGTCGAGGTAGAAATGTATTATTTCACGTCGCCGTATTATCAGTGAAGTTTTTGAAGTAGCAGGCTGATGTTATGGGAAACTTTTGTTGATATTTATCAGACAACATTAGTTTCTTCAAACTTCTCATAAACCATAAAACTTTGGCCCTCATACCATCCCGGTGTTTAGATAAGCGTAAAACGTCATAAATTCTTACTTTTATCAGGTTAAAATATTTCTCAGATTCTTCGTGTGGCATGTCAATATTCTGGCGACATCTTTCGAGAAACGACAATGCAGTGGGAACTGTCAAGTCAAACTTTAGCGTCTTTAATATGAGATTTTCCATCCTGCGCACCTGCATTCAATGTTATGTTTATGCTTTACTGACAGGTTGTACATGACTTTTGTATAAAAACGTTATGTTGAGGTTAAGCGAGATCCGCTTTTGAAACAACAAAAATTAGACTAAGTATACTCATAGACCAAGTAATTCGTCGTGTTAAGAACCATCTAGTACAAAGCTCACTCGGTTTATTCTCGTTAGTTGTTGTTTCCAAAGCTGTCGGAAACCAAATCACTTACCTCTTTTTCCGTGTACGATGAGTTTGTGATGTAGACAAACTCTGTTATCTCGGGTGGATAAATCTCCTCCAATTTGGATGCTATCAACATGCACGAGATACCGACCAGCTGCAGTTTACTTGGATCTATCATCATATTGGAGGAGAGAACACGATCAATATAATTCACACTAAGGTATAGCGTTTCCGGCACCAAGTGATACTCCTCGGCCACTTCGACCAGCCAGTCAACCAAGATGGCCCTCATGCTCTTGTTGATCAACGGTTGTCCGGCCATAAAATTTCTCTTTGGTCGGTGCTTTTTCTTGTGAAAAAGAGGAAGGCGTTATGTTCAGAGTTGGCTTTTTTTTGAGAACTTCTATGTCAATGAATTCATGTTATTTTTGGTTCATCGGTTAATTACCGTTGTTGTTCTTCAATTAAAAAAATCAAAAGCAAAATGCAAGACCAGCAACTGTCTGGGATTATTGAGGTTTTGTAAGGATCATCGTTACGGATAGTAAAAGGTTTTCAATGAATGTTTGAGGTATGTGAGAAAACTGTATACATATTGTAAAAATAAAATTACATTACCTCCGCCTCTTTCAAATAGAAATATATTTCTTCTTCGTATTCTTGATATTCCACTGGGTCGTCACTTCCATTGTTTTCATCACTGCTATCGCAGATCATATTAAGGCACGTTTCTTCACCGTCTATCTCCAATTCATGTCCATGCACGTCTGTAAGAAATATTCACGTTCAAGATAATAACGGAAAAGTATTTGTATCAGAAGATGGCGAAATTTTTGTTTATATAATTTTTTAATCTTGACCAATTGGAACTTATGCATATGTGTTTTTAAGTGGAATTTTTCCATTTAACTATACACCATGTTGCCAAACAGTAGCAACATGGATGAACCGAATATATTTTCTTCATCAAGGTGTTTTAGTTGAAAGCAAATCGCTACACATAAAATTTTAACCACTTTATAAGGACAGCTGCTTTCATGAGAACCAAATGTGTTGTTATTATGAACTTAGTTGTATAACAGAACTGAAGTGTGGCGAGATAACGGTGAGAAAGCTCTCGTTGAAACGTTTGGGAATGTAGTTATGACTTATCCCGGAAAGAGAAAGAAGGATCAGGTTGCCTTGAAGCACCCCAGATAGACTGATTCTAGCAGTGTAGCTGATATGATGCTCTGAGAAGAGTGGATGGACAAGGCTTAAACAAATGCTACACATAAAATGAAAAAAACCTGTGATGGATAACTATATATAGACATAGTTCTCGGCTTTTCCTACCATGATTGGAGGTGTGAACAACCATGTGAACCGACGGCCACGGAACATTTTCATCCTCGATGTAAACATCGAACGGGTTCTGCGTTATGTTTTCATAATTGAAGATTGATTTGTTGTTCAGTGGAGAATATTCTTTCTCTTCACAATTTTCATGAATTGATGTTAATCTTGTCTTATGTCGCAACTTTAAAAAGAGGTTGAAATATTTGGTTAACTTTTGAAGGCAAATGGCTTTCAGTTATCATGTTTTTAGTGAGTGTGCTTTTAAAAAAAATTGCGTGCATTTAAAAAACGTCATGTGCATTTTGTTGAATCGATATAAAAGCTAAAAAATAACGATTTCTTTGGTATGAATACCTTGTTTCTGGATTGAATTATATTTCCTGTGTTAGGCAGAGTTCCAAGTGGCACACGTCTGTTGTTTTGTCCAATTTTCGCAGTTTCTTTTTCAACATGGATGATTTTTTCATTTGATTTGCTCCTCAAGTTTTCGTATTTTTTGGCACATTTTTGTTTACGACCATGTTTGTCAATATCAACCAATTCTTGGCACTCCATATTGCTTTCTGAATAAAAAGGTTTTAGTATCGTTTTTTACAAAATAAACTTTGAAGTTTTACAATAAGTTTTGAGTCAGTCCAGCTGAAGTTGATAATTTTTTTCGCAATAATCGCCAAATGTCGCCATTTTTAACACGAAAAAAGTTTCGTCAAAAATCGTCATTTTTTACAAGCGCGGATCACTGGGCACGAACGTATTTTTTCAAGGTCATCAGAGTACTAGTATGGTAAGGGTATGGAATATAAAGGCTGTAGTCGATCTAACCAATATTTTACTCTTACAATTCAAAAATCTTTGTATTGAATCAGAGGAAAAATAATGAAAATTATCATTTTCTAAAGAAATGAGTAAAAAATGTCTGACTAAATTGTTTGAGCAGGCGTCAGCATGAGGTATGAATATATGGTGTAAACGCAGTCATCTTGGAGCTTTATTAATCCTGTCGTGTAAACCTTAATTCGTTACCGCTTTAATTTCTTCAGAAATTGATTGTTTCTTATTGTCAGTTAACGCTGAAATTTCTGCACAGCAATAGTAAATGTCAGACTGTGCAGGCTAGTTCAGTCGAATGGTAAACTCACGCAGGGACGCTGGAAGATCGATTATTGAGATAGTTTATATTCATTGCATGTTCTGCAGTTTTTATTAAAATCATTTGTGATCAATGACAAAAATTTTTTGCTAAGTATTTTTGTAAATCTAGGAAATACATCTTCACTTGATGTATTTCTCTTATCATCTAGTTGTTTTTAATTGACGAGATCGATTGCTTGAACAAATTGAGCAAGTTTTAAATATTGTCTCGCGGTTACCATGAAGCGAAAGCATCACATGTATTCCTTACTTTTATTCTTAATTGCTGTAACTGTTCCATACTTGACCTGCAAAGAAATAGGAAAATGCTTTATTTCTGTTTAGATATGAAAATGTTTTATTTCTCAAATTGCAGTATGAGTATAGTCAGAATCGTTTACTTGACGTCCATTCAAGATGTGTTTTTATTGTGTTATGTTTTAGCAGTAACTTTTTTTGGTTTATGAATATTTCAGTGTATTCTTTATTTGTAAATTTACCGTATTAAGAGCATTGAGTTCTATAATAACTGGAGGGGAAACGTCTACAAAATTAGTATATTGAAGTATACTAGTATAGTGAATATTGAAAAAAATTTTAAAGTGGAAGTTTTGACCACCAAAATCCACCATTATCGCCATGTTTTGACCACGGGGTCCAGGCCCCTTTGCCCCTCCAGGTTTTATAGAGCTCAATGATTAAGAGTCATTGTTACACCAACGTGTGCAAGTGCAACGTAAATGTTTGCTTGCGTCATAAATCATTAACCGTTATTGCAATCTTAAAACCTTCAATGATTCTTTTTCTAGTTTGTCTTCTCCGTTCATTGGGACATTAAATTATCTTGAGGGTATAATACGCATTAGAATTCAAATCCTTTTTCATTGTATCTAAATCTAAATCTTCTTTGGTCTCGTGTCATTCTCAAGAAGAACCTCATCGTCATTTTGTCGCATTGTCACTGAGATACATGTAGACATACCTAATGATTCAACAGTGCTTGTCTCGCCATCGTATTTTACATCTTCTTTTTTTACATTCTTGCTAATAATGTGTTATTACACACCATCCATGACACTTTTTTGCCTAATCCATGTTGACTGCACACGCTTCTTCACCACTTTTTCGCATTCACTGCTGCTCCTGAGTAACTAAAGTCCTCTCCTCTTCTCTCAATCGCTACGCCTGGTGACCTTACTATCTCTCGTTCTCATACATTTGTTCTGTCTTGTTTTGGCTGATTTTTAATCTTCATTTGTAAAGGATGTGTCTAACTGTTTTTAGAGTACACTGTACTTTTTTTTCTTTTCGCTACAGATAACAACGTAGTCTGCAAACATCTTCGTCTAATGTGGTTCTTGTCTAATTAAACCTGATAGCTTGTCCATTCACACAGCGAACAAAAGCGATTTCAAAATAGATTCTTGGCATACAATCCTGCCTTCGATTTAAACTTCTTTGTCATGCCCACAGCAAACTTCATTGCTATGAGTGCTGTCCTACAACAATTAAATACACCCACATTCTTTCAGTACACCACAGTTTTTCTTTTCCTATGTGCTTTTCAAAAAAAGACACGATGCAGCTCTCTTCGACGTTCTGTGTGTTTCTCAGTCTCCAACTCTTTCTTATTATGAGAGCAGTCTGCTGCAAACTCTCCAATGTTCGCATATGCCTTATTTCAGTTTAATCCCACTAGTCTCACACGTTAATTCAAAAGATACCAGCCAGCACATTTGTCGTCCATTCTGCATGCATTCTTTCATACTAGAAAATCTTACTGAGTCACCGGATGAAAAACTGCATTCGAACTTCTCCACGACATTTTCACACCGCCAAAGACAAATGTTATGACCGAGTGCCTAACAATCTTTCATGTCTTCCACGCAATCTTTGACTATAATTCTTAATAACGCAAGGACATAATGCAAGGCCATCGGAGCAGTGTGGCTTGCCTGGATATAGCCTCTCCATTTTTCGTAGATAGTTTACTTGTACTGATATATTTAAGTTTGCTCAACAATTCTCCATAACTTTTTATTGCCTGCTTAGAAGAAATTGTTTTGTGTTCAATATTCTGTCCACCGTCTACTACTTCAAACTTTATTTACATAATATGCGCTTGGTATTTTTTGGAGTTCGTTGCTAAATTACCTTGAGTAATTCCCAACAAAGGCATAAACAGACGCACTTTTTTAGAACATTTATTGGCGTCGAAATGATATGGAGGTATAAATAAACTCAGAATGCACCTGTTATGTTTCGCGGAATACATTATGTACCATAATGTAATTAGCACTCACAACAATTAAATGAACTTGAAAGTTCAGTGCCTCTGGGATCTTATTAGAATCGTACAGTTTCAGTCAAAGCAAAACAAGATAAAAGTACTGTCATACACTGATGTTGTCTCAAATTTATTACTCAAAAAAGCCTTGCAAAATCGAGGTGACATTAATTGTGTTATAGCAGTCATAAAAACATAATCATTTTTTTCATAAGCTGCAACGAATATGGACAAACAAGCTTGTAACTAAATTAAACCAGGCGGAACAAATAGCTATTGCAGACTAAATTGTCTTTTACAGATTTCATCTAATCTAGACATAATTATTTGTGCGAGTTCTGTTTTCGGGTGGGGACGCCCTGTATGCATTTATAGTGCTAATTATATGTGCTCACAACAAGTCTTTGGTTATTTGGAAAAAAAGTTTGGAAGAAAAGTATCTTCATGAGATTTCTCGATTACCATTCAATTCAAAAAGCTTTCTGCGGCCAACATTCCCCACTCCCTGTTAGTGAAAACATTTCCATCCCTGCCATTGATTATACTAACCTATTGATCATAAAATTTTCATTGCAGTTCTTACGTCAGCCAAATCTGCTGCAAATAGATATTTCCAATCTTGGCCTTGATCTCTTACCAGTATAAGGTCTAACATGTGGAATCTGATGTTACTCTACATGAAATGATTGCCGATATCGATTTTGGATTGTCAGTCAAGGAAAACCCAAAAAGTGTTTTAGGACTGCTCTGACTTGGATAATTATTATGTATAAAAATTTAATGCCACTCCTGGGTTCAAACCATTCACTTCATTGTTTATCTTTATTTTGCAGATATGATCTTATGCAGTAAAAGAAATCCGAGAATCATGCTGTATTCATGCTTGCGTCCTTATAAGGTGTGTTCAATAAGTGTTAGTATGAATGAAGAATAAGAATTAAATGTCGAAGAGTAAGTCTGTGTCCAGATCAAATTCTTCGTTAATTAAAAAAAATTGTCAGAAAAAGTGCCTGCATGTTATTTCACGATTAGCGCTCAGTTGAAAAGACTTTCTAATGCCAGATTTCAGCATTCTCCTCCCGGTAGACCAATAGCTCTGCTCGGTGCCTTCCGCTACAGCCCCTCGTATCCCAAGGCTTTTTGGCTCATCACACTTACATTGAAGACATTTTCCCATCCCAGCCCTTCATCATCCCATCCAGCAGCCATAAATATTTTCATCCTTGGCGTTGATCATGCTAGCCTGCTAATCGTAAACATTTCCATCCCTGAAAAGGACTGTTTGTATTATTGTTAACTGATTTATTTTTTGCATTCTTACCGGTAATGTTCAAAATAACGTATCTGATGTTCACTCTTCACATAGGATGATTGCTGTTGTGGGTTTTGTAATGTCAGTCAATGAAAACCCAATAGTCTTTTTAGGATTGCTCTAACGTGGAGGAACAACTTTTACAAACATACAATTCCACTTCTGGATTCAAACCATTTATTTCGTTATTCATCTTTATCTTGCAGATCTATAATGTTGCGCAGTATTGAAAAAAATCTGAGAATCGTCATGTCTTATTTGATGATTCGTTTCCTCGTTATCAGGTATGTTCGTATATAAGTGTTGATTTAGATAGAGGAAAGAATTAGCCAACTTTAGTAGAGTTTTTCTGTTTTCCTAAATGTTTCGAAGCAGAAGCCGCTCGACATAATTAGTATTGGTGATTTAAATGTCTTCGTGTCGATAAATTTTTATATATTCTTTTTTGGAAACTTGAATTCGACTTCACGACCCATGACACTCACATGCACAAAAGTCACTGGAGGTGATCTTTTGATTTTTGTTATTCGTGCTGATGAGTTGCGTTTTAATGCGTTTTTGCCAAAGATTGCTTCATCTATATGAGTGTTAATTCCTGGCTTTGATATAAATATTTGAAGCCTAAATATATCCATAAAGCTGCCTGTCACAACTGCAACATAGCTTTAAAAAATGGAAAAGTTTGGAGATTGGGGATTCCAGGTATCTTGATAGAAGATAGCTTTAAAATTCTTGGGATAAATGCTTTATGAAGTATTTTTCGTAATTACTTAAAATTTTTCAATTTCGATGGCAAAAATTGGTTATTGCATTTCAAATATCAACGGATTTTCTGTCCTAAAGCCTCATTTTACGACAACGCATATTTCATTCTTTAAAATAGTTGCTGCCCAACATGCTAAATTAAATTCACCAGTATTGCAATGTTTTTAGTTTTTGCTACAGTATCTAAACAATGGCTAGGTAAAGCAGAATTGCACTATTTTTATAAGTTTGCAAAGAAAACCGTGCCTGCCAGCTCAACCATTTAGTACGTCATGATTTGATAAAAAATTGTTGCACAAAATATCTATTTACTTTAAACCAAAGACAAGGAATTCGACGTCTCTTTCAAGGTAATGGAAAATAAAACGAGAAGGTAGCTTTAGCTTAAGTAGAGCTTAAGCAACAGTGAGCATGGTTCTCAACAAAAAAAGTTTCCTAAAAATTGAAAAAGGGAATTTCTGCTTTCATTATTCTCGGTTGGCCTCGACATCTTGTACATAACATGTACTGTTGATAAAGTAGTAGATATATATTATACAAGTTATAGAGAAAACAAGAAACAGCAAATAAAATTAAACACAAGAGTAAATTTAAAAGTAACCACAAGTAAAAATAAATACATAAAAAGACAAAAGAGTTGGTAGGTTGGGATTCTGAACTCGTCAGTTTCTCTTTGGTACAGTGGATACGATTGCCCATATTTTACGAGGTGTAGACAAAGAAGAATCAAGAAGAGAAACATAAGTAAATGCGAATTTAAGGCAAAACTGATTTTAGAAACAGGCACAAAAATAAGTTAAACTAAATAGATGGGAATAAGTCGTTAGTAAGTAGTAACTAATCTCCTCGTTGCAGTAGATACAATTAAAGATTTATGTTTTTGGCAAGGTGTAGACAAAATGAAGAAATAAAAGAAAGACACAAATTACACGCGAAAATAAATTTAAAAGTTAGGACAAAATATAATATAAGAAATAGCAAAAAATATGTGTAGGTTCATGGGTCTCGTAACTCATCAGCATTTCGTTACCACAGTCGATATTTTATACACTTTGTGAATAAAATGAAGAAATAGAAAAAGGAAGAAAAGTAAATATTAATTAGATGCAAAATTATTCAAAAGCAGGCATAAAAACAGACTGAAAAAATAGTACAAGTGTAGGTATGTTAGAGTAACTCGTTGGTACAGTTGTAGATACAACAGTAAAATGTTTTATTGCGAGCTGCAGACAAAGAAATAAAATAGACCAAAGCAACCCAATGCTCTATAGATGTCTAGCTACCATGTCAAGGTGAAGCTATCTTCGAATGGCGCTATCTTGGAAGGTAGCATAAAGCAAAACTCATAATGAAAAATAAGTTAAAAGAAAGTTTAAAAACCCTATCCTATCAAACATGTTAAAATCAAACCTACACTATCATCTTTGCAACTGTATGATTTCAGGAAAAGCAGATATTAGTGGTAAATATCTTCAGCCGACAATTTCAAAAAATAAAAGAAAAAACACACTCCAAAAAACATCATCTAGTAAACTAAAAATTTGTGTTATAAAAGCAAGAGACAAGATTTAAGGCAATATTTCGACTTTATTTCAATGTCATTATGAAGCTAGTCATTATCACTTAGCTTGATAATGACTTTGAAATAAAGTCCAAATATTGCTTTAAATCTTGTCTCTTGCTTTGATAACTTCAATCTTGAGTTTACAAAATGATGTTTTTGAGTATGTTTTTTCTTTTCAGCTTTGCCACCCTTTAAAATAGCGGCTTGCGCCACTCGAAACTATAGAATTTTAGCGGAGTGAGATATCTGGCAGATTGGGTTCTAGGTCATTGGACGTAAGGTATATTTAAAAACAAGCTCTGCTAAATGGACAGAAAAGAAAGATATAAATGTTGGTAGGTTGGAATAACTCGTTGGCAACTCGTAAGTAATGTGTTGCTACAGTTGATACAGTAGTAGTCGTGTATTTCACAAGGTGTACACAACAGAAATACACAGAAAAAGTAACAAATATAGACACTAACTAGATGCAAAAGTAAAGTAAAAAGGAGGCACAAAAGTTGACAGAAATAAATTCAGTAGTTGGCACGTTTGAGTAACTCTTTGCTAACTCTTCAGATAAACACAACAAAGAACAAGCATGTTGGTTAGGTTAAGGCTGGTAACTCATCAAAATCTCATTGATACATTAAATACATTTGTTGACATATTTTCTACAAGGTTTAAATAAAAAAAAATCACACAAGGTGTACTCATAGATTTTGCGCCATTGCAGAATACACATGTAATACGCCTTGCAAAGATCACGAGATGTTTTCATAAAATAGACTAACTTTGCCTTTTTTTGCTCGACAAATATAATGTATGCCACAAATAATTCATCATGTATACGACTGCTTTACCATATTATGTGTCACATCCCCTGGTCATGAACATGTCATATAAGGAGTGTGCTAACAGTCCGTGTGCAAGTTTAAGAAATGTGCATGGCGTCATTGACAACAGCCCTTCAACCAAATGCTGGTATCGGAAATGTCTAAAGAGCCCAATTTTTTTTCAAAAAAACATCACGCTTTTTTGTCAACGACCAAGAATTTTTCAATGACAAGGAAAACAGGAAAAAATTTATTGCATGTATAGATAAGAGTTAATAACATCTGATTTTTAACACAACTATCGATAATTTTACGTCATAAATCTCATGCATTAGACAATATTTGTCGCTAGTCCAGCTTATCTTGGTTTCTCCCATATGTTCACTGCTAGTATCCGTTAGGTGCCCACGTATTAACCATAAAAGAATGCAAAAAGTGCTTAGGAACGACCGAAGTGCAGCTGCAGTGTTCATTGCACCGAGAGAGGGTTTTTGAGTAGTCTTTTAGCGCTTTAGCTACATGGTTTCGTGTGCACTTTGACTGTAAGGAGTGCATGATATGAACTTGCCGATTTTATGTGCTTTTCGGATTAGACGGAATCTTTGACAGTTTGACAGCAAATATGCATTTGGTTCGAAGCTTCTTAATGTTTATTTTGACCATTCAAGGTGATATATTTTGTCTTCACCAGATACGTTAGCTAAGTTTACCGAATCGCTTTTTCTTTTTGGAAGGGTGGGCAATCGGTATTATCTTAATATATCAATGAAAAACAACATTTCCCTAAAACAAACGAAGCTCAAAGCTGCAATCAGTGTCTGTTTACAAAATAACTTTGTGTTATCTACTTTGTTAGATATGTCCGCGATGGCGAGCATTCCCAAGGCAATAATATAATAAATTTAATATAATAAAATATTAAGATCATAAATTTTGGTTGCTGATTCCATAACATCTATATTCTTCTTTCCATCCATAATTCCATAAAATTAGCTCGTATGATTTTAATTGATGCCGTTTCTTTTGCGAACTTGACATGTGTCAAAGATAACATGAAATTGATCGTCTGACTTTGGGCACTTTATGGACAGTTTTGACCTTTTCAAATTTGCAATATGAACGTCGGACTATTTTTTTCTGTTTCAACAAACAAATATTGGCGTCATAACGTTTGTTTGTGTCGTTTTATGGATCTTTTCATGTGATGGGAGGCAGCTCAATGTTTGAAAATACATTTAGAAATTTATCGTTAGATGTAATGATTTAGCTATTAAAAATTTGCATTCTAAAATGAATAGTTTACGATGAACAATTTTACACTAAAAATATTTTTATCTTAGGGAAACAGTTCTACCCCCATACAGAAAATTGGCAAACATAGCCTAGTTCATTATATTACAAATACCGATTAAGTATATTTTTATCAGCGCTAACAATAAAAATAAGAATGCCTTGATTTTTCAATTGCGTTTGTTACTTATATAAATATTTAATGCAGAAAAGTAATGAATTCTGGAATGCGCGCACGGTGCGTATCGTTTGTCCATTATCTAATCAAGTGCAGAAAAATGTCATAAATTTAAGTGCAGATAACAAGTTTATATATATATCCCAGACTTTATTCGTTATTCTTTTGTGGAAAGAAGCTACTTTTGAGATTTCCTTCAGTATTAAACGGATTTGCTTGTTTTTTTTTTGAGAATTTCAGAAATCTTTCCTCAAGAGGTATATACAACCGGTCAATCATTGTGAAGATATTCTTACCTTTTCGGGTGGAATTTCTTCAGCTAAATAAGTAAACTGCTCAACAGTCGTGAAAAACAACTTTTGTTGATTGGATGTTTGATGATAAGGTTGATAATTGCTTTTAAGTGCATGGACTTAACAGCTAACGTAAATCAAACGTGGATGTGTGGTTCAAGATCACGTTTAATAGAAATGGAAGTGTTTTTGTCAAATGGTTGGAGCATTTTCTTGTGTTAGAAAGTTTTCGTGCTTTTTTAGTTTGATAACTGAGGTCGCACCAATGCCAGAATATAACCAGGCGAAAAAAATTATGCTTGACCGCATCAATGTTTTATTCTCAACTTAGGTTCGTTAAATAGACCCAAAATATATCTCCTAAAATCAATGTGTACCAGTCAAGTTTAAAAGGCCTCTTTAGTATTTGAATATCACGCAGTATATCTACAATGATATAGACAAAAATGGCACTTAAAAGTAAGATAGAAACTCCGATTAAGAGCATATGTGAAACGGTTATAATATATTAACGTAAATCGTTTACTTTCACTTCACATCTTGATTTATCAGATGAAGACGCCATGTTTTTCCAAAGCAGATATGTCTTAGTTAAATTAATAAATACCATGCAGAGCAATGTCCAATCATATCTTGTTTTTACCAGTATGAAATTTGTTAAAGGCTTTGAAGAAAGATTGTAATTGCATAGGGGAAAATCATTAAAAAGTTATATTGCGTTCTAAGCCTTCCAATTTCTAAGTGTTCACATGCTCACAGATCGCAGTCAATTGTTAAATCTCGTCAAACATATGAAGAGAGCATCATGATGAAGCGTGTTCATGAATTGTAACTATAATATGTTTCCTAAAATTGGACATTTTTCTCTAGTTTGCCATAAATTCGAGCGCTATCTTTTTGTTGTATACTCTATACAGTCTGCACCGTCAAACTAACTTCCATGCATGCATAATTGCAAATGTACAGTATGATTTTAAAAATCAAACTTTTATTACACCTGATTGGACAATTAGTGTGTACAAAACCTTAAATTATTAAAAACTATGGCTACATAATTTCGGACTTAGTCTTTTAAAATTCATAGCCCCAAGCTACACTTCTCGAATGTGACAGCATTTCAACAGTTCAAAGCATTTGCCTTGCACGATTAATGCGGTTTTTACTCAATCTGTCAATGGAAGCCACCCACTTTTCTTAAAAGTAGAAATATGTATACTGCCGTTGGCACATGATCCAATATTGATGGGTGGCTGCGAGTTATTTAAGACATCTGTTTTGAAACGGCTATTTTTAATGTGTCAGTGAATTAGCCTGTCGAATACTCGAACTGCCAAACCCATAAGTTGCATACTTGCATTTTATAACCGTACCTATCGCATTAACTAAATACCAGGCAGAAAATTTGGTTTCACACACACAGTATTGAGAATATTGCATTGCTAAAAAATCTAATACTTTATGTTGATTTAGTGATTAATTAAAATAATAGTACAAAAAAACTAATATTTTTCTTCTTTCACCAATTCGGCGTGAACTCATGGCTTTTCATAAAGATTTTTTCATATTTATCTCCGTGTACGTGCTATTATTTCTGTACTTACAGTGCGTATGACATACATACATCACATTTGCTAGTAAACGTTTGAAAAAGATGTCAAATGCTCCAAATAAAACAAAGTATCTTTGTGAAATGTTTATGTATTAACAAGATCTTTGCCCGTTAATCAACAATAAACATTCAAAATTGAGACAAAACATGTTGCGTAGAAATCCTATATGTGATATTGACATTTCTCCTTATAAATCATTTCCCCTAAACGGTAAACACGCATACAAATTATTCTTAGTGCGCACAAATGAAAAAAGTATGGATACATTTCCCTTCGATGAAAGGTCAATGAACTGACTGCCCAGCTTTGCTTATGACTATGAAGCGGAATGCGGGGGTCTTTTTGCCACAATTGTTTTCTTGATTCGCTAAATCAAGCATATGTTCTTTTGAGTTTTCGCATATCAGTCTGTTTTTACAACGACTTTGCTGCCAGCTCAGCGAGTTTTAAAAGCTTTCTAGCGCAATGCTACAATTTTACTATATACCAATTAAACGGCATGCAGCATGCTTGTACTGATATAGCCCAGTTAAGATGTGCCACAATAATGAAAGAGAAGTTGATTCTAGGACTTGATAAGTACAATGACTAATAAAACTGAACTGCGATACGCCATTGTATGGCTAGATATGGATAATGGTTGCATGCGATAACACTATAAAACTATTAGAAAGCTATCAACTTTAAATAATGCTATCAATGGAATATCGATGGATCTCATATTTATGCTAATAACTACAAAGCGATGTATTGCGGTGCGTTAACGTTAACGAGTAACGACTGAATAATCAACTTTGAGCGTGTTATTGTTTGTGTGCCGATGCAATGTGGCGTTCATTCATAGTTTCGCTTGTCTATTATTTATGAAAAGTCGTTTTTTAAACAAAGCTGTTTTGCATTGCAATACAACTGCAGGACAAAAACACAAATCATTAGAAGTGCAAGCGCACCTGTTTATAAAATATGAATCGTGCGGCAAGAGAATCTCGACCACAAATAGGGCTATGGATAATTGCTGGCCAGCTGTGATTGTTATAACAACTCGACATCTTTATTGACAACTTTTTCATCACTCAACACGGCTTTCTTGCGAGAAGATCGTGCATCCTGACTTGTGAACGCAACTTTTACTCGAATTTAGGGTGCGCCGCCCCTTGTTCATCGCGTGCATATTTAACGAGCCTTTCTCGACAGGAGCGGTCTGCTATCCCATGAAACAAAAGTTCGTTATAAATGTGTTATATACTATTTGCCGCTTTTAACAAATGTTGACTAATCGCAGTATCAATAATGAATAAACCTGCCTGCAAAGCTCGTTTAAGTAAATAGCTACTTGTCGACTCAACTCACTCACTCCAAAGAGTTTCTCGCTCAGATTATACTCCCGGTTTTGCAAGTAATTTGAGAAAATCCCACTTAGATTATATCCTTGAATGCCGCCACGGAAATGTAATTTGAAGGCTCTGTCAGTATACGCGAAGACTGACTTTATTGCCTGCAACAACGTAAACTGCACAAGCACGGTGGGAAGAAAATATCTCGCTCGTCTCAATCGTCAAAGGAGAAAGATCACTTCTACGAGGAAGGTAGGAAAGCTTTCATTGGTTCTCTGCAGAAGTTACTATTTTTGTCAACCGCACTCCTGTAATTATCAAAGTTGCTTGAAAAAAATGACGGAATATTTTGATAATTTGCCGCTCCAACGCAATATATACAAACTTGATCAACGCGCAGTCGCGCGAATCAAAGCATTGACTGGTTTCTGTTTAGAGTACGCTATACTATTGCTCAAAATAAACGTAGAATTTATGGCAATTTGGTGACCTACATCTGATATCTTTGGAAAAACTTTCATTGACCGATTTCGTTGCCTGACAGACGATCTGCATTGACACCTTCTGTATGCAGTGGCAAATACGAAATACGTTCACATATATACGTGAACATTCGTTTTACTTATCTGAATTATCACAATAATCGTTTATCTCAATGTATTCTTTTAAAACTATCATAACAACTGTTAAAGAAAATTTTTATCAGGACAAGTTCACATACATGTCCGGACATTAGTAGCAAATTTCACATACAAAACGTACCTTGCTTAGAAATTGCGCGCATATTAAAAATTACTGATAGAAGATTCGAAGCCGAAATATATACATAGCTATGTATTTTTGTGAAGTCATTGTATCTTGAGAACTCAAAGAAATGTCTGGAAAATTAAATGTGAAGGTGTAATAGAAGGAAAATAACAAGTTCTGTTATTTCAGATTACAATGCTAAGTAGATCGTAATCATCAAGTCTGGTTTAGTTTGTCATTGTTGTCGTCTTCACATGTACGCGTTTGAGTAAGGGTTTGACTCGGGAATTGTCTTCTGTGTATATATAATAGCTATGTGAAAGAAAACGTGCCATTACATGAATCTTCTTTCACAATGTTCGCAGATATTGTAGACAAACAGGCAATGTGGAAAACATCGTTATATTTCAGACGTAATATTCTACTTTCCTTTCAGTTTTTCAATAAAACGAACGCGTATTATTTAAATAAAACTCTAACGCAGCCTATATTTTTTGTATGCCTATTCTTTAATTCACTTATTGAGTGACGTTTGTTTAATACGTCGACGATGACGTTTTAGACAATAAACATTGCTGCCAATCATTGGCTAATATTTTGTGGGTATTAAAAAACGACCAGATGGCAAGATGGCCACCGTTTTTGCTTGCGCGTTTAATAGACCCCCGTGGTGCGCTTTTCCGAAAAATATGAAAATATAGTTTGAAAACCACTACGCATAAAGTAAGGTTATTAAATATACACGCAGATTTTCCTGTAGCTTATAGAGTGAGGTTTGAAATTAGTACACTTATGTAGAGTAAGCTTTAACTAAAAACACAGGGCGATTTGAAATTACCAATTCACACAAAAATTATACTTCACCCGCATGTGGCGTTGATAACTTTTACTGCTTACACAACGATGATGACTCACAATTCGTTCATGGCTAACAAGTCACTATCCCGCATGGAGCTCTGCCATCAGCTCGTCCCATTTCACTCTGTTTTGTGAATGGTTCGACGTACCCAGCACGTCTGCGTTGCTCGTCGTTAGAATTAGACCTAAATGCGGATGTGATTTTTTCATTCCCATATCACTCGCAGCTGTTGCTACTCGCCAAAAAGGAGCCATGCCTTTTATTTCTGGCTTGTATTCAAACATAGGCGTAATAAAATTAAACTACGTTTTGATTTTCATAATTAAAGACGAATGTGGTACTATCTTGTCAGATATAGTTACGCCTAAAGAGTCAAAGGCCACCCAAAACGATTATCGGCTCAGAACAATACCATGTATATCCAAACATGAAGGCGAGAAATCATTTAGCACATGCTTGAGGTCTGCATTCGCCGGCTAAACACTTTTTAAAATCCCGCCATTGACTTACCGAAAACCTAGCAAAGTAAGTGCAAGTCGGGAACAAATCCGAATGTGCTGCTCACACGACATGAAAATAGACACAAACAGTTCCAGCTGAGATCTAAAAGATCTGGCAGTGTCATTGCACGTGCATGAGACAAGATTTGCTTTTTGAAACCAAGGACATTTTTGATTGAATTATCACAATCAATTGCAAGATATAAATGAACATAAACGTGTGGGAGTAAAGTGTGCCATGAATGGTGAAAAGCTTGTATTCCACTATTCTCAGCCACTACAAAAGATCAAATTTATATACAGAGGGCGAGAGGGCGACGAGCTGTCGCCACTCCACAAACGGTATAAACAATGCAACATGAGAGATGTTGTGTGTGCTGTGTTTTCAGTCCTATTCACACACAAACATTCACGGCTGCTTAGATTCAATTCAGAGAAACAAGATCTTCATTATCACTTCAGGTAAGCTAAAAGTCAAAATACTTGGAACTCATGGGAAATAATTTGTGCGGGCTTTGGCGGGGTGCTACATCGATGCTCTAGTGTTAATTAGTAAAGATTTGGTAATTTCAAAGAGCGTTTGTTATGTCGGGCTGGACTTGGTCGATTCATGTTTAAGTGCTGGCATTGATTACACGATTTTGTTGCTATATATAAATGTTTAACGTAGCTAAAACGAACAAGCGCCTACCCGCAAAATATTTTAGATTACGGTTAACGGATATCTATACTCATTGCTAACATGCCAAGTTAACACGTGGTGTAATTACAGATAAAACTTACATAGATTCGATTATGTTGCAATCACATCTCGAATTTCGTCTTGAAATTTCATACACAAGCATAGACACAAGTTTGATTTGTCTTCCAGATTTGAGTATATTTTAACGAACGGAAATTCATCACTGTATAAATAAAAATACTTTTATTTCCTCTATTCTTCTTTGTCTTTCGTTTTTCAAGGGCAAGGGCAGACTAAAATAATTATTCTTGCCTCTTGAGTACGCTGAAAGAATTGACAAAGGCTTTTATGCTTTCGAATCCTTACTATAAAAGAATTAAAATATCTATTACTTGTTTATAAAATTGCTAAGTAAACTTTACTTTTATACATTATACAAATATGAACATGTACAAATCAAATCAATATAACGTCATTTTTTAATGATTGATGGCAATGAAATGAAGTGAAAAATTTGTTTATACTTGTGATTTTAAGATACAGTGGTCGGTGAACTAATAGAAATTTAATTGTGTTCTTTACGACCAGTAAACAATCATTTGAAAATATAAAATACATACATACATGTATGTACGTAAACTGAACACCTCCGAATGAATCTGAATATGCAGTATTCTAAATGCCTCGTGCAGTAAATGGGTTTGTGTATAATAAATTCACAGTGTTACCTTTGTGAGGCAATTATTTAAAAATTGAGCAGTTAAGATAAGAGTGCGATCAAACTGTGAACGGAAAGGGCAGTCTAACAATATCAATTGCCCAATGCTCACGAATCCGATCTCCATACGTTTTAAAAGGTGTCATTTAAATCAACTAATCTGCTATCGACTAAGGTGTAAATTTGAGAACAAAACGCATGCGTACAACTTTCATGAAATTTATTCCGGAGAGAAAACTCGGAACGCGCAGCGGACTACTTTAAAAATGTTGCAATTATTGATGTATTATGTGCGTGCTGGATGTTTCTAATTATCAAGTTTTTTAAGCGCTTGTTCAATAAAACATGTGAAAATATTTGTTCAAACTTGGTTTGTAGAAGTAAACAGTCATTAACACCTGATCAATACTTCCATTTCTCAACACAGACAGTCTTAAACAAACAAAGAATAAGTCACGGTAGCGAAAAGTATGACGAGAATTTCAGACTTGCCATTTCGGCAGGCTCACCGCGTTCTAATAAATACAAAATAGTGCTTTTCCGTCTCACTCTATTGCGTATATGGTACTTTAGTAAACCCTGTATTACCACGTCAATATATGTACATTGTTTAATACCGCCATATATTGAAATTGCAGAAATGAAATCGCACAAACTGTATACAAATGCGATAAATGTACTATTAGCAAAAGTTGTGATGGAACGATTGATATGCTAGATGACACAACAAGATTTACTAGATATATGCTAAAATATGTAGGTTTTAGACGAATGACTCAAAATGGCTGCAAAACGAGTAACAGAATACAGATGTTTGAGCATTTGATTTTCTGTAATCTTGCCAGATATGATTGTACTGCAAATCAAAGTCATGGTAACTTGGATAACTTTTAGTCCTTTTCGATCAGGATGTTCCATCATTACCAAACCGTCATGTCCTTATGGTTTTGATGGAAAGATATAGACGTTTGCCCTGCAACTTCGAAGGTAGTCTAATCAAAGAAACCGCAACAGACTAGTTGTCGCCCTGTTGACCCTTCGACTTTTACTTCTTTAATAATATCATTTTAGGTGACAGGTTTGGCACTAATAAGTTTGTGCAGACTGCATGTTTTAGGTCTTGTGCCAATGCATTGCGCAGCCCATGATAGGACACGACGCTGTGAAAGGCTGTCAGGTTATTGTTTTAAGGAACAGCGTTGGACATGAAGATAGCTTCAACACGTACAAAGATACAACTCTTAAAACCTCGTTTTGTTACTGACGTCATTTAATCGTGTATCACCAGACCATAAAACAATGCAGGAACTCTAGCTTGGACAAATATCAAAAAGATTAGATAAGTTTTATTCGGCTTATCGCGGTTTAGTTTGTTGAATCCGAGACTTTCAAAGCAAACCCGTAGTATTGGAAAAAAGCTTAATCAGACATGTCTTTAAAACAATTTGATCGCTTGCATTGTACCCTCTTCATTCGACAAGTCGCTTTTACGAGTCGATGCGATAACCCGATCATTAAACAACTGTACTGAATTTTTTTAATGTCCATCAAATGCCTGCAAACGAACCTTCGATCATTGCGTAGATGACTCGAGCAATCTTTTGCACGATCAAATGACCTTCGTCAAGACAATCACAAAATGATATATGTGACAAAAATTCAATTGCTCAATGTTTCCAAAAAAGTTAAGCAACGCAAACTACGGTTGCAATCGCTGGTATATTTCGTGACTAGCAATTTGTATTGTTTGAAAATTATAACAAACATGATAGTGAACCATGCCCAAGATCAGATTACCGCTTATTATTTAAAAAATACCGAAGTAGATTCAGCTGTGTTATGAAATTACGTCTTGCAAACAGTGAACTATTCAAGACCACATGGGCGATACAAATAATTTTTTTCCTGCTTGCCGACTAAATTGACGTGTAGCGCTCTCGATGGGCGCCAATGTCTGTACACTCGAAACCTAATATGACCTCAAACTAAACACAATTTAACAGCGTGACTTGTTGATAGCTTTGTATTCGTTTGTGTCTTCTTTGGTGGGAAAAAGGGCGGTTTCAATACATGCTGTTATGCTGTGAAGGCGATCAAGCGGAACAAAAAGTGTTTGTTGTCGGGAATTTTTTGGCCTTTTTGATCTTTTTCGTAGCATCTGCAGGTACGCATCCTCACTAACTATACTTATTGCGAATTTCATGTCATGAGAGAAACATTGTTTATAATAAGCTATATAAGTTACATTAATTGGAACACTCTCGTGAATCGGAAATTCCGGTGAACTTTTTTCAACTTATTGTTGGTAGCAGTACATATTAAATGCTGTCGCGTATACATGTATCGTAGTGAGATTTCCCTTTAAAGCGCATTCTTATCAAGGTATCAACGCATCAAGTATATATTTGCATAGTGTGCGTCACTGTGCAAATACAATCGCCGATGTGTTCATATTCAACATTTTGCGACATAAAAGGTGTTTTGATTGAAGTACCTTATTACTAAATGTACAGCCAACCACAACAGGCAGGAATTAACCAAGTTACAGCAAGCGTGGCCATTTTAGTACAATCACGAAAATTTTAATTATGTATTGAAGCCTTAAAAGTTATAACTTGTGAGCTTCTTAAAATTAAAACACGTGCTACTTCAACAAATCCCAGTTAATTCATCCAAACTCTTCTTTTATAAAGCTGTTTATTTTGTATGTGTAAAAACATCGGAGCTTTTCAAAGCAAGATTTAAACTTTAGGAGAGCTTAATGTGACCAACCCATTTCATTTTTGAATAACAATGACGTTTGAAAACTAAGCGTTCACAGCTTTCGGAAGAAATCTCTTTCGTCATTTTCATGGTTTAAGTTTGTGCTGTTCTAACTACTCCTAGAATCGTCTCAAGCTTTAATGACAGCGCTGATTACAACGGCAGATATTGGCAGATTTTTGTTTTGAATTGCATAATAATTGCACGTTTTCCCATATTACTCATTTACGGTTTAAGCTTTGAACATTTAGAGATACACGAATAGCATCATTTGATGCCTGTTTCTTAAAAAGCATCTAGACCATTTCCTACATTATTGTTAAATCATTCAGAACCTCCAGTTAAACATCAAAGAACTGACGCCCAATTAAATATTGTGTTGAGCTGCAGATGTCAGCTCAAACAACAGCAATTGACCGATGCAAGAAAGGCGAATGTTACTGCCACATGTATAGACAGTGGCGGATTACTCAGTTGGCTAAGTAGGCTGAAGTCTACAGGCCCGGGCTTTCGAGAGGCCCATTGTATCTAGACATGGTTAGTTTTTAGTTTTTGCCATTCCAGACTAGTTAAATGTTCTTAACTTAGACCAGCTTTGCTGTTAAAAACCGTACGATCTACTGTTCGAATGCACGATGCTCAGAACTCATGAAGTAGTTGGTTTCTCAGTTTGAATTTTAAATTTATTCCTCATTGTTGTACCATGAGTTACAAAAACAAGCTGGGAAATGCAAAGGCAAAAGAGCGTAAGGGGCGCTAATGTCATCAAGAAACTGAACGTAGTGGAAGGAATAGATATCCGACTTAAAGTCCAACAACTTTGTCTTAGCCTACAGGCCCCGTACTTCGTAATCCGCCACTGCATGTAGAAATAACTATCCAAAAATTTATTGAATATTATGGATAAAACCAATTCTTTAGTATCAACAGGAATACTCTCATTGCATACACTATCGTTTGAATAAAGACAATGTTAATAAAAATCAACTAAGGTAGTAGTTTCTATGGAACTTTTATTGAGCTCACATGAACTGTCAGACAAACTTGAACAACCTGACATTATTCATTCCCGTCATGTGAAGGTTTTGATATAAGACAAAAGCAGAAACGAAACAGATTGTGCATTTGGAACCAAAAAAGGCGCATCGTTTTGTAGGATATGAAAAGACAATAAAAATAAATCGATGAAAACGACACGTTGCTTTGCGTGTGGCGATATAGACAGGTGTATTATGTATAAAAGAATTGGACACCTTTCGATCAATTGTCGATTTTATTGAAAGAGCAGAGAATAGCTACTACACCAAAATTGTGTCTATGTGAGTTGAGTATTGCCTTTGAGTTTGGCATAGTGTTGTTTTTAAATTGAATTAGCAGTTCTTTAGTCCCGAAGTTTCCCCTTTTTTGAACGTTCTAAACAAAAACGTCCGGCTCATTGAAACAGGATGAAGGAAGTGAAATAATAATGGCAATCACAGACAATGGCCGATGGACACAACATCAACTACTAGACGTTTTTAAATCGTTAATTAATTACAAAGGAACGGATACTGAACAAGTATTAAACACAAACATTTGCACGTTTAAAGAACAGGAATAACTTCAAGCAACCTGATAACAGCACTTAGCACTGGAAGCTTCGCTTCTTAATTGTTTTTGATCGAATATAGGGGCGAATGTACAGCATGAAAACATTTCCATAACATTTATTTACACTAAACAAAATGTGTATAAATGAATAAAGTTCAATGTATATAATGCGCGTAAAATACGATAGTTTACAGCAACTATAAACAATTGAAATAGCAAAGCTGTTATCCAGATAATCTGTCTACAACATGCAAATATTCATCCGAGGGATTTATGTTCTTATCACAATTGTGAAACCCAACGAGTTAATTGTAGAGTATTCACAGAAAAGGGATCCGC